ATCAGACATACCAAATAATAATAATAATAAAAACATGGACAACAAAAGAAGAATTTATTCGATGAGAATCAGATGATTCGATTTTTTTTTTTTTTTTTTGTTTTATTTTGCTCTGTTGATGTTGAAAATGTAGACAAGAGAGTAGTAAAACAATCGAAAATGTGGAATCGATGATGTAGTTGTTGTTGTTGTTTGATGATATTCGAAATTTTGTTTTCAATTACAGATAAAAAAGGGTTTCACTTTTTTTTTGTTTCAAATTGTTTACATCATCGTACTTGATGATGATTGTTGATGATGATGATGATGATGATGATGATGATGAAAATACAACAATAACAACAATGAAAACGACGACGACATCATCATCACATTAGGCCATGGTTTTTTTGTTGTTGTTGTTGGAAATTACTTGAATATAATAATATATCGTATATATGCTTATACCACACCAATAATAATAATAATATATATATATAACATCAAACAACTAACAACCACAAACATATAAAAACATTGAATGAATTGAATAAAATTGTTGTTGTTGTTGATGATGATGATGATAATGAATATACATGGTCCATCATAATAAAAATAATAATAATTTGATTTGATGACTACTTTATATATATACAAAAAGACGACGAGTATTTCAGAATTTTTTTTGATGATTTTATTTAGTTTTTTTCTTCTTCTTAAATTAGGCAAAAAAAAACGAAAATGTAGAAAAAACGACGACGAAGACTAAGACAACCAACCAACAACCAACAACAACAACAACAACATACGATGACGACGATAAAGATGAAAAAAAAAAAATATACGAAGAAAAAAAAAAGATTCGAAATGGAACGGCGCAGAGATGTGTTGTTGTTGTTGTTGTTGTTTAGTGAGAGAGAGAGAGAGGAAGAAGAGAAAAAAAATATTTGCAAACACACACCACACATACAAAAACACATTGAATCTGAAATTTTGTTGTTGTTGTTGTTGTTGTTCACGATTATTGATGATGATGATGATGATGATGATGAACGTGATGATGATGAGAGTACAGTGTTACACCGGTTAGCACATGAGAGGGTTTTGAATGTTTTGAAAGGCAAAACATACATTTCACTTTATATTCATATTCATTCACTAATCTTAATTCGCATATATTTAGTTAAACGTGGTATTACTGTATATTTTTGTGTGTGTAAAGAGAGTTGTTTTTTTCCCAAATCTTTTTTTTTTATTTCTATTTTTCCTCATCATCATCATCATATATCCACACACATGCACACATACCACTACGACCACCATATGTGTGATATATATCATTGCACAATACATATGTATATATATATATAGAAGAGAGAGATATAGTATATATATATATATATATATATAAAAGGAGATTATGTTACTGTTGTTGTTGTTGTTGTTGTTGACGTTGTTCAAAATTGGAACAAACACAAAAAAACAAAACAACATGAAAAAAAAACTTTGTTGGAACAGCAAACAATGATGTGAATGTGGAAAAATTATTTCTGTGTGTGTGTGTGTGTGTGTATGATGAATGATGAATTGTTTTGTTGTTGTTTTGTTATTCTAATATATTCACACGATGATGATTTGAAATAAAAATTAAAAACAAAATGGAGCGGTATTTTATAAGTATGATAATTTTCATTTGCTTTTTTACCCGCCAACAATTATTTGTGTGTATGTTTATTATTTTTGATTCAAAAATTGTTTCAATATATAATGTGGTAGTGGTAGTTGATGGATCACAGCGGATATTATTTTTTTTTTTTTATTGTTACATTTGAAATTACCGCTTCTCATTGTGTGTGTGTGTGTGTGTGATTACCGGCAAGTTTCTTCTTCTTCTTCTTTCTTCTTCTAATTGGTCGTAGAGGAAGAGGAAAAAGCGTGGAAAAAAATATGGTAGTAGTAGCAATAGCAGCAGCAGTAGTAGGAGGAAGAAGAGAAAAAAAATGGAATATTTGTAAATTATATTCGAATGTAAAAAGTTTTTTTTAAAACAAAAAAAAATTAAATTAACTCTCGAATTCATCATTCTGTGTGTTTTGTTTTTTTTAGATTTTTCATTCAAATTAAACACACACACACAGAGAGAAAACAAAATGTTCAAGTTTTACGTTATTTTTCAACGTACTTTTTGTCATTTATCCATAATCATCATCATCCAATCGTCCATCTTGAATACTGTGTATCCTTTATTTTGTATCTGATTCGGTTATCTGCTATTTTCGTTTTATATTCATTGTGTGTGTGTGTGTATGCAGTTCTGGTATACCAGAGGAAAAAAAACAAAACAACAACAACAACAACGAAAATTTATAGAGTACACGCATTTACAAAATAAAAAAAACGACGGATGGGTAAAAGGGAGAAATGGAAAGGAACAAAAAAAAAAATACGAGTCAGGATTCAATTGAACGGGGGCACTTGGATATTCCATTGGATTGAATTCGATTGTTGATTGTGTGCGTGTGTGCGTGTATTTTTTTTTTACATTGCATCCATTCTGTATATGCATACATCATATTCATTCAAAATAAGTAAAAAAAAAAAAAATTGCCGGTCTGCTATATATGAAAAAAAATTGCACATTGGTTGCACCATTTCCCAACCACCCCCCGTCATTCATACTAAATTATTTGTTCATTGGAAAAATAAAACTTATTTGCAACCAAAATGCAAACAACATCATCATCATCATTCATCATTGACATCGACAATAAGAATAAAAAAAAAAAAAAACAGCAGGAAAAAGCAACAATAACAACGACAACAACAACAACAACAGCAGCATAAAATAAATTGAAATGGCGTCGGCGTTATTTGTGTGTATGTGTGTTTTATATGAATTTGGATTGTTGTTGTTGTTGTTGTTGTAGTTGGACTCCGGATAAATGACGCCGTAGAGGAGGAGGAAGAAGAAGAAGAAGAAGAAGAGAACGTTAAAAAACAAAATATAGTTAAGCTCACGTGGAGAGTAATTGTTGTTTTTGTTTTGTTTTTGTTTTGTTTGTTTGCTTGTTGATAGATTAAAAGTGGAGAAAAAAACATTTTTGACAATTATAATAATAATGATGATGATGATGACAAAAAAAAAAATTTTAAATGTCAAATTTTGAATATTCCATTGAATCTATACTACCACATTCATTCACTTCCTTTCTGCGGTGGCGGTGGTGGTGGTGGTGGTGGTGGTGGTGGTGGTCGATGATGATGATGATGATGATGAGAAAATAATAAATATGTATGTTATTATCATTAAATAAATAAAAACAGACACACACACACATACACATAAAAAAAAGGGGAAACCAGAAAAAAAAATGTAAAAATGTTGCAAACAACTTTATCATTTATACATACACATATACACAATGAAAAATATCATCAATGGAGATATTATATATATTTATTAAATTGACTACGGTGACGGTGAAAATGATGACAAAATAACAAATTTGATCCTCAGATCAAAAATGAAAAAAAAAACCAGAAAAACTGCGAGAGAGAGAGAGAGAGAGTTGAACAAAAATCGAATTGATGATTGGATACATCGATTCATTGATGACAACAACAACAACAATCAATCAATCAATCAATGAAGTAGAAATGTAATAGAAAAAAAAAAAAAATTGTATAAAAACATATTCATTTTTTATCATTAAACAATCGATTGAATCAATCAGCCAAAAAACATCAAAAATCGATGATGATGATGATGATGATGATGATGGAATATAATATGGGTTATAATAATCAACAAATCATACATTCAAGCTGAATAGACATACACTTTTTTTTACTGGTTCTGTTTTTTTTTCTGGATTTTTTTTTTTTGCACATTGAATCAACAATATTTGCTACATACACCAGAAAAAAACAGACAAACAAACAAACAAAATTTTGCGCTTTATTCAGTGTTGAGAGAAAAACATTTCCAATTGCAAAAAAAAAAATTCCCAAAAAAAAGAGAATGAAAAAGTGGTGAATTTGAAAAAATTTTTTGTTTGTTACCAGGCAGATGATAGAAATTTTTTTTTTTTTTTTTTTGATCTTAAATGTAAACATTCAAGGAAGGATGTGTGTGTGTGTGTGTGATTCGATTTCGATAATCGAAATCGTTCATCACTTGTATCGATGAAAAAAAAAAATTCGAATGAGTGAAAAAATTCCTGAGAATTCTCTTTCTCGGGTAATTTTTTTTTTTCTCCATTATCATTGAAAATGTTTGTTTCATTTTCATTTAACCCGGTCTACCGGTTATTACAACGCCCCAAATTACGTCATTCATCAAATTATTATATTATAATGAAAAATTGTTATTTCAACAAAAATGAGCAATATCATCATCATCTTTGTACAAATAAATAAATAACCGATTCAAATTGATCGTTTTTGTTTGTTTGTTTGTTTGTTTGTTATCCGAATTCAATTCATAATGATTGGGTAATATAACCAACTATATCTCAAGGTTGAATTTGAAACAACAACAAAAACAGAATGCGGATATACTACAATTATTCCCGGAACATGTATAAAGATTTCAAATACATCAGAAATCTCTTTCCACCACAAACAGAGTCACAGTTTCAAGATTTTTTTTTTCTATCGAGGGTAATTTTGTTTTTATTTTTCATTGATTATTGATTGATAAATACGTATTGAAAGCCATCGATGAAATCTATCACTGTGTACAGCCCAACGACGACGACGACGACGACGACGACAACGACTACAAAATGAAAGGTAAGATGAGGCGAATAATTGCCTTGTTTGTTTGATTATATTACATTTCATATTGACAGAATTAAAAACCATAATAAGTTGAATAGCCTTGACATTGAATCAACGATGATGATGGGCGACTAAATTTGAAATTACAGTTGTTGGGAAAAAATTTAAAAAAATGAAACGGGAGATAGTGCACACTATGACAATGAAAAGATGATGTTTGATGATGATGATGATGGTGAAGAAGAAAGAAAAAAATTCTCCATAAAAATCCTTGAAATTGTTTTTCGGGTTTTTTTTGTTCTCTCTTCACTATTTTCAACTCTATCAATCGCTAACAGTAACATTGTCGTCGTAACATTTGTCGAAATTATCCATTATCATGATTATGTTGTTTATGTTGTGAGAATCGATTGAATTTTTTTTTCATTTTTATTACCATTGTAATGATTGGTGATGTGCGATTAATGATGATCATCATTATCATCATGATGTTGATGGCAAACAGAAGAACAAAACAAAAACAAGACAAATCGAATAAAAAATCTCGACCATTTTACTGCCATCTATGAACAAAACGATGATTTACCGTGAATCATAACAGTCTAAATCAGTTTTTTTCATTTCATCATCATTGTCGTTAATTTTTTTTTTGAATTTTTTCTTATTTTTTCTTTTTATATTTATCATATCTTTTCATCTACAGTAAAAAAAAATGGCACCAAGTGGTATAAAAATTTCTAAACGTAATGATAAAAAGAAAAAATCAACGAAAAAATCGCCAAAGCTCAAAGTGTTGGAACAACGTATGACAAGATCGAAATTGAAAGAAATTCAAAATGAACAACAAAAACAACAACAGTCACAACAACAACAACAACAACAACAACAACAATCAGAAATAGAAATTTCTGAACCAAAAGAATCGATTCCCCGGAATCAAGTATTATTGACATCATTACCGAAATTTGTATTCAATATACCTGGATCACAAACCATATGGAATGATATTATTGGCTTTGATATTGATGATGAAATTAGGAAAAAATTTCATCATTTATTAAAAGATTTAGATGCAATGCAAAAATCCATATTGGCCAAATGCATTGTCGATCATGGTATTGAATCGGTAATGGCAAATTCTGACATCATGTTTATCGATGATGATGATGATGATGATAAACAAATTAATATGCAAAACATGCCTATACTACAACCAAGATGTTTTATCAATATTGCAACACAAACAACCGATTGATTGATTGAATGATTCTTTGAAGAATTTTTTTTTTTTTTCTAATTTGTTTTTAATATTTATATTTACATTAAAAATGTTTATTTGTTAATACAGAAAAAAAATTCAAATAAAAATGATTGGCTCTCTTTCCTTTTTGTTTTGTTTTAAACAGCCGTACCACGTTCAAGATTCTGTTTAATTTCCGCTGTATATTTACCATAGAAACGTTCAATTTTCTTATTAAATTTCATATTTCTTTCATTGATATAATCAATATCATTATCATCATCGAATGTACGACGTCTTGAGAATTTTGATTGTCGTTCATAATCTTTATTCATATCGTTCAATAAACGATCAATGGCTTCTTTGGAATCTTTATGTACACCGAATACATATGAATTTTTATCCGCATAAAATTGTTCATCAGGTATTGTTTGTTTCAATTGATGATATTCATCCATATCAGGTTTTATCTGTTTAATCATTCGTTCATATTTTCTAGCGGCTGCATCTTCAAAACTTGTAAATCCTTTATCGGGATTCTTTTTCGACGAACGACGTCGTTCCCATTGTTCAGCATGATCGGCTTGTATGTCGCGTAATTTTTCCATATCATAATCTAAATTTTGTTGTTCAGCCTGTTCACGTTCTTCATTTTCTTCTAATTTACGTTTAGCCCATTCTTGTTTTCTTGTCCAATTCGATGGCATTTGTTGTCGTTTATTTTCTTCAATCACTTCTTTATGATTAAGTTTACATGCTTCATTCTGGTGGTTGTTAAAGAGAAAATAAATTTTTTAAAATCAAAATATCCACAATGTAATAATAAAAAAAAAACATACCCGTTTCATATGTAATTCTCGTAATTTACGCAATCGTTCATTCTTTTTATTTCGATCAATTTTATCATTTGATAATTTTTGACCATTTTTGCCACTATTTGACAATGCAACAACAGGATCCATTTTGGTTTATCTTGTGTGATTGGTGTGTGTGAATAAAAAAAAAATTGAATTCAAGAAAAAAGTCAAAACAAAGCAAAAAAGTGAAATCAAAATCACAAATGAGCACTCGAAATGAAAACAAGTGATGAACGAAATGATCGATTGTGTTTCGATAGTACTATGCTATAACGATTCCAATTTGATTATAATAATCAGAGAAATTCTGGTATGGAATAATGATCAAAAATTCTTAAATCCACGTTTTACCGCATAACTTTTTGTTTTTTTGCTTCATTAAAATATATATTCCGCTTATCGATATTCATCTTTTTTTGTTTTTTTTTCTTATCACATGACACGCGAAAAACTTTTACAAAATGAATCCACTAATCAGACCACTGTGGCTTTTTTTCCCATATATAAAGATAAAAAGTTTTCTCTTCTTCGTTACACAGATCATTATCATCATCATCAAAAAAACATCATGTGTGCGCTTGATAATTGATTATCTTTTCCATCACTCTCTCTCTCTCTCTCCCTTTGGGAGAGAAAAAATCAAAAAAGTAGAAAAAAATCAAGAAACTTGAACATTTACAAGACGGAATGACACAATAATAAAAGAAAAAAAAACTTTGCAAATGATTAATGATGATAAACAAACAAATGAACCAAAAAAAAACCAACAAATCCATATATATGCAAGCGAATGGGGATCTCTTGGTATTTTTCTTGTCACCAAATTATTACACATTCACATGTTTGTGATTATGAACCTATGAAGAAGAAGAAAAAAAACTTGACAAACTTTGAATACCGAAAAAAGTTTTCTTTGAAGCTTATCAGTATCTTATCAAAAAAAATGTGGTCTGATGATCATGATCATCAACAACCAGGATGTTTCAAAAAAAGTTTCATTTAATTTCATGTTTTTTTGAGGTTTTTTCAATTAAATAATTGGTTTATATATCAGAAGTAGACAAATTTTTTTTTAAACGTGGAGCCATTCATTAATTTTGGATAATTAAAGTTTCATTTTTTTTTTTTGTTTTTGAATTTCGTAAAGTTTACCATATATATGGTAAAATTATTGCTGTACAAATGTTATTGCCGATGATTTCATTGATGATGATGATGATGATGGTATATCGATATTATTATTACGATCATTATTCATTAACGAAAAATTGGTTCGTTTTCGAATCTCCAATTGATCAATATTCGATGACAATGTTGCCGTCGTCGTCGTCGTCGTCGGTGATGATAATTTTGTTTGATGACCATCCATTTTATTCATCATCATCATCATCATCATACGTTGTCGTTCATTTTTTGCCATATATGATTGACGATAAAAACGATAAAATAGATAGAAAAATATGATCGGCTGTGGTACGGCAATAAAACGCCAGAATTTTATTGGATAACCTTGTTGATATTTAAAAAATGGTATCAAATAAATACCATATATAACGAATTGTGCTAATTGTAATTGTGTTATATAACGTTTCCACCAAAGATATGGCTGTATTTTTGGACCAAACGATGACAATGCATAATAACTATACATAATACAATGTATTGCTGTGTTGAACAATGGAAATATTCCTAAACACGATGCAGTTGGTGCAATACAGAATGCACACCAACCTAATAATGGTACAATGGAATGATGATAAAGATGTAGACCTATATATAAGAAATGATAAAAAAAAAAAAGAAATAATTACAGAATGAGAATTAAAGAAATCAAAAAATCACACAGGAATGTTTTTTTGTTTTGTTCCATTCATATATGACATTTCCATAATCAACAAACACCGAATGTTTTTGTTTTTTCCTTTTTGATTTGATTGGATTTTTTTTTTTTTTGTAATTTCGTCCATAATTGTCACCAATTTTCTTTTGTTTTTGTTTTTCGCTGCTCGAATTGAATGTATAATTAAATAATTTGTACAGTTTGGTTCAAAAGAAAAGTAATTTGTACTTGTAAAATGAGAAAAAAAAACGAGGACGATGGCGACGACTAGAGAAAAACTTTCAAGTCAATTTCACATGTGTGTGTGGTTAATGAAGCTGTGTATACACAACAACAAGTACAACGACAACAACGAAAAAAAAATACCCAAAATCGGTTATTATCATTGTTTTTTTTTTGGGTGGTAAAAACAGCAAAAAAAAATGGGCCTCATAACATGTGTTGTACATATCGTCATCATTGATTACAACAAGCCGGCAGTTTATAAAAAAAAAAGGCCCCGAAGGAAGAACCAAAAAAGAGAAGAGAAGAGAAGAAAAGTTGGTTGGGATATGCAAATGACACACACACACACACACACATGTCAACATCAATTTTTTTTGCTAATTCCGGAAAAACAAAAGTTTTCTCAATTCAGAATGATGATGATGATGATGATGATGATGGACTTGTAATTACTCTCATTTTCGCAAAACAAAAAACTCTTTCATTTCAAAAAAAAATCATCAACTGGAGCATTGTAGAGAAATTATCATCATCATCAGAATAACGAAAGAAAAAAATCATACCGAACCAATCGATATATCGATGTAGAAAACTCAAACCGTGCACACACACACATCAATGATTCGAAAACATATTGCCAAGATCATGTCAAGCAAAACAAAATGCCTGTGTGTGTGTGTGTGTGTTTGCGTGTATTTACCATGTTAATGATATATATACCTGATGATTATTATTAACAAAATTATTATATGCATGTATAACATATGCATAATGATGATGAAAATGAGTGATACGACAATTATTTAAACACTAAGCAAACATACAAAAAAAAAATGCACATGTGACAACAACAACAACAACAACAAAAACGAACAAATTATGATGATGATGATGATGACAAATGAGCCATTTATTTAGTTCATCATAATTATATCCATCTGAACTTTGACACACACACACACATGTTGTCGATGTCAATCATTGATTTGATTCGAAAAAAAATTTTTTTTTCTGATTTCATTCGAATTTTTATTACGTCGTTTATGAACACTGCTCACACACACACACACACAATGTTTTGATACATTGAAAGAATATTATGATGATGATGATGTCGTATATATTTTTATTTTTTATTATTATTATCATGGCTGCTTTTTTCCAAATTTTCCATTAAATATAATCCACATCACATAAAATGATGATAATGAAAGTGTGAATATTCTCTCATTATAATAATCATCATCATCGGATTCTTTATTCTCAGTGTATACGGTGTGTGTGTGTGTTTTTTTTTATTATTATTCCGTGTATCTTTTATTGTTATTTTTTCTATCAAATTTATATTATATAGATGCTTTAATCCACATATCTATAAATTCCATGACGGAGAAAAAAAATTCTGGTTCTTTTGTTCAAGTTTGAATCATGTATACATGAATTGGAAATTTTTTTTTTTGTTGAAAATTTTCCGGAATGAAAATGAAAAAATCGAATACGGCATGCACACAGCAGACATTTTACAATAATGAAATTGTTTTTTTTTGTTTTCAATATATCATCAAAATCATTGAAATCGAATCAATCATTTTGGAACAACATTTGCTGCTCTACTCACTCAATACCCATTTGATGAATCTTCGATATATATGATATGAAGATATAAAGTTTTTAATTTAATTAATTTTTTTGTTCTCTTTTGTTGATGGATTTCTTGCGATTTTTATCGTTGTGAATTGTTTTCTGTTGTTTTTTTTTTTTGTCGTCGTCAAGATTCTAGTTATATCATCGAGGGAATTGTCATTCGATTCTATTTTTTCTATCAAATAGATCAAATCAAGGTGATATATTATATATATATGTAGAAAGTTTCAGTATTTGTTAACCCTCGTGTATTTTTCAATCTTGCCTCTTATTTTTCGTGTGTGTGTGTGTGTGTGCATCAATAAAGTTTTCAAATTGGGTCTATTTCTGTTTCCTGCTCTTTCGCCGATGATGGGTGATGTGGTGGTTGAATCACAGTCATTAGCGGTGGCCCAAAAAAAATTGAATGAATGATTTTCTTACTTTACTTATGGATATAATAAAATGTTTTAAGTTTGGTTCAATTTTTTTTTTTTCGGTGTGTGTGTGTGTGTGTGTGTGTTTCCAACCATTCACATTCAAAAAAAAGTTTTACATTTGAAAACTTTTCTCTCTCTCTCTCTCTTACACACTCGTTTGTTGTCATTCATATATATTTTTGTTGTGTTGTTCTGATCCATGTTTGGAGATTCTTTTGATGATGATGATGATGATTGCATATCACAAACGAACACTATAGGCGACATATTGAATGGAGAGAAAATTATGCAACCCGAAAAAAAAATTTTCATCCCCCTCACCAAACCCGGGAAAAAAAATTCAATTTTTTTTTTAAATGTGGCTGCTGCTGCTGCTGCCGCTGTCTTCTATAGCAAATGACAACCAAAGAATCTAAATGATGGGAGCCATTCATATATTATATGTGAGCAATGACTGATGTTTTGTGTTCGTTCATTTTTTTTTTTTTTCGTTTTTTCTTGAAATGATTCACTTAGATTTTTGATTCAGCGTTTCATCATCATCATCATCATCATCGGCCTTTTGTTTTTTTTTTTTGTTGGATCTTATTAAATTAATATAATTTGACATCTGTTAATCGAGAATGATCTCTCTCTCTCTCTCTCTTTTACCATCATCATCATCATCATGTGTTTGTCTTTCATTTTCAATTTGTTTGATTTGTTCACCAAATACACACACACACACACACACACACACCATTTCAATAATTTTGACAGTCAACCACACACACACACACACACGCAGAGAGACAGTGATATAAATCAAGTTTAATATAATAAGAAAAAAAAATTCATCTGGATGATATCAAATGATAAATTTTTTTTTTCATTCTATCACTTGACAGAAATTGAAAATATGAAAATCATTCATCCAATAAGAAGAAATAAATTCTATCATCATCATGATGATGATGATTGACATTGAACACACACACACACACTTTTTATATTTTATTATTACTAAACCATAACGTCATTTATGTATGGCCACATGATCATCATTATTTCGAATGGTAATGGTAAACCAACCCCATAATATAATTCTTTTATTCATTGTGAATTTCATTGTCTCAAAAAAAAATTCATCATTATTATCATCAGGTATGCGTGGTGGTAGTTTTTTTTCGTTTTTTTCTGGTTTTATCATTATCATTTATTATTCTGTAATAATAATCATCATCATAATAATAAATTCTGTAATTCAGATCCTTGATGATATGATTCCACCACTGTTTATTTTATTCTGTTTTTTTTCTCTCTCTCTCTGTGTGTGTGTATTAATTATTTAAATGGAATTTTCATCATCATCATCATCATAATGATACACAGGTTTTTTTGTTGTTGTTTTTTCCACTACACTATTCTGGAGTGGAGTGGTATGTATGATACACACACAAAAACAAAGAGAAAATCAAAGGATCGGACTACTGAAATATATACTGAAACCAGAATCGATTTCTTATTATTATTGCCCGTTTTTATTATCATTTTCTTATTACAGATTTACAGATTCCAAAATTTTCTCTCCACATTTATTTGTTGTTTTTTTTGGTTTGTTTCATTTGTGTGTTTTGTTGTTGTTGTTGTTTTGTTTTTAATGAATACAACAACAACAACAACAATGAATGAATGAATGAATGGCCACACTGATTATAGTCAAAATAACAATAATATAAAAAAAAATTATAATGAAAAACCAGAATCGTTCAAGCTAAAATGACAATTGATAACAACAACAACAATGAGAATCGTGAAAAAAATTTTTAATTCATACTTGCAATTCTTTTCACCATGTGTTTGTTTGTTTTTGTTTCTAATTCATTCTGATTCTCTACAGATTACATGTATATACATAGATCTCATTGGGGGAATTTTTAATTTCTTATTATATTCTGCAACCACCTTTCTTTCATTATTTGTTCCATTCATAAATTCAGTTTCATCACCATTTCATACAAATTATAGTTTTGAAATTTGAATTTTTAAATTTAAACGAAAAAACAAAAAACGAAAATTTCCAGATCTATGCATTTTTGATCGTCAAAAATTATGTTTGAAACATGTGTGTGTGTGTGTGTGTGTGTGCATCTGTGCGTTTTGGAACTGGAATGGAAAACTTTGGAATTTTGATTGGAAACAGATTTTTTTTCCGTTTGTTTCAAAAAATGAAAAAAAAATTTGAAATGAAAACTTACCGCTAATTTGATTATTTTTTTTACGTAAAACAAAAAAAATTGTATCAAATAAATCAAGCAATTTAGTCCATAGATAAAAATGTGTCAATGAAATTTGTTCAACATCAACATCGGTAATGATGGTGTGGTCAGGAAATTTAAAATCAAATAACCGGCGACCATAATCAAGATAATATAATGATTGTATGAAAAAATATAAATTCAATATGATGGTCATTATATTATAGATGAACATTATTTTTCTTAATACAAATGGTTTACGATTCATCATTAAAATTGGTCCCAATGATAGACAGAAATAAAGATAACCAACAATAATGATTGTAATACGTGTTGGACCATTCATACTGATCCAATAATTCATTGAATATGGATGGCCATTCTGTTGCCAATAATCATACCAATAATAGGTTATATTGATCATCATTTTCTTCTTTTCTTCTTTCTTCCTTTTTGTTTGTAGAGAAATTTTCCAGAAAAAATTTTCAACTTTACGGCAATTTTCTCTTGTAGATTCACATGTACACACAAACAGATAAAAATAGTCAAAATGATGAATAATTTTCAAGTTGATTTAAAAAATTTTTTTTTCATTAATTTTTCATTGATTGATTGATTGATTGATTGATCGGATGTGTTGAATTTGACTTTCACTTGGAACTAAACCGTTATTTGAACATTCAAAATATTGGCAAATATTGTTCACACACACACATAAATGAGATGGATAAACATTCATTAAAAAATATGAAATTTTTTTGCGAAATTTTTAGTATGTTGTCTATATTGATTTCATCGACAGTTTTTCTTTTTGTGTGTGTGTGTGACATTTATAAAACTTATTGATTATGATGATGATGATTATTATTATTGGTGGCTGTCTGTCTCTCTCTCTGTCTCTTTTTCTGATTTTTTCTTCTCCATTACATTACTATTTAAATTTCTTTCTCTCTTTTTTTTTTTCCACAATAAAAATAGACAGACAGATAGATTTGTTTGTTTGTTTGGTGATCAATATATCAATATATATGTAATAATCATGATTATTGGCTCTCCAAATATTTTTGTGGGTGTGTGTGTGTGTGTGTGTGGACGAATGTCAAATTTTTTTTTTTTTTTTTTTTTTTTTGACAAACAAACAATTTTCTTTCCCCAATTTCATGTTGTGGGCATTAGTTTTTTTTGTTGTTTTTTTGTCTTGCCTGTTGCATGTTTTAATTGTTTTTTGTTTTTGTTGTTGATTTTTTTTTTTTTTGGTTCAATACTCTGAATACAATTTTTTTTGTCAGTTTTTTTTCCTTATCATGATTATTCAGAAAAAAACAAGACAAGACATGATACATTCAGGTGCATTTTATCACAGAAAAAAAGAAATAAAAAAGAAAACACCAGGAAAAAAACAATTTTCTGTCATATATTCTGACCATTTTCCAATGATAATCGTGTTTGTAAATTAAATTTTTTCATCATCATCATCATCCGCCGAACCAAATTGAACCATTCATTCATTCCATTCATTCCATTCAGTCATTCGATTGCCAAATGATCACACAAATTTTTTTTTCCATTATCGAAATCGGCCCCGGAGGATAATAATTTGGAAACTGAAAAAAATTTTTGCACTCAAAAATTCAGGATTTCTTGCCACCGTTGTTGTTGTTGTTGACGATTATTTTTTTTCCTGTTCCTCTATATTTATATATACTTGTCGAAACATAATTACAATGATGATGATGATAATTCAAGGATTTTTAAAGTTTGACGACGATGATGATGATGGTGGTGGTAATTAGTGGAAAACCGAGAATTTTTTGTCATTTCGTTTTGCGAAATTTTTTTTATTTTGTTAAATCCAAAAAAAACAGCGATTTTTTTTTTGGAAAATTTTTCCAACTAATTGAGCTCATTATTTATCTGGTCGGTTTTTTTTTGAGCAGTAGTAGCGGTAGTTGTGGTGGTAGTAGTGGTGGTTCCGCTCGTGTTATTATTCATAGATTATCGGATGTGTAAATCTCGTAATGATAATGATGATGACGATGAAAATTCTGTGAATTCTTGTTGTTGGAATAATTTTTTTTTTTGAATGTTATTTGATGTCATTCGTTTCAATTTTTGCATTTTGAAAATGCAAAATTTCAGAATCTAAAATACTCATTGTCTGTGTGTGTGCACGTTTTTGAGTGAAAATGAATACATGACCAGAATTTGAAATGAAACATAACTTGCTCATAAATAACGTGTACACGAATCGTGTAGTCGTCATCGTTTGATCGAGCAATCTCTCCTGTTCATTCATTCATCTTTAGCATCATTTCCGGACATTGAATGAATGAAAATTTTCAAGATAAAAATCCAAAATGACTTTACACCACCACCATCATGATGATTTTTCGCTTTTTTAATCAGATTATTAGTATGAACAAACAAACAAAAACGAATGGTTGGATGTGCAACAAAAAAAAAAAATAAACAAACCCAAAAAAGAATCAGAATCAGAATTATCAGCGGACATTACACTCACAATGACAAAAACATAACCGATTCTGGAGCTGTTTATTGATTGTTTTTTTTTCATTCTGTTATCATCACCATCACCATCGTCATCATCATCATCATTAGTCAATGATCGATGATTAAATTGGACGATCATTGACATTTTTTTTTTACTGATTGCTATTAACCAATTGACATCCGTTTATTGAATTGGACGATTTTCAAAAAAAAAAAATTCAATTCGATCGTGTTTCATCAATCGATCAATTGTGTGTGTGTGTGTGTGAATCTAACACATCGATCCACACACACACACAATTAATCAATTAATATGGTTCTTGTCGATAATTTGCCGTAGTAGTAGCATTAGTAGTAGTAGTAGCAGTGGTAGTGATAAAGAATTTTCTAGCAACACAGAATTTCTATTTACGTGGATATATATTTTTTATTTAAATCGATCGATCAATCGATATAATCTCATTATAATCATTCAAATGCATCATCATCATCATCATCGTCTTCATCGCCATTCGTTCAATATAGTCCACCATATATGATTTTTAAACTACACGGTATCCGGTATTCTGCGTGAATTCTGGAGAAAACCAAAAACAAAACCAAAAAAAAAAAAAAAAAAAAAACCTCACTTGTCTATGTATGAATTCCCATCTAGAAGATTTCCAATGTCATGCTTTATTCATGTGTTTGTATATCTAGTTTCTAATCTAACTAGAATCTAGATTCTAGATTCTAGAATTTTACATTTACTGTAACACTCACATGTCAAGACATATAACTTATTTTTCACTATAATTAAATTACCTCTCTCTCTCTCACTCTGTTTGCATCAGCTAATTTTAGATTAAAACTTTCTTCGAAATATAAAAAGAATTGAAATGGCGAAAAAAATATACGCATCATTATTATTCCACGTTATAACAAACTAACAAACTAACTAGGTAACTACTACTACTACTACTACTCATAATTATTCCAGGTAAATTTCATTAATTTTAATGAAATATACAACAAGCAGATAATTTCTTATCTTATTTCTATGCATATGTGTGTGTGTGTGTTTTTTTCTAATTATAAACACTGTTCTTGTTGTTGTTGTTGTTGTTGTTGTCAGCATTCATCATCAGAATTTCAGAATTCTTGAATTTATCTACATAAAAATAGTAGATTCTTATAATCAAAAGGAAAAATATTTGACATTTGCCCTTGCACATACGTATACACAAATGAAATACAGAATAAATAAAGAATCTATCGAACCGTAGGAATGGATGAGTAAAAATAACAACAACAACAACAACAAAAATTGAATCGATCGATTGATCGATTTTCATTCACTTGAATGAACATGCATTATTTGTTGTCGTTGTCTTTGTTGCCATTATGATCAAAATTATCATTGTGAATCAGGAATCTATCAATGTTGATGATGATGACAATTTTCTTTTCTTTTTTTTTCGTTCAATGAATGATCTATTATCATTATTATTATGAATGAATGAATGAATGGTGTGTTTGCCGTTGTTGTTGTTGTTGAATGACTAAGAATAATAAAAAAAAAAAAAAACTTTTCTTCGTTGTTTGTCTTCATCATCATTATTCATTCAAGAATATCGATGATTCTGGGAAAGAAAAAATTTTTAAAGAAAAAAAATTTGAAATTTTATTTATTTATAATAATGACTTTTTTCCAACAAAATTCTTCTTTTTTTCTTTTCTCCAAAGATGATGAAAAATAAAAATTTAACTGAGAATCGAACATTTTTATGATTAGATTTCGAATCTAATTATCATGTGCAGTGGTGGTAGTGGTGGTGGTAGTAGCGGTGTGCAATTCATATCGATTTGTTCATTAAATATGTTATATTATCGGGTATATTATAATAAAAACATTTTAAACAGTTGATGATGTATCAATCAATCAATCAGGTAAAAAAAAGGTCAAAGTCATTTTATTTCATAAATATATTAAAATTACTGCCTGTGATTAATAATGACGAAAAAAAACAAAATTCATTCATGCATTCAACACACACACACACACACACAAAATTTGATTGTTTTCCATCATGTTATAATTGTGTGCGCGTGTGAATATTGAAATCTATTATTATCTCCATCATCACCAATCATTGTAATCATCATCATCATCATCATCTGACATTAATTACCATTATTCAATCATCAATCAATCAATCTAAAAACTGATCGGAAAAAATTTATTAATAAATAAGAAAAAAAATCATAAATGACATTGAAAAACCATATACACACACACACGTCCAATATTTAAATATCATGGTGTGTGTGTGGTTGACCTAGGATCATACACACACACACCATGATATCCATCAAGATGTCATCATCATCATCATCAATCATGGACTTTATGATCGATCAAGTGGAAAAAGAAAAACATTATTATTGCCATATCATCAATATATAGACAAGGCACATAATTTTTTTTTTCATATATCCAAATAAAATTCGAATGTTCATGATGATCATCATCATTATGATTTTTATGAATGGCCCATATCATCATCAAATGATCACCATTATCATTAATTTGATTGAAACAATGTTTCAATTTGGTTTTTTTCATCATCATCACTATTATTATTATCATTTAATTCGAGTAAAAGTTTTTTTTCCTTTGCACTTTGAATTTCACTTGTCTGATGAATGTTGTCCATTTTCATTTCATTTCATTTCATTTTCACTGACCACCATCATCATCATCATTATCACCATCGTCGTCATTATTTTATGTTGTGCCAAAAATATTGACATTTGGAAATTTAATATATCCAGAGAACCAAAAAAAATCCATGGATCAACCAAAAATGAAATGAGATACGTTTCAATGGGGTGGGCCGAACCAGTAAAAAATTTTCCATGTGAAAGAATCTCGATTCTTTTTGTGAAACAAAAAAAAATTTTTTTTTTTCGCGCAACAAAAAGCGAAAAAAAAACCAAAATGGAAATAGAATGTGAATACATATGGTTTTTCATCTGAAATTTTCTCTTAAAAAAATGGAAACAAAATTTCTATCGATTCTGGTTCAGAGTGGGTGTGTGTGCTGTTGTTGTTGTTGTCAAAAAAATAGCCAGCCAAATAGGTAATAGAAACATATCACCAAGACAACAACAACAACAACAACAACAAAATTCGGTCAACAACATCAACAAAAAACAAAAAAAAAATTTGAATCAAAATCAACAACAACAACAACAAAAAACTTATTTAGAAAGATTGTAAAAAAAATTGAGAAATTGGGAATATTCTGCTCTAAGGTAAAAAAAATGCAACCAATAAATAAATATACGTGGTGATGCAAAAAAAAAGAAAATTTTTTTTTGTTTGTTTGTTTGGATCAAACTTGTTCCACTGAATAAATCACCTTGTTATACGATTCTATTCGATTTTTTTTTTTTTGATCACTATGGGCAACAAAAACAAACGAATATGGCTAGAATAGAATATTCTTTGATGTGTTTTTTTTTGTCGCTACCATATTTCTATTTTTCTTTCCAATTCTAATCAAAAATAGAAGAATTGTCTGTATTTGAAAAGAATCGTCGCATTCAATCAGACACACGCACAGATACGCACATAATTCCACAAATTATTTGGTAGAATTTTTAGTGCACTACTAATGCTGCTACCACTGTAAGAATATGTGTAGGTGTAGTGCAAATTCTGATAAAGTTTTTTTTCTGGTTTCGTTTTTGGTCATCATACACACACATACACACGAAAAAAACGATTCAAACTTTCCACTATGATTAGTTTATGGAATTTTTTTCCCCATTTTCATTTTCATTTCATTTCATTTTATTACTTGTTCCAAAAAAAGATATATTCCATCGATTCTTTAAAGGTAAAGTAGTGGTAGTAGTGTTGTTGGTGGTGGTGGTAAACATAAATGCTACATGTCATTACATCCATTATTATTGTGAATGGAACAGAATATACCAAAAAGTGGTAGCGGTATACATTCCAGGCTGTTAAGATTTTCGAATGAAACATTCGAAATGAGATAGTTTGTTTTTTTCGATTTTTTTATTATTATTCCACATTCATTCATTCATTCTGTTGATGATGATGATACATCGGATCCAGAATCGGTGAAATCTATTCGCGCGCTATTCTTTTGTGTGTGTGTGTGAAACAAAGAAAAAACCTATTACTTTTATTCGGTTGATATACCGTTGTATTGATCATCAAATTCATGCCTTTGTTTGTGTACGTGCGATGGTGGCCACTTGACCATCATCATCATCATCATCATCATTGTCCATATCATTTAATCGAAAGATGAACAAACCAAGAAAAAGAAAAGTATCGAAATAATAATATGAATTTTCATCATCATCATCATCAGAATATCGATTCTATTTTTTTTCTTCTTCTTCCTCTCTATTAAAAACATCGATTTGTGATTCGTGATGTGATGATATTTTTGTTACTTATCACAAATGTTGAATCAAAAAAAAAAAAATTCAATCGACTTAAAACCACAGATGAAATAAAGAAAATTCGATATTTATATGTTCCAAAAAAACAGAAGCTCAATCGATTTCATCCGAAACCAGACACACGCACACACGGAATATTCAAATTTATTAAATCGATTTTTATATGTGCATATGTAAAAAAAACTCAAAAGTTGTTGATATTTGCAAAAAAAACGAACGAACGAAAAAATTCCTGAATAGTGAAAAAAAAAATATACAACGTGGCCAAGAATATTTGTCAACAACGTTGCTACCGATACAAATCATTCAATGGAAAATTAATTGGATATACAATTCAAGAATTTGCTCAACAAAAAATTAATGATAAATATTTACCTTTGACGAATGAATTTTTTTCTTTTTTACACTGCTGCTGCTGTTTCTGGTGCGTGTGAATATATGATCAATCATTCGAAACTTTCTCTCTCTCTCTCTCTCTCTCTCTCTCTCTCTCAACGAATCAATGTTTGATTATTCTTCATTTTATTCTCTTGGTCTGTGTTTGTGTTTGTGAATGTTTGGACTTGATGAAAATTTTCCCTTTCCCTGTAAAATGTTTCATGCAAATGTTTTTTTTGTGTGTCTGTGAAAAAAAAACAGGAAGCAAGAATAAACAACACACACACACACACACTAACAAAAATGGTATCATTACCTATAGGTAAAAAAAAGTTAGTCATTCACAACAAATGTGTCAAGTGGTCGTGGTTTTTGTTTTTGTTTTTGTGTGTGTGTGTGTGTGGTTTTCCATAGTATATAAATGAATGAATGAATCATTCATTTTTTTTTGGCCAGTAGGACGTCACGTTTTGTGGTTTGTTGTTTTTTTTCAGTTCAATTTGCAAATGAACATGGAAAGTAAAAAAAAATTCCGCCAACCAAACGTGTGACGATTCAGCTAGGAATTCACTCTGTTTTTTTTTTGTTCCAATCATTTGTATCATCATCATGTGAATCTAATGTGAAAATTAATAACCACCAATGATCATGATCATTATTATTAGCCTAAAATGGACTATTGTTGTTGTTGTTGTTGTATACGCCTCGGAATATTCTGTAATAATCATTATTATTCATCCGGTTATTTTTTTATTTATTTTTTTGGCAAATAAACGAAAATCACATTTAATCGATTCTGAATCATTGTATTTCTATGTGTGTGTGTGTCTGATCAGTTTTTTTTACAACAGGAAATCTTAACAACAACAACAAAAGAAAATAAACCATCCATCCATCCATTTGGATAAAAAGATTTTTTTTGTTTTGTTGGTGCTACTAATTTCTTGTCGTTGTTTTATCGAGCAAATAACGATTCTTTTTTTTCTTCTTATTCTTATTTGTTTAGGAATATTCCAGATCTCATGAATCATTATTATTATTATGACTAAATATGGAGAAGAGAAGAAAAAATAAAATGCCCAGTCAAATATACTCTATTCTACTCTATCATACAAAGAGAGCGAGAGAGAATGAGAATGATGATGATGATTCTTTTTGTGTTAATATGTCGCGTGTATTTTTCTCATTTACCATAATTGCTTACCATTGAAAAATGAGAAATTATACAACACAACGAGATCATCATCATCATTGTGGTCTTTTTGAATCGTTGTTGTTGTTATGTTCACTTCATCATCATTTTACCATTAGAATTTCATTGAAAAAAAGAGAACAAAAAAGATGATGATGATGATGATGATGATAATAATTACACGATGGTGGCATTCTAATGAAATTTAAATTATTCAATCGATTCTTATTTTTCTCCATCACTTTTTTGCGTGCGTGGGTGTGTGTGTGCGGGTGTATCGATTTATTTAAAGTTTTTTTTCTCCACAACAATGAATGATTTATTTTCTGATTCAAATTTATTTATTTACTGTGAATTCCATTAAATGAAATGAGAAAAATGAATGGCATCCCTTTGAAAACCAGAATCATTTCTGATTCAAATCACAGAATCTATTTATTTACTGTGAATTCATTCAAGTCGTTCATTAAATGAAATGAGAAAAAAAAATGAAGAATTTTTCATCAATTGAAACAACAGAATTTTTTTTCTCTCTCTTTTTTTTCTTGCCTTTTCAATTCTTTTCTTCCACATATGTTCATCTTTTTTTTTATTCTTCATTTCAGAATCTCATTTCATATCCAAAATTGGACCCTGAAGCTTGTCAATTTAGTATTGAGAAATGCAAAAAAAAAATTCATGCAAAATAAATGAATAAATAAACTGTCAGAGATAATAATGGATTGCTGATCTTTTTTTTTTTTTTTTTTCTCTTTTTTTTCTCATTCATTTCTTATAGCAAACAACTTTATTAGGATTCGTTCGTTCAACTTCAAGAATCAGCAGCAGCAACAACAAACAGACAAACTAACTAAATTAATTCTAGCTGTTTGTACATCATCATCATCATCATCATCATCATCAAAATTCATCAATTTAAAAGTTACAATCTAATTTAACTCTTGTAGACATTTCATTTTCTTTTTTTTTTTTTTGTATCCATTATCATCATCATCATCATCATCTTGATATGTCATGTCATTTATTATCATTGGACCAGTTGAAACAACAACAACAACAACGATAACCGGCCATTATTGATGATGATACTACATGGCTAGCAACAACAATAACAACAACAACAACAACAACAAAAAAATTTGAAATTGAAATTAATTTTCACAATTTCTTCTGTGTGTATGTGTGTGTTTTTTACCATTTCTTTGATTAATTATCATATATTCTGAAATAATTTTTTGTGTGTGTGTGTGTGTGTGTGTGTATTTCGTTTCTCTCTGTGTGTGTGTGTGTTGCTATGGGTTTACATTGTATTTCCATATACACATTATATATGTGAATGTGAACTCAATAAATCAAGACGTTTATCAGTTTATGATGATTATCATTATCATCATCATCAATACAAAAAACACATGCAGTAACGATAATAAAATTCTCGTTATTATCACCACCATCACACTACCATCATCATTAAACTATGAAAAGATGACATTAAAAGCAAATTACAACATCGACAACAATAGCAACAACATTCATTTGTAACAAAAAAAAAGAGAAAAAACCACAGGAATAAAGAAAGAAAAAAAATTATTGCAAAATACAAAAAAAAATCGAAATCGAATAAAATAAATGTTGCGATGATGACTGGCAATAAAATGGGATCACGAGAATTTGTTCGTATAAAATCATCATCAATGTTGATACAGCCAACACCATCATCATCAACAACTAAACAACAACAACAACAACAGCAGCAAAAATTCAACAAATAATAATCCAAAGATTCGCATATCATCATCATCATCATCATCAACGACAAGAAAAGAGGTCTGTATTCATGTCGAGTTTTTCTTTTCATTTGATTATCATCAATCTGTCAACAACAACAACAACAACAACAACAAACGACGTAGAACAAATTTTCAATTTCAGTGATAGCCAAGAATTACTTGAGAATGAACAACAACAATGTTCATTTCATTCATTTCATTCATTCTTCAATTTCTTCAGATTCGTCTTTTTTTTCATGGTTCAATTGATCAAAATCAAACAACCGTACGGTCGGTCGGCCGGCCGGCCGGCAGGCTTCATCACTGTTTATCTGTTTATTTGTGTTGTTGATTTATTTTTTTTTTCCATCGGCCATTCAAAACAAACACATTCAATCGATCAAAGCTAGAATTTTTATACTTGAATTTATCGTTTATTTATCGGATTGAATGTTCATTCGATTCGATTCAATTGATTCGATTCACAAGAATATTATTTGTTCTGTTGCGAAAATTGAATTGAATTTTTTTTTTTTTTTTTTGCAAAACATTTTCATCATCACACAACACATTCATTTAACCGATTGAGCACCGGTCTGATTTTCTTCTGAATTTGTTTGTTTGTCTGTTTGTGTGTTTTGATTGGATTTTCTGGTTTTTTGGGTATTTTTTTCTGTTTTTGCAAAAGTTAATGAGTTTTTTTTTGCTGTTTGAACAAAAAAAAATTTTTCAATTTCATTCTGATGTGATGATGATGATGATGATCCAATAACAAACACACACACACACACACACACACCTGAGCCAATAGATGAGAATTTATTGAATTCTGATTGAAATGTTAGCAAAAAAAAAAATGTCCATTTCCTGTAAATTCAACATTTTTTTTCTCGATTTTGCTTTTCATTTCAATAAAACAAATTTTTTTTTCTCTCCATATTCTTTGTTGAAACATATTCTTCGACATGTTTATCATTATTCTGTCTATATGTACTGTGTGACCGGAATTCCGACTATGATCTATATATATGCATTCTGTGTGTGTGTGTGTGTATTTGAATACATTGTATTTGGCTAATATATACTTGGCTTGTGAAAAAAGAAATGAATTTTTTTTTTCTCATTGTCATCATTGATATAGGAATAGCATACTGTTTACTCGGATTTATGACAGTGAAGCCAACATTTTTTCTCCTGTAGTCGTTGTATTCGTTGTTGTTGTTGTTGTTGGCGGCTTTATTAGAATTTTTTCAATTTTGACAAAATTTTTCCATTAAAATTTTCTTTTTTTTTGACAGTTACATCATTGTCATCATCATCATCAATTGAGCAATGTCTTTATTATTATTCTTTATTGATTTTTATTCGATTCCTATTCATTTCATCATCATTATCATTCATTCATTCATTCATTGTGTGTGTGTGTATTGAATGTGAACATGCACAAAATCGAGAATCGAGACTGAATAATGTCCATTAATAATTTTTTTTGGCCATATGGTTTTTCAATATAATGCATGCATACAGAAACACACACACACAGGATATACATTACATTTTCGATTCCTGGATTTTTTCTTCTTTCATTCTCCATTGATTTATATTTACTCAATCATTTTGATTTTGATTATATGTGAGTGCTTTGAGTCCATGTGTGTGTAAATGTGGCCAAAGATATATGATGATGATGATGATGATGATGGTGGTGGTATTACATCATAAATAGCAGACAAATATTTTTTTTTTTTGCCATAAATCAAAACAATAACAATAACAACAACAACAACAACAACAACAACAACAACAACAACAACAATATGTTCATCGATATATGTAGTGATTATCAAGAAACTGTTAAACTGGTATAAACCAAAGAATTGCCATTAATTTAATTTAATCAAAATTATTTTCAAAATCCAAACAAAACAAAAAATTCCATTACGATTCATTTCAAATGTCCATTTGATTTATTTTTTTATTTTGTCAGAATTTTTTTTCTCTCTCTCTTTTTCTTTTTGTGGTAAAAAAGCTTTCACATAAAGTTTTGAAAGATTCTGTTTTTTTTTTATTCTCGGTTTGTGAATTATGTGTTGTGGTGCCGCTCTCTCTCTCTCTCTCTCTCATATCCTCTTGATAATTATTCCATGAATCTATTATCATTGTAACCATTTTTTGGTTTAGTTTAGTTTGTTTATTTTCATTTTATTTTTCTGGCCATTGCTGGCCATTGGTGTTGTTGTTGTTGTTGTTCAATTTTTTTTCCGGTTCACTTTTTTTTAGCTACCTAGGAAGAGAGAGAGAAAAAAAAACTTTTTTTTTGGCAGACCAATGGACAAGTTTTGTTCTCTTTCTCTCTCTGTTTGTGTGTGTGTGTATGCGTGTGTGGGTTTATTATGTTTTTTTTTCAGTACAATGATGAGATTGAATCATTGGTCAACTATGATGATGATGATGATGATGATTATAATGGATTCTGTTTCAAGGATTCGTTCTGTTTTTCTGTTTTTTGTTTTTTTTTGCCGTTATATAACCAGACTAAATTATAATGATAACAATATACTATTATATTTGGCATTTGTTGACATGCATAATGCATTTGTCTGTTGTTGTTGTTGTTGTTGTTGTTGTTGTTGTTGTTTTTTTCATGGTTTTGTTTTGTTTTGTTTGATTATATGGTGGTTGTATTTATATATATGAAATTGAATGAATGAATGAATGATGAAAAGATGAACAAAAAATCTATATATCACAAGATCATCATTATCCTATAAGTATTCATATGAATGGAATTGAATTGAATAGAATTCTTCGATTTGATTTGATTTGATTTTTTTTTCTGGCCAGGTATTTTCATTCATCATTGATAGATAGATTCAGTGATCACTGAATATTCTATTTCATTTTGAAATTCTTTTTGCATTCAAGAGAGAGAGAAAAAAAAATTCCATTTATTAAAAGGTCAGAATCTTTTTCCTTTTCATTTGCTGGATGTAGATTCTTCATTCAATCTATCCATCTGTCTGTCTGTCTGTCTATTTGTTTTTTTTTCATTTCATTGATCATTCATTTATTTATTGATCTACCATTAGCCATTATTTTTGCTTTTCATTTCCAATTTTTTTTTCTTCTATAATCATCATTTTTATTTTCATATCAATGATTATTAGCTGAATACGATTGGTCATCAATCGTTTGAAGCTGAATTTCTGTAAATAATTTTATTTGAACGCAATTTTCATCAACGATGATGATGATGATGATGGTGACCATTATCAAAAAAAATAATCATTATATCCAACTCACGCACCGAGATAGATATATATTATGGTCATTCTTAATCACATTGCTGGAAAAAAAAAATTTTTTTCTCTTGAAAAAAATAGTTAAAATAAATGAATGAATGAGTGGTAAAAGAATTTATGGAATTTCTTGTTTTTTTTTAAGCTGCCAAAAACAGAATATGTCTGTCTGTCTGTATGTTTGAATGAATTCACAAAACATTTCCATTGAAAATGATATTTATGATTTCCTCTCAAGATGACCATGATGATGATGATGATGATGATATCAATGGAGATAAAAGAGTCCATTTTTATTTAGTCCATTTTGAAGGTGAACATTTTCATTCACTATAAAGTTTATTTGAACATAGTTTTTTTTCCCCAGTTAATCATAATGAATTTTTTTATTCTTGATATTCTTCATATGGAATTTTTTCGATTTTTTTTTTGATTGACCATAATATATTAGTGGTATATTCTGGCTGGGAAAAAAAAATGAACCACTACATAGAGTTATTGCACTTTGTTTCACTTATTGCTCTTGTTGTTGTGGTTGATTGGTTTTTGTTATAACATCAATCATTATGTAAAGAGAGAAAGAGAGAGCGAGTGATATAATGATCAATGATGATGACCATAATTATTTTCGGCGTGTGCGTGTGTGTGTGTGTGTGTGTGTGTGTTGTTGTCAATGGTTTTTTTGGATTGTTATTTTTCCTAAAAAAAAAATATAAATACCAGGAAAAACAAAACAGCAGTAAAATCGGGGAAAAAAATATTGTAAAGACAACAACTATTTTAACAGAGTAAATAATTTCCGTGTTTTTTTTTCCCACCCCCGATAATGCCGGACAAGCAGCCCCTTGTTATAATCATTTTTTTTTTTTGTCTTTCCAAAGTTCATCATGATGATGAAAAGAACAGAAAAGAAAACGAAAAAAAAATGTTCGAATGCACTGATCAACAACAACAACAACAACAACAACGATGGAAAAGATTTATTGAGAATTTTGGTTTTTATTTCGCAGAAAAAAAAGTTGTTAATGTACTGTGTGTGTGTGGTGTGTGTGGTCAACGAATGTTTATTCATAAATATTGCACATGACATTGCTGAAGATGTAATTCAAGATGATTTAACACTCCATATACAGAATTTCCCATTTATTTTTATCATCATTTTCTTATATTCTTACTGGCTGAATGACTTTTTTTTTACATTTATCGTGTTCAATTCTTTATTCTTTTATTACGTCCTTCAACCAAATTCTGCATTATTAAATTCAGTAGAATTTTTTTTTCTTGATCCAAATGTAGGTGATGATGAGCTAGACGTTGATGCGATTAATATACCACTATATTATTATAAATATATGATGAGAAAAAAGTATGACGAACAAAAAAAAAAAAAGATTAAGCACGATGAATGTGTGCCAATATATTCCATCATCGTCGTCGTCGTTATATTTACCCTTGAATGGAATGCGGAAATTTTTTTTTTTTGGAATTGGAAAAATAAATTGAGCCACTTAATAAATTTTTTTCCATCTTGGTTTATTTCGCTTTACTGATTATTCGTTGATGATGACGAATTTTTATTTTCATTTTCATTTTCATTTCATAATAATAATGATGATAGAATATATTCCATCACGTTTTGTGAATATCGCGTGATCCAGAATAAATAGAATATGAAAAAAATGAGACTACAACAAACCTTGAGATATTTATTTGCTAAAAACGATTGGATTGATTTGATGTCATCACATAGACCAGTGTTTCCCAACCTTTTTTCCTCGCGAACCCCAAGAAAGGTCCAAAAAAATTTCACGAACCCCCTATGTCAGGGATGGCGAATCTTTTTGATGTCCGTGCCACAAAGTCATAAAAATTTTTTTTAAAATAGGTAACGTGCCAAAATCGGACAGTTTTGAAAAAACTGGAATCGAGAATCGAGAAAATGACAAGTTTCCAATCTAACACGACCTGTTCAGAATCGAGAAAATGACAAATCCAAACTAACACGATCAGTTCACATATAACACAAAGCGGTTTAGGTTCTGATTCATCACCAATATAATGAAATCCAAGTTGGAGATAGTTATCATCATATTTGCGTTTTTTTTCTTTAATAACATCATTTCCTTTGTTTTTCGTATGCTCACTACAAATTTCTTGATTATCATCACTCTTTTCTAATCGGCCAGTTTTCAGCCATCGATCCATAATTGTAAGATGGATAACCTTCGTGCAGCAAAAATCAAGTGTTGTTTATTTCATCATCTCAGACATATTATATACATACAAATAGGAACAATTCATAAACAGAGTTAAGTATCAACTCCTTCATTTCATAAATTGTCACGACTTAAATACAAGTCTAAACGACTCTTCATAAATAACGTTATACACACTCATGTATCAAAAGGTGATCTGTTACAAACATCGGTTAATACAACAGTACTAGTTTTTGTTTTGTTTTTTTTTTTTAATTTTAACGGCGTTTTAAAAAATCCGCCATTACAATATTATTTTCGCGAACCCCCTCTGCAAACACTGCGAACCCCCAGGGGTTCGCGAACCACCGGTTGGGAATCACTATGTCATAGATAAACACACACACTGCAAGAGAGAAAAAAATTTCAGCCACTTTATTTGATACATGTACATTGATCCATTAGTGTGGGTGTGGGCGTGGGTGTGTGATTAATTTTTTTATCAATTTTTTTCTGGTTCCATATTTCATCATCATGATGATTGGTGATGATCCATCCATTTTGAATTTTTCATTTTTTTTCATTTTTTTTTTTTATTTTTATTTTTTTTTTTTTTTGTTATTCTACAGAAAAAATCATCCAATTTGTCCAGATCTAAAATGGCCACCAACGAAATTGTCAATGTTGGCGGTGGTGGTGGTGGCAGTGATATTGTTGTCGGTTGCAATGCTGATAATGGTGATGGTGATGTTATTGATGATAATGATGATGATGATATTGATGTTGGTTTGCCACAATTTGAAATGATGAAATTTAAGAATAAAAATCCAACGTCCATTGATCATTATCATCATTTGAAACATTCAAAACAAAGAACGAATCAACATAGCAGTGATAATAATAGCCATGATGATGATGTTGGTGATGTAATTTCAAATAAATGTGATCCATTCTCATTATCATCATCAACATCACCGTCACGATCATCTGCTCATTCATATAAATCACATCCAAATGCAATCATATTGAAACAACGTCATCAAAAGAATCAAGAATCATCATCAATAGAACGACGGAATGAAAATCAAAAATTTCCAATCATTTGTAATAATATCCATGATGATGATAATCGTAGATTATCAGAACAAATGCCACAATTGACAACGCCGTTAGCTCAACGAAAAAATCTTCATCAACAATGATAGTGACAACATCACCTATAAAATCACCAGTGCCCAAAAGTAGTTTGACAAACATTACCACATTATCATTACAACAACATAATTCTTCCAATGATCATAATAATGGTAATGATATGAATAAATCATCATCATTATCAACAACAAAAAAGTTGAAAAATTCATCCATTTCTCCATCACCATCACCATCATCATCATCATCACGACGATCAAATGTCCATGATCAATCGAAGCAAACGAAACGAAATTTACAATGTGAACAAACGTCACCATCATCATCGACAACGATCAACAGCAAAACGAATCGTCAAAATAATTCCGATTCTTGCCATGGTGGTTGTCATTGTCAACAGCGACAACAACAACAACAACAAGAATGTTATGATCAAAAAAACAACAAAATCAATAACAAACAATCAGATAGTAATTATGAACAGTGTACAGCAACAAAACATTCAATGAAAAAGAAATCCAAAATCAAACAAATAACAATGATTGATGATGATTATTTTGGTGAAATGAATCCAAATCTAAATCAAATAAAAAATTCTGATTGTAATAATCAACAACAGCAGCAACAACAACAACAGCCACCACTATCACAACAGCAACAGGAACCATTATCACAAGTGCTTGTTACATTAAAAGATCAGAATAAAAATCTAATCAAAGAAGTAGAAGATTTACGTATCAAATTAGAAGACGCTGAAGGTAAGAAGATTGAAAATCAATCAAGTAAATAAAATAAATCATTGGTGATTGGTGATATGCATATGAATGTATGAATGAATGAATGAATATGCAAAAATGCAGTATATTATTTTCTGTTTCGCATCGATTGATTTGATTTGATTGATTGATTTATCGATTTTATCCATTTCATTAGAATCATCATTAGGCCAATCACTAATATCTACGAAAAAACTGAAAAAAAAGATCAGAATCGGTCGAATTATTATTATTGCCATGCATATGTAAAACCAAATTATCATCATCATAATGATGTTGTTGTTGTTGTTGTTGTTGGCTTATATCTTGGTAATAATTAGTTGAATTTATATTTCCACATTTGGCTGTAAATATAGAAATCTACTACTACTACTATAGTACTACTGAATAGAATAATTCTATCTCATGAATCTAAATATAATGATGATTCTCATCATCATCATCATCATTTATTTTTTTTCCGTTTTCGTTATTATTATTGTTGTTGTTGTTGCTGCTGATGCTGCCGCCGCCGTTGCTTTATTATGATCAACACAATGAAAATAACGAAAGAAATGGTTCAATTTTAGGTTGAATGAATGAATGAAAAAAAAATGAATTCTAGCCATATTTGGCCAAAACACACACACACACACACAGAATTTTTTTTTTTTTTTGCTTTTTCGTTTCATCCAAATAAAGAATAGGCGATGATGATGATGATGATGATGAATGATTGGGAAGAGCGGGCGAAAAAAAAATTGGTGAAAACTAATAAAAGTAATGAGATATTGTGTAATTGAGAGAGAGAGAGAGAAAGAGCCGAAAAAAATAGAAATTGCTTTTGACGCCAAAAATGTGTACCAGAGAATCTTTCGTTGGAATCAGAAATCAATTCTGTTCTAGAAATGGCAAAGAAAGAAAAAAAAATTAGTGAACAGAGGATTTTTTTTTTGTAGAGAAAAAAAAACTTTTTATTATCTTTTTTTTCATAGAAGAATTGGATTCACAAGAAAGAATTAAAGAATGATGATGACACATTTTTTTCTCATTCATTCATTCATTTATTCGGTGATTTTTGATTTTCTCCACCATTCGATTCGATTCCATTTTGATTGATTGATTTTGTTTTTTTTCTCTCTCTCTCGAAAGATCGATTCAATGTTGATGATGATGATGATGTTTCGCCCATTTTATATTAGTTTTCGATCAGGTTTATTTATTTATTTATTTGTTATAAAGGTGTGTCCATCAATGTTCCACCCAATGTCCAGTTCTGGCTGGCCATATATATTTATTATGGGAATTTATTCCTGTTTTAAATAATCGAAACAATAGTTGTAGTAGTAGTAGTAGTTGTTTGATTTTGTATAGTATCGATTATAGCTAATATGTTACTAATACATTCTTCAACATTAATATCGATGTTATCTGGTCGATGATTGTTGTTGTTGACATTGTTTGTCGGTACATTCACCATCATCTGCTGTTGTTGTTGATTAAATTCACGTATCATTTGGTTCATCATATCCTCCCAATTGGTTGTCATCATTGTTCCCATTGTTGTTGTTGATGATGATGTTTCCACACTGGACATAGTTGTTGTTGTGGACATTCCATTCATTATTTGTGATATTAAATTTGACCAATCCGCTGTTGTCATTGTTGACTGTGAATGAGTAATAACAATAAAAAAAAAGAATGATGATGATTTTTGTAATCATAATCTTCATTATTATATATTTATTTACCTGGTTATTATCACCATTAATAGCTTGGTCAAAATCGAATATTGTACCAGGCCTTGTTGTTGTTGCCGATGTTTGATTAAATAAACGATCCCAATCAATTTCAGCTATTGTTGATCGTTGATAATTTGCTGCCGTTGTCATTGTTGCTAATGATCCATCCGATGATGTCATCATTCTGGTTGTCGTTGATGATGGATCAACATAACCCATACCACCTATTTGAGAACCTGAAAAAAAACAATTTCCAGATAAATAAACAGAACAACAACAACAACAACAATGACAACAACAACAGCAACCTACCATGAATATCTTTTTCAATATGATACAATTGTTGTGATATTTGTACTAAAAGTGAAACAATTTGTGTTAATAGCGGCATAATTTCGTCATTATTCGATGATGATGATGATGACGACGGTTTCTCTGTTGATGGATAACATTTTGAATCATCAAAACGTCTTGATTGACTTAGATAATTGGCTAAACGTATACGTATACATTCAATACGATTTAATTCATTTTGTACATTCATTGTTAATAATGATGGATCAACATTTTCAAAATGTTGTAATATATAATCAATACGTTTAATTACTTGTATAAGTATTTGACGAAAATTTTTATCCTGTAATAATGTATGATCATTTTCAATACCATCAACCATATCGGTAAGTAAATTGACCAATTGATTTAATAGCCATTCAATTTCAGTCATTGTATCAGCTAAACGTGATTGTATATCATTTGATTGTATATTGTCACGCAATAATCGTTGTTGATCATCAATTGGTGATGAATTTAATGATGAAATTATTGTAGCCAAAAAAATTAAAATAACAATCAAATTGATTGATCTATAATGATTATTGAATTGTTGTTTTGCTGCCATCATCATCATCATGATAAATTAATATATTCGAAAAATGAAAATTGAACGAAAATCAAAATAAAATGTCAGTTGTTGAACAATTTGCAAATGAAAAGCCCAATTTATACTAGCTGGTTGCCAGCAAAACACACACACACACACACTTGATGGTAAATGACCTGACAGTATGCAGTAGAAATTTATAATAATCCGGGTGTTTGTTTTGTTTTTTGAAAATTTTTTGAAATGAAAAAAATTGTACATGATGGTTGAATTTGAAAAAAAATTTTTTTTTTCAATTTTTTTCCAAAATCAAACCAATGCTGGTATTCGAATTCTTTTTTTTCGCTGATTTCTTCCTGAATAATTTTTTTTCTTTGTCGTTTTTTTTTGCCATCTCTAGGCGATCTAAAATTGGTCCAATGTCAAATGCGACAGATATCCAAACAGGTGATTGATAATCGTAATGAAAAAAATGTAACGACAACAAATTGTGATCACCAACAACGATTAATGGATTATGAATTGAATAAAAATCTATTGAATGAATTGGAATTTTTAAAGGAAAAAATTCTAATACTTGAAAGAGATTTGCAAACATTATTGATGGAAAAAGATGAATTACAATTATCAAGACATGAATTACAGGAGAAAAATGATCAATTAAATCAACGAATAATTTCAATGATGAAATTGATGCCCAATTCGAATGTGAATAATACGGAAATCGGTACACAACATCAGCAGCAGCAGCAGCAACAATCGAATGATTTGGATGCTCTTTATATGGAAAATAGGTACCATATTTTTTTTGTTTTCAATATTTCAATCAATTTTCATGATAATTTATCCATATCTCAATAGATATTTGAAAGAAAAAATTAAAAATTATAATGAAGAAAAATCATTATTATTAGAACGTTTGATTACATATCAAGATCTGGTTAAACAACAGAATTCACATCATTCATTTGATCATCATCATCATCATCTTTATTCTCAACCTCAATCTCATCATCTTGGAATTAATTGTGATAAAATAGATCCATGTTATCATGATCCATCAAAAGCAACAGCAGCAGCAACGACAACGACGACAACGACAACATCCAAAATGAATGTGCCTTCCATAATGACCACCAATACGGATGTTTGTATGAACATCATAGGCCATCATACTGATAATAATGATGATGATGATGATGGTAATGGTTTCTGTTGTGGTAAAAATCAGGCCAATATGGTCGTTAATAATAATAATCATCATAGTATGAACAAAAACATTGCTGAATCAAATAAAATAAAAAATATTACAACTGGTAACATGGCAACGCCAACAACGACTACAACGATGACGACAACAACAACAACAACAACAAAACAACGAATATTATGGACGATATGACCACAACAGAGCAGCAGCAGCAGCAACAACAACAACAAAATTTCATCTATCCGATGGCCATATTGTTGATGTACGTGATATTGAAAATATGATAACATTCAATATGATCAATGAAATGGAAGTGAACAAATCGAACCAGATATATCTTTGGGAACTTTTAACGGCCATGTTTCAAGGTATAATAATAATAATAATAATTTTTCTCAAAAAAAAAAAAAAATTTGACCATACCATCATCATCATGTTAGGTTGTTGTTGTTGTTGTTGTTACACAAAGTGCCAAGTATATAAGTAATAATCTTGATAAAATGATAGAAAAAAAAGAACTACCAGATATCTATTTTTGCGCTGCATTGAAACGACTTTTTTTTTCCTACTTTAGAGTTGTTGACCAAATTCTTAGAAAAAAAAATGGAATGATGATGAATGGAGTGGCTAACAATGTAATTCGGTTTGAATTATTTATTTACTTAAATTGATTTATCTTTTTTTTTTTTCTATTCTTTTTTTTTTTTGAAATGAATTCCGTGCTTGGAACAATAACAACAACAACAACAACAACAACAACAAAAAAAAAAAAATTCTGCCTTTCTCGGGGTCGAATTGATCACACAGGACTTCGAACAAAGAATATTAATTTACAACTAGCACAAAAAACAAATGGAGCATTAGAAGAAAGAATAGAAAAATTGGAAAAAAGATTGGCTGCAAAGAGGAACAACAAGAAAAAAAATCCATACAACATTCAATGGAAAATTATCATTATAAATTTATTGATGATGATAATAATAATGGATCAGGCTGCTTCAGTAATCGAATTTTATTAAAAAAACCAAAAACAATAAATCCAATAAGATTATCCAGTGGTAATAGTCCAATATTAAAGACAACAGCAACAACAATAATTGACAATGTTTCTTCAGATTCATCACCACCACCACCACCATCATCATCATCGTCATCATTACATTTTTATCCTAATGATCATCATCATCATTTTGAAATGTCCACAATTAATAGTGATATTATTGGCCATCATCATCAACATCATTTCTTAATGTCCCATAAAATTAACGGTGGTATCGATATTCATAATAATAATGTTGATGGTGACGATGATGAAGATGGTCATACAAATTCATTACGAACAACCATATCAGCAATTACTACTACTACTACTACTACTACAACAACAACAACGCCGACAAATAATGAACAAATGATAATAAATTTGAATAAAGAAACTACAGATGATGATGATGATAATGATGATGAATTATTAGATGATGATGATGATTATTCATGTTCAATATCAACACTATCAACAACAACGGCTATTGCAGCTGCTGCTGTTGCAAGACATCATTGTCAACAACAACAACAATCACCAACAAATAGTATTGAAAGACAATTATTAGATTTACAAAATGATGCCCTACGTGATTCACCATTGTCAACAACAATGTTGACAATGGTAACAACACCGTTATCATCAACAGATTTAAATATACATGATGATGATGATATTGATGATGCTTCCTATGATGTAAATTTATCAATTGCAGCAGCAGCAGCAGCAGCAGCAGCAGCTACTACAAATAATTTATCATCATCATCATCAAATTATGGTTCAATTCTTGAACGATCACCATTATCATCATCATCATCATCAGCGGCTGCGGCAACGAAATCAAAACTTTTAAAATGACCAAAAAAAAAAAAAAAAAAAAATTTTTCGTTTGTTTGAATATTTATATATGTGTGTGTGTGTTTGTTTGTTTTTGTTTTTGTTTTGAAATTCTGGATTTTTATATAAATATAAATATATTATATATATATCTATTTATTTTGTTTGCTTACCTGTTTGTTTGCGACAAAAAAATTTTCTTTTTTGTTTTCTCTCTTTAAAAAAAATGTGAAATAAAACAAATGAATGAATGGAAAAATTCTTTTTTTTTGAGAAAAAATCAATAAATTCAAGGAAATTGATCATCACCAATAACCAATTGGCTATTATATATTCTACTTTTCTTTCATAGTTTTTTTTCCATACTTAAATTTTGTGTGTGTGTGTGTGCGTTCGTGTTTTGAATCAATTTCCGTCTCAATAGACATACACACACACACACACACACACTTGAACTGTTCATCACTCGATTTTTTTAGAATCGGTCGACGTCATCATCATCATTGTCATCGTTACTTTTTTTTTTGCTTTGCAGGAAATTATAATAACACCACATTTTGACTTGTGACAATAATAATAACTACTATATTCAAACGAAAAAAAAGAGCAAAACAAAAAAAAAAAAAATCTGCCAATTTTATGTCTGTCTGTGTGTGTGTGTGCTAATAATAAATACAATGTAAAAAATGCAGAGAATTTCAGAAATAAAGAATAAAAATTGAATAGACAAAAAAAAACGAGAACGAGAGAGATCAAGACAATCAATATATTGTGCCATCATCATCATCATCATCATCATCATCTCTATGAAACAAGAATGAAGAAAAATAAATAAATCGATAAACCAGAATGAACTGAAAAGAAGAAGAAGAAGAAAAAAAAAAAGTGACAAAATACTAAAATGGAGAATGTTTCTTTGCTTTTTTTTTGTTTGTTTGTTTGAATGGTATCGAATAGCAATTAGATTTGTCAATAACAACAACAACAACAACGACGACAACAACAACGAAAACGACAACGACAACAAGAATGATAATAACAGGAAAGAAATGAAAAAAAAACAAAATAAAATGTCAATCTACTTACAGAATATATATATAAGAATAAGAATAATCAAAAATAGAAAAGTTTGTTTCGTTTTTTTATGCTTAAAATTATTCTTCTTATTTTATGGATTTTTTGTTTTCTGTTCTGTTTTCGTTTTTAGTGATAAAAGTGGCTTGTGGGTGTGCGAGTGTGTGTAATGATGATGACGACATGAATTATAGATAATTACTAGCCATTAACAAAAAGAAAAAAAAAGTTTGTTGAATATTACCGTTAACATACATTTTATTTGGGCACCGCCTTCATCAATTTATTGAGATATTTTGTTTTTTATTTTCTTTGGTTGATGAAAAGTTAATAAAAAGAAAAACTTTTTTTTTATGTTCAGTGTTGGAAAGCAGGTTGTTTTAGAATTTCTATTCACCAAAAAAAAAAAAAAAAAACAGAATTTCATCAGAAATTCTCATAGAAAGCTTTGAATTGAAACTGCACTTATTTTAAATGTTAGAATTTCCCATTTTGGGGAGCCAGTAATATATTACTCAAATTGTTTTTTTTTTCTTCTTCTTCTTATCCCGTTTCTGGTTTTTTTTTAAAGGTAATCTCATCATTTTCAAATTGTCTTCAAATTGTTTTTTTTCTCTGAAAAAATGAAATTGGCAATCTTGCTGGTAAAATTAATAATAACAACATGTTCTAGTCACCATGGTGAATTATATTGTCACAATGGCACACACACACACACACACGAACACAAGCGAATAACCGATGGAAAGTTTTTTTTCCCGGCAAATACCGACTAGAATGGGAAAACCACTTTCAATTTGCAATTTGAATGACTTTTTTTTTTTGATGTTTCATTTCCTTTGCAGCATCATGATGATGATGATATTTGGGCTACAATTTTACAGACAAAAAAAAAATTTGTCAAAAAAGCCATTGGCACAATTGTGTGTGTGTGTGTGTGTGTGTGTGTGTGTGTGTGTGTGTGTGTGTATTATTCTCAACAACCAAAGAATTTTTTCTTCTTTTCGTTTATTGCTTGTTTTTTTTTCATTCGAATAAAATGTAACTATGAATTTGACATTTATACATTTCGAGATTCTATTCAAAACAAAACAAAATAAAACAGAAAAAAAACACAGAATTCTCTCCTCAAATGAAATCTACAAAGAATCATCATTCATTCATTCATTCATTCATTCATAACGTCAGTGTCAAGATTCAATGCTTCTGGCCATTATTCATGTGTGTGTGTCTTTCTGTCTGTGTTTTTTGAGAAAAAAAAGCATGCATAAATCTTTTGACATTTCTTCTTACAAATGACATTTTCAGAAATCAAAAAAAAAAAAAAAAAAAAAAAATTTTTCATCACACAACATTTGTATACACTCGCCACTACTAACACCACCACCACCACCACCACCACCATTGGTTGTATGTTAATGAGAAAACATTAATCATTCAAAAGCAAGAAAAAAAAATCCGAAAAATACTGATATGGTGATGATGATGATGAAATGAATTTTTTTTTTTTTTTGTAGAAATTTTAAATCAAAATTTTTTCGATCCAAAAAAAAAAGTTTCATTTTCCATACACATCACTTTCATAGCACAGTGAGTTTGGTAACAGGGTCAAATCCCTCGCATCCAACAAAAAAATCAACAAACAGTTGTATTAGATGACCAAAGATTTTGTCTTCTCATTTTTCATCCTGTCAATCCTTGTTTATCTCTCAGGCTGACCAACTGAACTGGTCTGTCTGTCTGTTTTATTTTTATTTTTTTTTTTTTGTCCATAGAATTATATTCATATATATATATCAAAAGATTTTATTCTACTAGAAACAATATAATTGACTCTAGTTGAATTTTTTTTTCTTCTTTTTGTATTCGCGTATTTGCCTGTCATCATTTTGATTGCAATGAATGTATTAGGAAAAAAGGGAAAAAATCATTAGTTCAATGACAAAAAACGTTATGATCTGCGATTGTCAAAAAAAATGAAATTTTAATAAAGAAAAAAATCTATCGATATTCGAAATCGATAACAAAGCTTGTCAAAAAAAAAAAGATTGAACCAATCAAAAGAAAAAAAGAAAAAAATCTTTAGATAAACAGCCAAAAAGAAAACAAAACAAAACAAACAAATCAATAGAAATTGATAGACAAAATAATAATAATAAAAAAATATCGATAGTATCGATATCGAAACAAAAGAATATTTTTTTTTGTTGTTCTAAGAAAAAAAAACATCTGACATTTATATGAATATCCTATTATATGTATTTTGTAATGAAGATAATAATAATGAAATGTGGAAACAAAATAAATTCCAACTGAAAATGACAACAATCCTAAAGAATCAAAAAGATAAACTTTCATTTCATTCGACAAACAATACATTCCATACATTTTGTGATTCTGGTTTTTTTGAGAATTTAGTAGGTGGGGGGGGGGCTTTTGCACCTTTACATTATCATTCATTCTTGTCTTTTATATGTTTGTCTGTCTATTTTTTTTTTTTTTTTTTTTTTGATGATGATGACATTTTTCGATATGTTCACTTATTCTATTCTTTAGATCAAACATGAATCGAATAACAACAACAACAACAAAAACAACGTGAGAATATTCACAGCGACCAAAACAAAACAAAACCGAAGATTTCCACGAATAAACAAAAGCTGCACAATAATGAAGAATAAAGAATTTCAGCCATGATATTTTTTTTTGTTGTTGTTGTTTCATTCTTGTTTTGTTTCATTGGAAACATTGAATGAATTGTAGCAGCAGCTGTCATCATTATATTCTGTGATCTATTTATTTTTTTTTCACTTTCATTTTGATTTCATTTATTCTGAAATTTATATTGAAATGTTTAAAGGGTTTCATAATTTTTTTTTCTAGATTATATAATAATCTAATATATTCTACTACAACAACAAAAAAAAAAAATTCTTTTTGTTGTTGTTGTTGTTGTTGTTGTGAAATGAAATTTATTGAAAAAAAAAGAGACTTTACTTGTTGTTGTTGTTGGCGTTGGTGGTGATTGATTTTCTTTTACATCATGGATGGTGATTATATATCATCATCATGAGAATACACACACACACACAAACACACATGCACTATAAGAGGATTGTCAATATATGATCAACGGTTCTGGTTGATGATTTTTTTTTCTGTTCATTTCACATTCGTACTGAATCCATCAGAATTTTGTTTTTTGATCACCGATAATGGAGTTTATTTTTTTTTTTTTTTTGTTTTTGTTTTACTTTCAACCATCACCAAATCGGCAGCTGGTTGTAACTGGCAACACAAGACAAAATCACTTCAAAAACAAGCAAAAAACAAAAACAACAAAAAAAAATTCTGTGTAAAACACAAACATTCGAAAGTGGAGATTTGAATTGCAATTGGATCAATCACGAATGGTTTGTTTGTATGTGTGTGTGTATGTTTGTTTATGATGGTTTTTTTTTTTTTTTTTTTTCTCTTGGTTTTTCTAGTTCGTTATGAAGATGAATTTTTATTTATGAGATGAGCAGGAATTTTCGTGGACATATGGCCAGAATATTATTGATTGTTGATTGTACATTTCACGTTGGATGATGGTTAAGTGTATGTATGCGGATGGATGAACATTTCATCAATTACTTAGAAGAGTTAGTTAGCCGATGAGATGAAATCGATCATCAATTTGTTGTTTCAGATCGATAAAAATGGTCTTATGTAATATTTAATATATAACAACTTACTCTTTGATCTTTGGTTTTTTTTTCTTTTCGGGGAGAGAGAGAAAAAAAATACCCGAATACATGAAACAACACTTACATATCGGGCAAAAGTGATTACATCGATGTTGTTTGTGTATGTCCGGACCATCGAATCACACAGGAAATTTCGAATTCAAATGACACACACTATTTCAACCTCAACCGATCATTACTGTTCAATTTGTTTTTATAATCTGTTTGTTGGATTTATTTTTACAAGTTTTACAAGACAATAAAAAACATGTTCCGGTAACGAAGAAAAAAAAAATATGTCCAAATAAACCAAATGGAAACGATAAAAGTTTTTTCATCTTGGAACCAATATATGCGTGAAATATAAATTCCATTCATTTTTTTTCTTGCTAGCCAGTCTAGCCCCAGTCTTCAGACCATTTAATATTGAAGCATACCATGCATGCATGAATTGGTTAAAGGTAAAATGATGATGAAAATAGGTGGTGAAAAACAAAAACAAAAAAAACTTTGTAACCAGAGATGAGAAACTAGCGCCATTATTATGCAAAATCCTTAAGAATAGGTAAAAATAAATAAAAACGTAGCGTCCAACCAAGCGTAATGTAATACATGATGATCTAGTGGATCTTTTAAAAGCCAGAAACAACAACAACAACAAAAACAAGAATATTCTGATAGTAAAAAAAACGTCTGGCATCGTCTATAGAAACAATTTTAACACTTGAAACTTTTTTTTCTCTCTCTTGCACAATAGAATCTCAACTTTTATAGTCATCAAGCCATTTATTTCACACACACACACACACACACACATTTATTATTCTTTCGGAATAATGAAAAAAAAAAAATAACCACAAAACATAAAAATCGCAATATTCATAAATCAAACAATAAATAATTAGCGCCATCAAGTAGTGATGATAAAACTTAAAAAAAATATGATCACATCATCAATGAATGACTCTATTCTAGTTGATTCGAATTTAAAGACGCATGCGTTTGCCCATCTTTCTCTTCAATTATAATAAAAAAAATTTGGTTGCCATCCAAAAAAAAGAAAGAAAGAAAGAAAGGAAAAGAAATCCATTCCAATATCGAATCTACCACACACACACACACACAGCAGACAAAAGAGAATAGAAAAAAAAGAAGAAAAAAATTTACCAACCAACCAGCCGCATACAAAGCAACGTTTTTTTGTGTGTTTGTTTGATGACGAGTTTCTTTTCAATTTTAATTTTTGTTTGATTCAATTTTCATTCAAAATTCAATCATATATCTATAAATTCATTTTGTTGTTTGAATGAATTTAATTTCTTGATTTATTTTTTTTTCGTTCACTTAATAATCCAGGTTTGTGTAATCATTTTTTTTTTTTTTGATTAATTCAATGATGAATGAAATACATTGCAAAAAAATTGATTGCTCAGTTTTTTTTTCCTGTCACTAAATGTTTTTCTATTTTTATATTTCATTTTTGGAAAAAAATAGCATTTCATAACGAACAACGAGCGTTGGTGGTGGTGTTGTTTGGATAGCCAATAGAGAAGTTGTTTGTCATTGTTGCCGAAATTGGTGCTAAATAAAAACAAAACCTTTTTGTTTTCTTGTTGAGAATTATTCCGTAATTTTTTGATTGGCTGACCAAAATTAACGCAAATCGATCACAAATTTTTCAAATATATATTTTTCAATTCATTCGTTCTGTTCATCGTTATTGTATTTTTTTTTACCGAAAAACCATATTATGTCGAGTTTGATGAGTGGTGAGAACCACAAATTGAAACAATTATCATCAACTAATAATTCTTCTTCTGTCTGCTGCTGCTGCTGCTGCTGCTGTCTCAACAAATCCATCATCATCATCATCATCATCATCTACTTCAATAATAATAATAATAAACTTGAAATTAATCTTAAACGTGAAGCGGAAAACAATCCAAACGATTGTGTAAAGCAACAAAAATTATTGAAATTATCCACTGCAGATAATAATAATACAGATAATACATCGTCAATAATTGGTAATATCGGTGCAAAGTGTTTAACGGTTGGCTTGAAAAAACAAGCTACAAATAATCAAACCGAGCAACAACAACAACAACAACAGAATCATAAAAGTAACGGCTCGGTTGAGAACGGTTCAATAATGAATCACCAGGCTAGTGGTAGTAGTAATAATAATCAAGATGAACATCAAATTGATGAAAGTCTTTATTCAAGACAATTATATGTACTTGGTCATGATGCTATGAAACGTATGGCACGATCATCGGTATTGATTGCCGGTCTAGGTGGTCTTGGTGTTGAGATTGCTAAAAATATTATTCTTGGTGGTGTTAAAGAGGTAACATTACATGATAATAAATTGGCCGATTATTATGATCTCTCATCACAAGTAAGTTTATTTTCATTTTTATTTCAAATATATGCCTTTGATTTTAATCTAAAATGACATATTTTTCCAGTATTACTTGAATGAATCGAGTATTGGAAAAAATCGTGCCGAACAATCGTTGTTAAATCTTTCCGAATTGAATCCTCATGTCAAAGTGAATGTACATCAAGGTGCATTAATCGATGAATCTTTTTTGCAAAATTTCTCCGTCATCGTATTGACTGATTCATCGTTGGAAGAACAACTATCAGTTGGTGAAATAACTCGCGAAAAAGGCATATCGTTAATTGTGGCTCAATCACGTGGTTTGTTTGGTCAAATATTTTGTGATTTTGGCAACAATTTTACCGTTTACGATACGAATGGTGAAAATCCTATTTCTGTATTGATTTCGGGTATCACTAAAGAAAAAGCTGGTGTTGTTGCCTGCATTGAAGATGCACGACATGGTTTTGAAGATGGCGATGTTGTTCGTTTTGCTGAAGTTAAAGGAATGACCGAAATTAATGGAAAGGATTACAAAATCAAAGTAACCGGTCCATGTCAATTTTCCATTGGTGATACTACTGGATTTTCCGATTATCAAAATGGTGGTATTGTTACACAAGTTAAACAACCAAAAGCTATGAATTTTGTACGTTTTCAGCTGAAGTTTTGGATTTATGATTGTAACTAATGTTTTTTTTATCGTTTTTTTGTAGAAACCATTGAAAGAATCAATTTTGGCTCCGGATTATTTAGATTCATTTTCTGATCGTCCACAGCAAGAGCATTTATTTTTTCAAGCATTAGATCGTTTTCAAAATCAGAATGGCCGTCTTCCTCGTTCATGGAATCAAGAAGATGCCGATGCATTCTATGAATTGTTAGTCGGTTTGGTCAATGAACGTCAAGTAGAGCCAAGTTCTATCAATGAAAATTTGGCCAAAATTTTTGCTAAACAAGCTCGTGGTAATCTGGCACCAGTCAATTCATTTATTGGTGGTGGTGCTGCTCAAGAAGTAATGAAAGCTTGTACCGGAAAATTTTCACCAATTTATCAATGGTTTTATTATGATGCATTTGAATGTTTGCCTAATGATGCGAATCAATTACCCAAAGAAAGTGATGCTCAACCATTGAATTGTCGATATGATGGTCAGAATGCCGTTTTTGGAAAACAATTTCAACAAAAACTTTGTGACCTGCGATATTTTCTGGTCGGTGCCGGTGCTATCGGTTGTGAACATTTAAAACATTTTGCCATGATCGGAGCTGGAACTAGTGAACGTGGTAAAATTGTTGTTACCGATATGGATATAATTGAAAAATCCAATTTGAATAGGCAATTTTTGTTCCGACCAAAAGACGTCGGTGGTTTCAAATCGAAAATAGCTGCAATTGCAACAAAAGCAATGAATCCACAGATCAATGTTATTGCCCATGAAAATCGTGTTGGAGTTGATACGGAAAAATATTATGATGATGATTTCTTTGAAACACTTGATGGTGTTGCTAATGCATTGGATAATCTGGAAGCCCGAACATATATGGATCGTAAATGTGTATATTATCGTATACCATTATTAGAATCTGGAACACTTGGAACTAAAGGCAATGTTCAAATTGTAATACCAAATTTGACGGAATCCTATTCATCATCACAGGATCCACCGGAAAAATCGATTCCTATTTGTACATTGAAAAATTTTCCAAATGCCATTGAACATACATTACAATGGGCTCGTGATGAATTTGAAGGCCTTTATAAACAGGCACCTGAACAAGCTTATCTTTATCTAACTGATCCAAAATTTATTGAACGTACAAACAAAATGAATGGCAATCAACCGATCGAAATTGGTGAATCAGTGAAAAAAGTGTTAGCCGAACGTCCAACATCATTTATGAGTTGTATTAAATGGGCACGTCTTTATTTCGAACAACAATTCAATCATCAGATACAACAATTGTTATTCAATTTTCCACCGGACTATACGACAACAACCGGTGCACCGTTTTGGTCCGGGCCAAAAAAATGTCCACATCCAATCAACTTTGATCCAAGCAATTCACTTCATCTGGATTTCGTTATGGCTGCGGCCAATCTTCGAGCCTATCTGTACAATATTCCACAATGTCCTAATAGAGAAGAGATTCTTAATCTGGTCACTTCATTATCCGAAAGTGAAATACCGAAATTTAAACCAAAACAAAATCTAAAAATTGCTGTGAATGATTCTGAATTATCGATGATGGATTCAAATCAATTTGATGTTGGTGAACGTTTCAAATCGATATTGGCTGAACTGCCAACATTGGAAGAATTGAAATCCGTGAAAATAAATCCAATTGAATTTGAAAAAGATGATGATACCAATTATCATATGGATTTTATTGTTGCCGCATCAAATTTACGTGCAGAAAATTATGAAATTGCACCAGCCGATCGCCATAAAAGTAAATTGATTGCTGGTCGTATTATACCAGCCATTGCAACGACAACTGCTCTCATATCTGGTCTAGTATTTATTGAGCTATATAAATTTGTACAAGGATTTAAAACATTGGATCCATATATGAATTCATTTGTCAATTTGGCCTTACCATTTTTTGGTTTTTCAACGCCTACCGCATGCCAGACATTGAAATATTATGACAATAGTTTTACTATATGGGATCGTTTTGAAATCAATAAAGACATGACATTACAGGAATTTATTGATTATTTCCTAAATGAACATCGTCTGGATATAACAATGATCTCGCAAGGTAATGTTTTGTTGTATTCATTCTTTTTGAATAAAGAAAAACGTGAAGAACGTATGCCATTGAAGATGACCGAAGTTTTGAAACGTGTTTCAAAAAAACGTATCGAATCATATGTAAAATCATTAGTATTTGAAATCTGTTGTAATGATGATAATGGTGAAGATGTTGAAGTGCCGTACGTACGTTATGTACTCAACAATGAACCAATGGATATATCAAAATAAAAAAAAAGTGATGATGATGGATGATGATGATTATAATTCCTGATATTTTTTTCAATGGAATTTTATTATCAACAACAACAAAACTGAAGAAAATTGATGATTTGATGATTGAATTCTCGTTTTTCTCTTCACATAAATTCATAAATTCTAATTGAAATTGAAAATTAATAATGCTTATTAATATTTCTAATTAAACAAAAAAAACTATTAATCTCACATTATTTTTTAGCCTAATAATTTGATTGAACAAAATAAATGAAAAAAAAAATAATTTTTTAATTAAAAAAAAAAAAAAAAATTTTTTTGTCAAATTTAAAATTTTTCATTCGAAAGTAGAAATAGCTGCATCTATGTGTGTGGACCTTTTGCTGTCAAAATAATTTCTGGTGGTTGCAAGCCAAAAAAAGAAAATCGCGCGCGCTCTCTCATTCTCTCAGCAGTTTTTACACCTATAGCTGCGCTAGCTGTAAATGTTGTTGCTGCTGCTGCTGCTGCTAGGCCCAGCATGATTCTATGTCGTGCGTCAGATTCTGTTTGTTTTTTTTTATATATATATTCTTGTTTCTGTTGGTTTCTGGAACAGAAATTGATTCTACAATCACCGGTTGTTGTTGTTGTTGTTGTTGTTGTGTTCATATTACTGGTTTTGTTTTGAATGAAAAAAAATATACATACATACCAAAGTTTGTTTTTATATCACCAAGGTGATTTTTTTTTATGTTTCGTTTCTTCTGGAACACACGGCATATTTCACCAATTATATTCACTACACCTCATTTTTTTTCTGACTACGTTTACAATAATTTTTTTTTGATGTTAAATGTTCTTCGTGTGTGTGTGTGTGTGTGTGTGTAGTAGTGTGTTTCAATTCACAATTCATTTCGTTTGACTTCGATCACACACCAACAAAACAAACCTAATTTCGTCCTTATTCGTCACCATTCACCTGAATGTCCTATATGGAAATAATATAGTTCAACTAACTGTATTGTAGGTATATCTAATCTTTTTTTTCTCTTGAAAAAAAGGTGACCATCGTAAATATCAATATTCAAAAATAATAAAAAATGGGCGACACTGCCGATCTACTCGATTTAAGTTCGATGCTAGATCAACCAACCACAGCAACAACAACGAATCCAACGACGAATTCTTTATTATTGACTAACAATAGTTATAGTGATCAACAATCAAATTGTGATTCATTGGTAATGATTAAACCACCATTAATGTTCAAAAATAATACAAACCCAATGATAATCGATAATAATCGTGATGAAAACAATATATCGATTACACCACCAACGACTGTTCATCATCATCAACAACAACAACATCAGATTCTGTTATTCGATGATCATAATAACCGCAATATGAATAGTGATACAATGTTTGCCACATCAAGACGTACTAAAGAAAGAATCGATGAATTTGAATCACAGCTAGAATGTTTTATTAAAACCAAACGTTTATTATTGGAACAGTTTGCCGAAGAAACACAGATACTTGTACAGAAACATGAACATGAAATTGTTGGTTTACGACAAAAACATCTTGTATGTGAAAATAATTTCAAATCACAATTGGTGAATGCAATGCAAAAAATTCATACATTAGAAACAAAATTGGAAACCGAACAATCATTATTGAAATCAAAAATCGATATGTTTGAAAAAGATTTACAAAAATCACATAATGATGCAAAATTGTTGAAAGATTCATTGGAAATGGCATTGAATGAAAAAGATAAACAGAATGATGATTTAAGAAAATTTAATCTTAATCTTGAATCGAAATTGAAATTATTACAATCTGAATATAAAAATCGCCGTCAACAATTGGAAGATAAACTGCGTGAATATGAATTGAATCAGGATAAAGATTTTCAGGAAATTAAAAAATTACGTGATGATTTGAGGTAAGTTTTTTTTTTTTGCTCGAAAGTTTCTCTGCGAAAAAAAATAGTTATATTTTTTTTTCTCTCACCAAAACAAAACAAAACAAAAAAAACCAATTAGTCATTCGATTAAAGAAATTTCCGGTCTACAACATGAACTGAATGAAATACGTCAAAATTTATTCAGTAAAGAAGCTTATTGTTCCAAATTGGAAAAAGAATTGGAAGAATGTAGGAAACAATTGAATTTAGAATTGGAATGTAAAAAAGAATCCGATGATAGAATACAAGCATTACGAGAAACATTGAAAGTAAGCCAACAGGAAAATGATACACTACAATCACGATTAACTGATACACAGCATCGTATGGGTGATGAAATTGAAAAATTAAAATCATTGATGACCAATCAACAAATAAATCATGAACAAAAATTTCGACGATCAATTGAAGAGAAAACACAATTGGAAGAAAAATTTAAAAATGAATTGGCTACAATTGAACGCAATTTACAGCAATCACGTCATGATTATGAAACCATACAGCAAGAATTACAACAAACAACCGATGAAAAACATAAACTACAACGACAATTGGAGAATCAAATTGAAAAATCAATAACGGACAAACAATCATTGGAGATTGGCTACAGTAATCGTATTGGTGATTTGAATAAAAAACTATCCGATACAGATACCAGATTGAAATTGATGACCGATAAATATGAAACGGCAAATAATGAATTGATTAAAGTTCAAAATTACATCGTCGGTGTTGAGAATGATTTGAAAACGAAAAATTCAGAAATTCTAAATGTTCATGAAAAATATAACCTATTGGAAATGGATCGGCTATCTGTGTTGAACGAAATGGAAAATGTCAAACGATCGTTGCATTTAGAAACGGTGGAAAAGAAAGAAAAATCCCGTCAAATTGATGAATTAAATGAATCATTATCTTCTAGTCAAATTGAAATTGAAAAGTAAGTTAATGATAATGTTTTCTGTTCTTTGTTTTTTTTTCTAATCACATTTGTTTATATTATTTTGATGATTTTATAGACTTAAAAATGTTAATGATCAATTAAAACGTTCCATTGAAGAAGGTGATAATCTTCGATTTACATTGATCAAAGATTGTAATGAATTACGTGAAACATTGGCTGAAGTGGAAAAATCTCGTCTCGATATTAAAAGCAAACTGAATAGTTGTCAATTCAATTGTGCAACATTGAATAATCAGCTCAAAAAACGAGATCTAGAATTGGAAGATCATAAACGTAAATTAAATTCTTATGGTGAAGAGAAAAAATTCTGGCAACAAGATCTGGATTCTACTGGGTATGTATCGAGGGGAGGGAAAAATAATAATTTGATTTTGGCTATTTTGACAATTATTATTAATTCTACTTTCATTGAATAGACAATCATTGACACAAATGAAAACTGCCTATGAACGATTATATCAACAAAATGTTTTACTACAAGATAAATTATCGCAATTAGAATCGGAAGCCAATGTTCATCAAAAAATTGATCAATCGAATAGAACATCGCAAACAACCGAAAAAGAAATGATACGTCGTTTAACACGTGAATGTGAACAATCACGTGATCGTATTGCTAAGCTAGAAAGTGAAAAAAAACATTTCGAACGATTATATATTCAAATGGAACGTGAATATAATTCATTGAAAAATTCATTCAATACACAAAATCATCGTGATTTTATGAACGCATCATTATCACCATCAACAATAAGTGCCCATAAAGATTCAACAAATGGATCGATATTATCGTTAACACAGCTTTTGAAAAATGATTTCACAACACCGAATCCTGTTTGGGATGATAATACTAATCGTAGTTTAGAAACATTACGTCAGAAAAATAATGAACTTAGACAAAAAGTGCTTGGTCGACCAACGGAGTCTAATACCAAGAAAACAACGATGAAAATGTTATCATCATCATTGAATACAAATACAGATTGCTGTGAATGTATCTATCATCATCATCATCAAACAACAACAACAACAAAATCATAGGATTGAATCAACATCGAATCATGGAATCACTGCTATCGATAATCATAAACATAATTTAGATGTCGCTGTTGATGATGGTGATGATAATTTATTATTGGTTGATGAAAATCGTAATAATATCATCAACAATGACTTTGATATTGATGTTAATAATGTCAAACACAATGATAATAATGATGATAATGATTCGTTTGCAGAAAAATTAAAACAAGCAGAATTGAACGCACAGAAAGTGCTTGAATCCTGTGATTCGGAGGTATGTGTGTGTGTGTGTGTGTGTGTGTATTCTATATTAATTTTTAATGAGAAATACGGTTCTAATCATTTACATATTTTTTTTCTACATTTGTTAGATAAAAAAATTGACAAGTAAATCTACACGAATTAAATCCGCAACAAACAATCATCATCATCAATATTCTAGTAAAATTCCATTATCAACGAGCAATAACGGTACGAATAAATAATAGAATTCGACCATATGGACCAAAGAAAAAAAAATCTATCCACTAAATCTCATTAGATCTCATTCATTCATTAATTTTTTTTTGATTCCAAAAAAAACCAATACATTTAAAGTATATGTAGACAAATTGCAATCCATTTTATAATATTAATTTATTTACACACACACACACCAATGATTAGATTTAGTATATTTGTAGCATAATAATCACATGTAGATTATCGAGTGTTTTACTCCACTTTTTTTTCTCGAATCCTTTATATTTTGGTCATATTTACAAAATAAAAAAAATAAAATAACTATATTCAACTTTGCTGATTTTTGTCCAAAAATCACTTGCGTTCACCAAGCGCAAGAGTGTTAATTAGTGTGGACACGTGGATTTTCAATGATTTCGAAAAAAATGAAATCGTGACATTTTATTTTTTTGGTATATACAAGCAAATAATTTACTATATATTCTTTTTTTATTCTAAACACAAATATCTCCAAAAAACAAAATTTCATGATTAAATTCAAATTTCATTTCATTTCATTATTTTTTTTATTAACGATTATCAATTTCTAGCTGTTGGATCATGTTTAAATGTTTTCTGTAATGGTCCAACACCGGCTTTTTTAAAGTTGATTTCATCCAATGAATTTCGTTCTTCCATTATACGTTTAATTTTTGCATTATCCATTGTTTCACGAAAATCTAAAACAAGATAATAATGAAAAAAAAATATTGATCCACAATGATTGGTCATGATCACCATTCAATCGGATTTCTTACGTTGAGTGAATGATTTTTTATTTACATCCAATTGTTGTGGTTTCACTTTAATCTGTGGTATATTGAGAAAACTACGAACTTGTGTCACTTTTAATAAATTTACTTGTATTAACGAAATGAAATTATTCGTACACCAATACATTAAAATGGCTGATGGAAAATTGAATGTAAATGCCAATGTTATCAAAGGAATTACACGGGCACCATATTTTATCAATGGTGTTTGATTTGGATTTAAACCTATTTTTTAAATGAAAAAAATAATCACAAGTTAGACCTTTATATTCATTTATATGACATTGAATGAACACATACCACTACGGAAAGATGTTTCCAATGTTAACCATAATGTAGCACAAGTTATCACTGGCAATGCAAATAATGGATCACTAACGGATAAATCGGTGAACCAAAATAAACCGCCTGTTTTCAATGATTCCACTGGATAATTGGCCATACGCCGTAATGTTATGAAAAACGTTATAAATACCGGTGCTTGAGCAAATGGAGCTAACATTGTTTTGAAAGGATTCACACCTTTTCGTTTATACAATGACATTGATTCTTGTGATAAACGTGCAAATTCTATGCTATCGCCGCTGATTCTAGCTTGATTCATTTTTTCCTTTAATATTGCTTGTTCAGGTAAAAGTTCATTTAATTTGGCTGCTGATTTTTGAGCCGATACGACTAATGGAAACAGACAAAGCCTTAGGATGATTGTTCCGACAGCAATAGCTCCCCACCATGGAAATACCGAATGTAAAAAATCTAGATAATTAACACACCAACCAACGGGAGTATAATTTGATCCTAGATTCAATGATGCCACTGATGTTTCAAGCACAGCATTCGATATGAATTCATTGTCCAACAATGGCGATTTTTGTACATCAATGGCCGTAAGATCGATTACATTTTCTGAGGCTACATTATTATTTGTTGTTGTTGTTGCTGCTGCTGTTGCGGTGGTTTTAGCTGTTGTCGAATTGAATCTTGGATGAAAAATAAGCGATTTTCTCATAAAACAAAGTTCATCATGTGAACGTAATAATGAAACATTCAATATACCGGATGATGAAAATGTTCGAACATTCGATGATGATGATGATGGTCGACAATGATTTAGATTGCGATCGCTCAAGAATAATGATGAAGATGAAAATTTATCAACATTTTTCCAACCATTACGATTGAAAACCGATGAAACAGTTCGCAATATGAGAATGGATCGCATATTTTTTTGTTGTTGTTGTTGGATCAATGAAATGTTTTCAAAAATTCGCAATATACCATATGATGATATTTGTTTTCAAACATGTGACACCGTACGATAATGATGAACGTATTTTACACGATAGTATCGATTATAAAGGTGTTAACCATTCAATATACTCGAATTTTGATTCAATCGAGATCATGATAATTCGGTATTTAAAACTTTTATTTTTAAATTCTAGATTTTGTTTTTTGTTTGAAATTTTTTTTCCCCACCAAAAAAAGAATAATGTTGTCATTATTCAATCATGGAATTGATCGTATCAATATTTTATTAATTTGTCTTATACCAATTATGATCATCATTTCTATTGGTAATGTTTTATTTTGATTTTTATAATTCATTCATTGAATGATGAATTTTGTTTTTTTTTTTTCACTCACAAATTAGCATTTAGGACCAATGTTGAACAAATATCTGAAAATGATCTTAAATCTGATTATAATCTTAAATCTGATCCAAAACTGAATGGATTACGAAAATATTGTAATTTTTTGGACGATATTCAAATTGGTGATGAAAATTCATTCAATTATTGTGGTTATGATCTGGAATTGGAAAAAATAATATTATTAATTAGACATGGTGATCGTGGACCACTTAAAGATGTAAGAAATTTGAACAATATTCCCTGTAATCATACCCATTTGGATGAAATAAATCGAATCAATGATGAACAAACAATGGCAATATCAACACTGTTATCGAAATTCATTGCCAAATCTAGTGTTTATGATAGTAAATTTCTTGGTTCCATTCCCATGTCTGATGGTTGTATGCCTGGTTTATTGACAAAATTTGGTCTTTCACAACATATCAAATTAGGTTTATTAATGAATCATGTATATAGACCAAAATTGAATATGAATCCAGACGATTCATTCATTGCCAAACAGATTCGTATCAACACAACACCATATCCACGAACCGTACAATCGGCTATGGCTTTTTTACATGGTTTTCTCAGCGAAAAAAATGATGCCCTCAACGTTTTTGATTTAATGTCGATGAATTTTCATCAATTTTCCAATGTTTATTTTTGTGATTATCATGATACTCAGAAATATTGTTTTCGTAATTGCACAGAAATGGATGAATTATTGAAAAAAATCTACAAAACTTTTAGCTATGATCATGACAAAGATTTTGCACAGATGATTAAACAAGTGGAACAAATTATCGTGCCAACAAATGTAGCTGATCCGATTGGAAGCTATAAACGTTCGATTGTATCCATTTTCGATACGCTTAATTCATTTATTTGTCATCAACAACGATTACCTTGTCATCAACAAAATGATGATGATGATGATGATTACAATAAATGTATTGCAATCAATGATGTTGAACTAATCTTCACATTCATCAGTGGTTTAGGCCATAAATTAATGCATTCGGAAGATAATCATCGTGTTAGTTGGATGCAATCTTATGGTCTACTATTGAATATTATCGATCAAATCAAATCGAATGAAAAATTAACAATATTTTCCGGACATGATTTAACCATTCATTCATTAGCTACAGTAATTGGTTTTGTTGAACATAACATTCCACCGTATGCATCACGTGTTATATTTGAAATTTATTCACGGAAATCATCATCATCAACAACAACAACAACAACAATAAACAATGAAAAACTTATTCGTATAGTATACAATGGTAATGATGTGACCGAAACATTTCCATTATGTAATTCAATTTATAATGATGCTGCTTCTGCTGCTGCTGATGCTGAACATTGTATTCGATTCGATGATGATGATCATACAATTTTGATCAAATTAACTAGTCTTGAAAATTTTATACATACTAAATTTGTTGAACATTATTTGTTTGAAAATTGTTGAATTTTTTTTTGTTGTTGTTGTTGTAATAATCAAATTATTATTACCAATTGAAAAATAATGGGCAGCTGAAATTCAGTTATCACAAATATGATTATTATGATTATTATTATTTGAAATGAAATGAAAAAAATAAATAAAAAATTTTTTTGACCAAATAATAGATGATGATTATGATGATGAAATGTCAATTACAATGAGCCATAGCTTTACGAAAATTTTCAAGTATCCGTTGATAGGTTGGATCGAGGTCAACATCGACCATTCGATCATCGATCGATATTGATGTCGTAGATGATGTTGGTGATTGTAAATTTGATGGAACAAGATTCCAATTCGAACGATAGGTTGATAAACCATACATGGACAATGATTTTGTTGTTGGTGTTGTTGTTGTTGTTGTTGTTGTTAATGAACCACCATTACCACAACCATAATGAGATTTTTTTCCTCGATAAAAATTAATCGCCGATTGTGGCTGTGATTGATGATGATGATGATGATTATGATCATGCTTCCGATATAATGTACCATTTGTCATCGACATTGGTGATGGTGATGATGATAATTTTGTTTGAATCAAACGTAATGTACATGGTAATTGTTCTTTCATAATACTATGATGTATTATTAATGATGAAATTGTTGGAAATTCTTTTTGAAATCCTTTGATTTTAAATTTAATTATTTCTTGTTGTTGTTGTTGTTGTTTTTTTGATCATCACCATCATCAGCATTATTATTATTATTATTATTATCGATTATTGTCGATAGAATTAGATAATGAGCAACACCTGTATGATTATAATCATATGGAACACGAATTGTTAATGCATAACAATGATCCTGTGTCAATGATCGTCGTACAAGAAATGATCCAGTTGGACAACTACGTATTAATTGTTGTGCATATTCACGTTCAATTGAACCATAATACCATGATTCATTTGCAAGTGGATCATTCTGATCAATGATATAATTGGACTCATTTGACTGTTGCTGTTGATAATTATCGGGTGGTTCTAATGTTGCATAACAATTTGATTCCGATGTTCGATAATGATGATGATGATCAGAAGCCATTAAAATATCCATTGAATAAAGTTGATTATCATTTTGTAAAATGACTAGCGGCTTTTCTAATGATGATGATGATGATTGTGGTGGTGGCGGTGGTAGTGATGATTTTGTTTTAAAATTAAGTGCAATTTTACCATCACCTTTATTGAGAAAACTAACGATTGGATTCGATGATTTAGTGGCAGTTAAACGACCACCACCAATCATATATTTTCGATTTGTTGTTGTTGTTGTTTTTGTTGAATGTGGAAATTTTTGTTGTTGATTTGGTTGATGATTATCAATATCGTTATCATTATTAATCAAAATAGATTGATAACAAAGATTATTAATCGGATTATTTTGATGATGATGATGATGATGAAGATGATTTCCAACATATGATGATGACGATGATGAATTTTTTGTTATTGTCGATGATGATGAAAACATTTTCATCTTTCTTGATCTTTGCCATGAACGAAAATGATTTAGTAATGCTTGATAATTTGTATTTGTAGTGGTCGAATTCGATGATGTTGATGATGATGATGAAGAATTTGATGAATTGAATGAATGAATTAGATTATTCATCGTCATTCTTTTAACATAAACAGCATTATTATTAATAGAATTTTGGCCACTTCCGTTCATAGATGTTGTTATTGTTGATGATGATGATGATGATGATGTAGAGAATTTCATTCTTTATTCTGTAGTTTACAATAATGATTCGAATTTTATGCATTGAATCATGGTTTGTTTAGGGCATCGTTTTTTTTTTTTTTTCTTCTTAAAACAAATAAACAGACAAAATCAACGATGATGATGATGATGAACTTGTAGAAACAAGACTGGCGTCAGATTGCTTCTGGTATGTTGTTGTTGTCATGATGAAGATGATGATCATCATCAACAAATGTTCTTGTACTTCATCGGTGTGTGTGTGTGTCTGTTTGTATGTTCATCATCATCATTTATTATCATCAGTCATTCACCAGCCACACACACACACACACATGCCAAAGAGAGATTTTTTTTTTTGACCATGGAATTGACTTTAAACTTGTTCTCCACTCTGTTTTTTCTCTCTCTCTCTCTCTCTTTCATCAATCTAAATATTGTTGAAAACGATGGTGGTCGTGGTCGTGGCCGTGGCATCATCATCATCATCATCATCATCATCATCATTCGACAATCAGTTCGAGGGTCAGGACATGAACAAACACAAGCACATATATGTAGAGAGAGAGAGAGAGAGACTAGAGACTAGCCAGACTCTTTGATTTCGATTGAATTTATTTTTTGTTTTCCTCTGATTATTGGAATGCAATGTTATTGCAAACAGTGAAGAAAAAAAAATGGTCAAAGTAAAAAATGAAAGAAAAATATTTACAATACAATTTGTGTGTATGTGTGTGGTATTTGACCAAAAAAAAAGAATGTGTGGCCCATGGCCATTTAATTGTTACAAATTTTTTTTTTTGTTCTCCAGGGTCCTTCCCAAATTGTTGTCGAAGAATTTCAATTATTCATTTTTTTTTCTTTGCTAATTTAATTTTCATCAATGAAAATTGCCTGTTGCTATTATTATTATTATTATACTAGACATGGAAAAAATGATGATGATGATGATGAGTGAATAAAACAAACAAACAAACATGCAGACAGACACATGTTGTTTATAATCATCATCATCATCGTTGTATCAATTTTTTTCTTCATTTTTAAACATTGTTGTACATCATCATACACCAAAATGGTCCCTGGTACGATAATTTATATATATTGGACAGTAATTGATGATGATCATGATGATTTTAAACCGGTGTGTGTGTGTGTTTGTTTGTTTGTTTGTTTGAAATAAAGAGGGCGTTTTTTTTCGTTATTCAGAATCTCTGAGAATTTATATATTTGAGACAAATAAAAAAAAACAAAAAAAACATTCAAAGAATTACAAAACAAGATAATCCGTTTAGCATCCTTATTTTTTTCCAAATAAATGTGAGAAAAGAATAACCATCACATGAGAAACATCAACATCATCATTATTTATATACAGGAAACTAGATTTTTTTTTTGTTGACTAATTTTTTTCACTGTGTAAGACCAACAAAAAAAAGAAAACACAAACAACAACAACAACAACAAACGAGACAAGAAAAAAACGAATGCAGATTAGATGCAACAACAACAACAACAACAACAACAAATGAATGAATGAATGAAAACCTTGAATAAGAACAACAAGGTAATAGGATAATAGAGAGTAAACAAAAAAAAAAAATGACTAATTATTCTTCATTATAATCATCATCATCATCATCATCATCAACGATGGATGTGCTAGTTGGTTATTATTCTGCTTTATTCTTTGTTTTTTTTTCACCAGATAATATCTTTATATATATTAATCTATACTCGTTTTTATTCTATTCATCATTAAATGAACAACGACGACAACGACGATTTTTTTTTGTTACTCAATGTCTATGTGGAAATTATCCATTGTTAATCATCAGCATTATATTATATATGTATATATAATGGTCAAGACTGATTCAGTATAATTTATCACAATGTGACATTATTTTATTTTTTTTTTCTTGGTCATCATCCAATGTTCATTGGTGATTAGTAGTAGTTGGTTGGTTACAAAACATAAAAATATTTGTGATTTTATTAGCTTTTTTTTTGGGTGAATTTTTCTATGAATTTTATGACCATTCTGGTCAATATCATCATCATTATTCAATCAATATAAGAATCGAATTCTTCATTTAGACAGAACAATAATAATAACAACAACAACAACAACAACAAAATCATTCAAGTTCTTCTTCAAATAGAAAATGATAAAGTGTTTCAAGTTGTTGTTGTTGTTGTTGTTGTTGTTGATGATGATAAAAAATGATAATTAACAACCCTTTTCGGGGGTTTGTCCATGTTGTTAATTGATATCAAACATCCAGTGGAGTATATATAAAGAGATAGAAAAAAAAGTGGACAAGAACAAGAATAGAGAACAAAAAAAAAAAACCCTCAAGAAAGAAAGAGAGAAAAAAAACACATACCATTTCATTTCATTTCATTTTATTATAGTGACGATAATAATGATGATGATGATGATGAGATGAAATGAAATGAAATGAAATAAAATGAAGAAGGGCGACATTCCATACATGGAACCATCATCATCATATAATCATCTTCATCACCATAATAATAAGTGCGTATCATCATCATCATCATCATCATCAACATTCACCAACATCATTCAGTTCCGTATTCTGAATAAGAAGAAGAAGAAATGGGCCGTTATCGTAAAGCCATTTATTATATGAAAGAATTTTTTTTTCTCTCGCACTTACTCCAGTTATCTATTTATCTATTAGAAACAAAAAAGTAGACACGACGTATTTATATGGTGTTTTTTTTTCTCTCTCTCATCGTCAGTCAAAAACACTAGAAACATCGGAAAATGTTTGATTCACCACCAACAAAAATTCGAAATGAAATGAAATGAAACGAAAAACAAGAAAAAACGAATCAAACGGCATATATAAAATGATGATGATTTGATGCCTGAATTGGTGGCTATCTCCTGTCTGCTGTAGTATGTGTAAATGCAATTTTTGCCAATCTTCTGGTTATATAAGTCTGATGGTTTTGTTTTTGTTTTGTTTTTTTTCTGGCCATTTTGGCCATTTTATTTCATTTGCCATGGAAAAAATAACTAGAAATTCGTAAAAAATTTTTTTTTTTTTTTTCTCATTCGTTTTTTCTCTATATATATATTGTTTGCTTCGTATTATACACGATTGTGTTGGATACACAAAACGAAACCTGAACCTGAACCAGAACTATTAGTTAGCTAGTTACTTTTTTTTATACTATTACATAGACAGACACTGACACGGATAGTATGTCTCAGTCTTTATGTAATGTAATGTAATGTATGAAACTAATTAAACATCGGTTATATAATGATCGTGAAAAATAAACAAAAAAAAAAAGATAATGGTCAGATTGATGATATTATTGATGATGATGATGATGATGATGTTGCTGTTGCTGTTTGGTGGATAATGACCATGATGGTGATGGCTGTGGTGATTTTTCAACATTGATATGATGATGGTATGATGTAATATTGGCCATCATCATCATCATCATCATCATTAATGAGAAAAAATCTAGTTTATCCCATTATCAATAAATTGATTTTTAATAATCATCATAACCATTTAATCATTTATAATATAATAATAAAATTCACAGCAGAGAAGAAAACAAAAAAAAGGGAAAAAATGTTTTTTGTTTTGGTTTGTTTTGGTTTTGGAATTAACAATTATAGCCAATTGACGATGTGATCGATGAATTAAAAATGGAGATCGAACGGAATTTTTGTGATTGATAAGAATTGAAATGTTGATGTTGATGTTGATGTTGATGATGATCAGTGTTATGATGATAAGTTTGTTTGGATTGGAAACAAAAAAATTTTTTTTTTTAAATTCCAAAAACAAATATGACAAATATTGGACAGCAATAAACAGACACACACACACACACACAAAAAAAAAAACATATGGTGAAATGATAAAAAATCACAATTTTTTTTGGTTTTTACAAATAAAAAAATCACACACACACACACACACAAAAAATGATATCCGGTTATTATTTTTCTGGTAAAAAAATGAATGAATAAATGAATGAATATGATGCACACGCAAACAAACACACAGACAAACACGAAATTGAAACCAAAAAAAAAAAAAAATTGGTAAATACATAGAAAACAGCAACAGCAACAACAATTATTTACATAAGCCAAAAAAAACAACAACAACAATCTGGTTAATCAAAAACGAAAAAAAAAAAATTTTTCATTTGGACGTTTTATATTTCATGGTGGTGTTGGTGGTATTGTATAACACAACATGTTTGTTTGTTCATGTGTGTGTGTGTGTGTGTGTATGGTTGACAAAATTTGACAATAATTGAAAAAAAACAAGAATAAATATCCAAAAAAAAAAAACAAATGTGGACGAAATTATTTTGTTCCTGAAAAAGAAATTTTTTTTTGTTCTAGATTTCCTATTCTGGATCATCATCATCATCATCGTGATAATTCCAAAGGAAATCAAATAATTCTAATGATTAGAAATGAAAAACTTTTTTTTTTCTTCTTACCAATTCCAATGAGAATCAACAAACAGAAAAAAAACTAACAAACTAAGTGCAATCAGAATCCAAAAACAGAATTTGTATTGAAAAATTATTCAAATGTTTTTCTTTTTTTTTCTCATCATCATCATCATCATTTTTGTTTTTTAATCTGTTTTTTTTCTCTTTCCAGATTCTTGATTCTATTTCACAATTTGTGAATCTACAATTCGAATGAAAACACTGTTTTTCTTGTATATCAAAACTTTTGAACATCATCATCAAATATGAGTAAATAGATCTGCTAATAATAATCGGACAAAAAATATTTTTTTTTTGTTTCGTTTCAAGGTAAGATGATGATGATGATGATGATGATGAAATTTTTTTTTTTTTTTTTTTTTTTTTGAAACAAGTAATTTAGCGGAAAATTGTATTAAGTCACACACACACACACAATTCGAATAAAAAGTATCGAAATCAAACAAACAAACAAAAAAAAAATGTCTCAAGTTCTCTAAATCTAATCTAATTATAACAAACAAACATAGAAAATAAAATGAAAGAAATGGGAAAAAGAATTTTTTTGTTTTGTTTTGTTTTTTGGAACAATCAAAAAGCTCAAGTGAATTGGGGCGTGTATGGAATAAACAACAACAACAACAACGATGATGATGATGATGATGATGTTGGTTGTGGTGGTGGTGGTGGGTGTGTTTGAAAAAAAGCCTCAAAATTTTGACCAACAATTCTATTTTTGTTCATTGATTTTTTCTTTTCTTTCTTTCTTTCTTTCTTTCATAAGAATATTCTCTTATTATTATTGAATATACTGTGTTCCAGATGAACAAATAACGAAAACGAAGACAAATTGTTGTAAGTTTTGGCAGAAAATTCAAAGAAACAAAAAAAAAAAAAAAATTCATTCCATTATTCACTATCTAGTATGTGTGTGTGTGTGTGTGTGTGTGTGTGGGGCAAGTATGTTTTTTTCTGTTTGGTGTGTATAGTTCTTGATAAAATCTTTTGGTGAAATGAAAAACAACAACAACAACAAACAAAAAAACAAACAAACAAATGAATGAATGAATGATGACAATGAATGATGATGGACGATGATGAATATAATATTAAACAAAACACGATGGTAAAGATTCATATATCGAAACGATGGTGTAGTGAATGAATGAGAAAACAGAAAACAGGGAAAAAAATTCAGTAACAACAGAAGCAGCTAAAATAATGATTCACTAAGCTCGGATTCACAATATTTCAATGAAAAATATTTTCTGTTTGAAAATTTTGCAAAAATACAGCCAATAAGCTATTTTGTTGATTAATACGAATACGAATATAAAGGCAAAACAATATATTCATCTTGTTTTTGTTGTTGTTGTTGTTGTTGTTCTGCAATTTATGTCAACAATGATCATGAATGATCATCATCATTATTATATTTCGGATATCGACGGATAATAATTTTCTTTTTTTTTCTAATCAAACGTTTCCCATTTTGTTGTGGATGATTGTTGATGTTTCAATGTTGGTTGTGGTCGATTTTTTGGTCTTGGTGGTAACGGTGGTTTTTGACTGATTGAATCAGTTCTTGTAAATGATGATGATGATGATGTTGTTGTTGTCGTCGATTTTATTGGTGGATTTATGATAAGGTTATTTTTATTAAATGTTTGCGCTAAACGATTTGCCGGTATTTTCAATTCCATTGTTTGCTGTTGTTGCTGCTGCTGTGAATGAAATTGATTAATATTGATACCATTAAAAATTTGTTGCCCATTATTATCATTATCATTTGTTGTTGTTTGCTGTTGTTGTTGTTGTTGTTCTTGTTGTTCCAAAATACTATGATTGATTCCATAGCCAAAATAAATGAATAAACCTTAGAATCAAAATGAAAATAAATAATAAGAATCGGTTCCAGTAACAGTAGGTAGTAGAAGTTGTTCCAACAACAAAAAAATAACATCAACATACCAATAGTCATCCAAATGATGAATCGTACCAATGTTAATATTGAAAGTCTCAATATAAGATAAATATTTATAATAATTGCAATGGCAGGCACGAATGGAACTCCAGGCGCTTTGAATTTCAAATTACACCTAAAAAAAGCAAATGCAAAAGCAAAAGCAAAAAAAAAAAAAAATTTAGTTGGATCATGAATAATGTTTCCATAAATAGAAAAAAATAAATATAAATAATTTATCATCATCATGCATGAAAACATTGAATTGAATATTTGAGGACGACAGAAAGAGAAAGAGAATGATAATAAAAAAAAACACATCGCGTTTCATCTATGATGACATAATAATAACCACCATTTATAAATAATTTTTTTCAAATTAATTTGAAAAAAATTAATGTTTTTTTTTTCTTCATGCAACAAAATGATGCTAGTTATATGATGCAAAAACACAAAAACGAAACATACCTGATTTGTGGCTGTCTAGATATGGCTAGTATAATAACAATAATTGAGATGAATAAAACCATAAATAATAGGAATAATAAACGATTATTATTCCAATTTATGGAATTTATATGCCAGGCCAATTGTATATCGAATATAAGTACAAGTAAAAGAAATATTCCAACTAAACGTGCAACATACATTCCACTTTCTTCTGTTGCCGGTGTATTTACTTGCCAACCATATGGGAATAGATACATTAATAATTTTTCATATTTATCAAGTATACCATAACTGTAAATGTGTCATAAATAATATGATGATGATGATGATGATGATTATAATTAAATGAAAATTTCTGGAAAAATTTTTTTCCGATAAAAAAAACAACAAAAAAAAACTTACCGACGGCTACTGCTACCACCATGTTGATATGGTACTGAACCATATTGTAGACCAGCTGTACCGGGTACAAGAAATTCATCATCTTTACTACCTTGTCTTGACCAATTTGGATCATAATCATCACCACCACCACTGTCGGATGATTCATAAATTTTTTTCGAATAACATTGTTGTCTAGACATTTGATTCATCGATGTTATTGTTGCTGCTGTTGTTGTTGTTGATGGACAAACAAATGAAGGCGGTGGCGGATAATGTTGTTGTTGAACAAACGAAGGTGGAATCTCTTTATTTGGTGTAACACATGCTGAACGTATTGATTGTGGTAATAATTCAATCAGATTCGTTTTTGTTGGCTGATAACGTAATAATAATACACAGGTTGACACCTAGATATGTGTATGTTTAAGTTATAAATCAATAATCAATAATCAATACACAAAGAGAGAAATGAAAGAAAACAACAAGAAATTATTTACATTAAATGAACAAAAACAACATTAAAAAAAAACTGCTTGGAAAATAATTGAAAATGGAATCTATTCAAGTGGAACACGCACACACAATAAGCAAATAATAGCCACAAAGTTTAATTGAAAATAATGTGGACTTCTTTTTGTGGAACAAAATGGGAAAAAAAATTCCACATTAATTAGTGAATGGCATGAGTTTAATTAATAAAAACTTAACCGGCCGTGATCTAGCTCTTTCTATAGGTATCCAAAGAATTCAATTGATACACACACACACACACACATAAAGACAAATAGAGACAATATACATACCAATGTATAGGCCATTAATGTTCCAATTGACATCATTTCTACCAATACTTCCAATGACATGATTAATGCAATAAAAGCTGTGAATGAACCAAATATTAATGTTGATTTAACCGGTGTATTTGTAAATGGTGATATTTGTGCAAATTCTTGATATAATAAACCATCTTTAGCCATTGCATATACAACACGAGGCATTGGAAACTGGATATAATAAAATAACAAAAACAACAACAACAACAACAAAAAATTAGACGTGAATGAATGGAAAAGATTCGTATGTAATAAATTTCGATTGTTTATCGATGATTTCGTTCGTTTATTTATTTATAAATTTTTCCGTCAATTTTTTGCTTAGAAATTTTTGCTTATTTCATCAAAAAAAAAAAAAAAAAATTAATTTACCATTGAACCAAACATTGAAACAAAAAGACCAGCCAAAGCACCAATGGCAGCAAAAAATTTACAACGATTTGCGCCAACATCGGCAAACATTTCAATTATTGGTGAATTTGTATCGATCTGCCAATATGGTATGACCAATGTTACTATTAAACCTATATAAATGTCAAAATCATCATCATCATGTAGTCATAAAAATTCAAACAATAATGAAACAAAAATTTATATAGTTACCTGATGAAATATATGCAATTAATGCTATAATCATACTGGTAACAATGGCCGTCGGTATTGAACGTTGTGGATTTTCTGATTCTTCACCAGTGGTAGCAATTATATCGAAACCAATAAATGCATAAAAACAAGTTGCAGCACCATTCAATATACCTGACCAACCGTATGGTGCAAAACCACCAACACCACGTTGATGATTATGATGATCATCATGATTATTATCATTATTTTGATGATTTTGATGATGATGATGATGATGATGATGACTATTATTATTATCATTATCATTATTATTCAACTTGACTGTTGATAATTCTTGTCCATTTAATGTTGCTATCGTGGTTGTTGTGATAATAGTTGTTGTTGTTGTTGTTGTTGTCGCTGCTGCTGCTGTTGTTGTTGTTGTTGTTGTTATTGTTTCAGACCAATTATCAAAATCCAAATAAAATAATGATGAAGCAATAATGAAAAACCAAATACTAAAATTAATTGCATTTAAAATGTTTGTAAACATAAGGGATTTTTTCACTCCAGTTGCCAATATTAATGTCATTATAATGGTTATAATTGCTGCAAATATATCCGGTGTATGGCCAATGAATGTACCGAATTTGGATCTGATCCATAATGTTATATGACCATTATACATTGAATCAATACAGGCGCTAATTGCTGCAGCACCGGCTGCAGATCCAATTAGATATTCAAGAATCCTAGAAAATTTTTTTTTTATTTTATTAATAATGATGATATTTCCGATTCTAGAATCGAGTGCATACACACACACACACACACACACACACTACATATTCCATCCAATGACAAAGGCAATGAATTCACCTACAGTCACATAACTATACATATAGGCTGAGCCTGAATGTTTATTGAACACCCAAATTGAAAAAAAAAAAATCACCCATTCATATTTCCGGTTGAATAAATCGGGTGTGTGTGTGTGATGGGCGGGTAAAGAGGAAAAGAAGAAAAAAAAAAATTTTCCTGGTTAAAATTCCTGATTAAAAATGTTAATGAATTTATATATACCTGAAGTATTTGGCACTCGAACACCAAATTCGGCATAACAAACGCCTACACACACACACACACACACATTCCAGTAAATGGATAAATTGGACATTTCGAGAAATGAAAAATGAGAAAAAGAGAAAACAAAAAATTTCAGAATGCAAATATTACAGAAAACTTTTTTTTTCAGATTCATTGAGCAGAAAAGGAAATATTTAACCATCATCACACCCCTCCGGGAAAAACATCATCATCATCATCATATTTACCCGATAAAAGGCTTGCAATACCAGCAATTAAGAATGAAATGATCACAGCAGGTCCGGCTAAATTTTTGGCAACCATTCCGGCCACTTGGGGCAAAAACGAAAACAAAACAAAAACAAAACAAAAAAAAATTAACACATTTGTTTCCAAAGGGAAAAAAATTGAAAATTTTAATCAAATATTTCAAATATAAACACCTAGATACATTCCGGTTCCTACACAGCTGCCAACGCCAAGCGACACTAAATCTCGTGTTTTGAGACATTTCTATGGATTGATTAAAAAAAAAAAAAAAAAAGATACCGAGAATTTTATGAGAAAAAAAAACAAGACGATAAACCAATTATTATGAATCACACGACAAGCGACGACGAGACACACTTACTTCAAGTTTTGTAGTTGTTTGTTGTTGATCGGTGGCTGTTGAATCCGGTTCTCGTGTACGCAATAATTTACTCATCATCATCATCCATTTTCCTGGATCAATTTTCGTTAATGTTCTATTGGTTAGATTTATAATCAATTCTCTCATCTTCTGTCTTCTGAATCAACCGAAAATTCAAGTGAAAAAATGAAAAAATTAAATTCTGTCGATCGTGTGCAATAAAAAAAAACTTTTTTCTTTTCGTTGTAATTTTTTTTTTGACTTGAATTGCACTCACTAAACGACGTCAATTTCAACGATGAAATTCTGATTGAACAAAAAAAATGGAAATGGAAATGGATGGATTATTATTGTTGTTGTTGTCGACAAATTCTCAACAAATAAATTCTTTATGGATCACATTTATAATTTGGATAATTTGTTCATTGTCGTCGTCGTCGATTGTTGTTGTTGTTGTTGTTGATGATGATTTTTCATACACAATTTTATCGATTAAAATGGGGTGAAAAAAATTAAAAGTTTGCAAGAGAAAAAAACTTGAATAAAGTGGACAAAAAAAATGACCAATTCAAAACAACAATTTCTAATTCTGGATCGAGAATCAAAAAAAAAGATGAAAAAAAATTCTTTGCACACACACACACACACACACAGGAACACACAAACACTTGATATATATATAGATATTGGTTAATACGATGATGATGAAGATTCTATTCTTTTTTTATATTCTATGATTAAATTCTCAAATGTGAATAGCAAAAAAAAAAAAAAAAAATTCTTCAGGTTTATTGGCGAATTTTTTTTCCACCCGAATGATGATGATGATGATGATGACGAGCATTACACACACAGAAAAGAACAAACTGCAAACACCAATTGCATTATCGATTTTGTTCATCATTTGGATATTATTCCTATTCCTATTCCTATTTTCATCAAATTTATCCGTCAAAATGGTAAAATGCTTCTGCTTCTGCTATGGGCTGCTGTGGCTGCTTCTGCTGCTTTCTATTACAATTCTGAGATTCCATAGGGATATATGGAACGAACAACAACAAAAAAAAATTGGCATTTTGGAATCAAGTCCCTCTCTCTATGTGTGTGTGTGCGTGTGAATTTTTTTTTTTTTTTTTTTGAAGCCAAAAAATGACGCTTGCCCATTCGAGCATATTATTGAATTCAACAGAATTAAAAGGGAAAAAATAAGAGGAGGAGGATGGCTAGAATTCTTCCCTACAAGAATTTTTTCATTTTTCCATCTTTTTACATTTTTTTCTCTCTTTAATAATTATATGATGAAAGTGGTGTTGGTGTTGGTGGTGGTGGTAATTCTAGATTCTTGGATTTTTACAGATTCTTGATATTGATGATAACGATGATGATGATGATGATGACGAACATTTCACATTTTTTTTTATATTTCCTCTTTCCACTCCTTCTTTTCAACCTACATTATATCAACAACAGTCATAGAAGAATTTTTTTCGGGCCAAGAATTTTATTCTTTGAATCTTGAAACGTTATCATCATCATCATCATCATGAATCGGTTGTTGTTGTTGGAACATACACAGAAAAAAGGTTGAAACGCGCGAACGCTATATTAAATGGAAAACAAGAACAAAAACAACGCTCATATACATTCTACGACGGATCAATTCTAGTTGGGATTTTCTTTTCATTGTTCCAGTATATATCCATAATATGTGTGTGTGTGTTTTGGTATACACAGAATCTTTTTGGATTTTTATGTATGATTTGTATGTGTGCGTGTTGGTTATATATAATAATTTCCTATGCTATTCCTCACTACTTCTGCTCATCATCGTCATTCTATTAATGCCCCCCACCACCACCACCACTTCTCAACCGCCTGTCGCCCACAGACAAAATAGGAAACAAAAAAAAAATCCTCTTTTTGTGTCTACTACATATCTATTCTGTCTGAATCTTTTTGTTGTTGTTGTCGTTGTTGTTATTGTTATTGTCATTATTATATTGTGTTTCCTGATTTCACATTCAATTCAACTCAATTCAATTCAATTTTTTGTTTTGTTGTTGTTGTTGTTCCTCAACTGTTTTTTTTTTGGACCAAAAAAAACGAAAACGAAAACGAATCCAATCGAATCTCAAACATGTTGTTTTTGATGATGACGTCGACAATAAAAAACTACTACTGACTACGATTCACGAATACGAATACGAATGATAATGATGATGATGATGATGATGACAATAAACATTTTTTAAATGAGAAACAATTTAAATTTAGTGATCGATCATCACCATTATCATCATCATCATCATCATCATCATCATCATTGATTATAAGAATCAATACAAGTGTTCTGTTGCTGCTGTTGCTGTTATTGTTGTTCATCACCATTAACATCATTTTTTTCATGGTAATAAAAGAAAAACAGAATATTCTCGTATTTTTTTTTTCCAATTCAATTTTCCAAACACAGAAACTCATACACTCATACACACTCACACACACACACACATTTGTTAAATGGATTTTTCATTTCTATTTAATTCAATTCAATTCAATTATAACTTTATTATTCCTACTATTTGAATTTCCAAATTCAATCCAATATAATTACAATTCAATTCATCAATTCACACACACTTGTATAAATGAAATTCCAAATTCATCTAATAGACAATTGAATACACATCACACACACACACACACACAACTGATTTGATTTTGTCATCAAGTGCAAGGGGTGTGTTTGTGTGTGTGTGTGTGTATGTTGCGTTCACTTGATTTTCTTTTTCTAGATAAAAGAATAAGAATCGAAGAAGAAAATGTCTTTGACACGAATAACAAATGGTGTGGAAAAATGGTGGATGCAACGAAACAAATGGATGGAAACACCTGAGATAATCTATTTCCGCATTGACAAGATCTCAGAAAATCTTAATTAATTGATGTTAATTAATCACTTTCAACTTCAATCCACTTCCGCGTTCGCCACTTCGACCCAGATCAATTATATCCACTTTTGTTTGAAATTAGGCCGGAAAGAACAGAAAGAAAGGAAAGGAATGGAAATGATATGATTTGATATGTTCACTTCAACGAACAATTATGTTATGCAGATTTCCTAATTTACGATATAGAACATATTCTTTCCACGTTTTCCAGTAATAAATGTGGTTCAGCTTCAATTCATGTAAGTGTTGATTAATCATTCTCCCGATTTATGATTGGCATAAGTTGTATTTCATTAATCACTTTTAATCTGCAATTCTGGAGGAATGGTGATCCTTCTTCAACGCATGTAGCCTTCATAATTAATGTCATATCAATCGAATGGAAGATTAATGGTGATCGGTAATCACATACTGATCATAATATCTTCGTTACATTTTGATTCTTTGTTGGCATACCGCAAGGACCAGAATGTCGTAATACACAAATTATCCTTATTCGTCTGATCTGTTTCCGAAACGGATCAACCTGAATACATCATATTTCGATCTATCTTCACCGTATTTATCCAGCTGTAAGCGTCATCCAATGGTGCAGGATTCCGTTAGATCTAAATAACATTTCTCGAAATAAAATCAGATGGACAATGTCTACAAATTGAAATATTAGGGGAACAATTGTTGAAATGATATTATAACGATGAATCAGCAATAAATGCTTCGTTGATAATTTGTTCGCCTGAAGAAATCTGGCAAAGTATGGACAAGTTAAGAAACGCATTTTCAGAAACATGTTTAATCTGATCAATTTGATGTTGCATATTAATCAATTCATGAACTAATTTTTCAAGTGAATCTGCAGAAATTTCTATCTCTGTCAATGAATGATCAGAGATCCCAATCTGGTTTTTGAGATAAGAACCAAACATCACTGATGCTATGACGATGATTGATGTAAACAAATGTGTAACTGTGAAATATATAAATTATTTGAGTATTATTTAGCCAGAATTCCTCAAACTGAGGAATTCAATGCAGACTATCACAAACACATAAGCGATGTCCATTTTTCACATATATAGTTGTTGAATCACTCACGTTTTGTATTTTAGAAGTGATTCTCAAACGTATCTAGAACACACTAAGCAATGAAAATATCTTAATTGAGAAAATGATTCCTCTAAACCTCCAATAAAATACATGAATGAATCTAAATGGTTCATCTGCCGGGCCAAGATGGTGAAGTAACTTATCTCCTTTTCCTAGTGGTTCAGCTTTTGAATAAACCCATGACTAGAATTATAATATTTTGTGAAAAATGAAGAGAGTTTCGTCACAAGTTTTGATCATGTCCTTGTTCCTCATGATACTCTTAATAATTTAAATCCATAGCATTATCAGGAAGATAATATCGTTCTCTACCACCCGCATATTTAACATAACAAATCGTTGTTTCCACAACCTGAGATACCGGAATACGAATATCAGAAATTCCCCTTGAAGTAAGCAGATTTACTCAAAATTAGGATTTCTAGAAAGGAAATCAACATTTTCACTACCAGGAACAGGTATTCAATGTCTTAAATTGTACCGCTTCAATCCCTCACACGCCCAATTTTAAGAAGATTCAGTGTTGGGTTTTGGAATTGAATTTGATGACTTCAATGGTTTATGATCAGTTCGAATTAAATAACCTTTTCCACAGATAATGATGCCAGTGCTAAATCGACTCAACAATTGCTGTGCTATTTTCTGTAAATAACTTGGTAGTAAATTTCCGTGAAAATATCCCATAATTCCTCGATCATCATCTACCCAGTATCTTTTATTTAAGGACAGTCTAATACCAATACATTAGAAGCATCTGTAATGAATTCACAGCTTTTTGAGACCATGCAATAAAGATCAGATGATAGAACTCATCACTTTATTAATGCTGTTTCAGCTAACGCTGTCCAATTGATGCCCACCTTTCTTCATAACGCATAATGGTGCTTGATTTTATTTGGAATGAATCGCTGATACAAAACCAATTTACCAAGAAACCTTCTAAGATTTAAGATCTCGAGTGGAAAATTCATAATTGTTTGTTTATTACTTTTAAGAGGTCTTTATTAGGTCATAACATATTTGATGTCCCAATAACAAACTTCAGCAACGTACAAAACCAAGCTGGACTGGTGAAAGATTAGATAGTACACAATTACAACGTTGTTTAACAACATTGGATATAACATTATTAGGCATTGGACATATGGTTGGTTCCGGTGCTTATGTATTAACATCATCTATTGCAAAAAATGTTGCCGGTCCAGCCATTGTATTGTCATATATATTGGCCGGTTTTGCTGCATTTCTTTGTGCATTATGTTATGCAGAATTTTCATCACGTTTTCCAAAATGTGGTTCAGCTTATTCATGTAAGTGTGATTTATGATTGGCATGTTGTATTTCATTAACATATATTCATATTCAATGTAAATTCTTTTTTTTTCACATTCGTCTTGATAACAACATAGACGCATACATTGCATTAGGAGAAATTTGGGCATTTATCGTTGGCTGGAATATGGTAATGACACATGTGAAACGAACGATTGTCATTGATGAAATCAAATTCTTTCATTTTTTTTTTGTTAATTGAAATTTTCTTTGTTGTTGTTGTTGTTGTTTTATATATATCTTAGATTCTTGAAAATATTATCGGAATTGCAGCCGTTAGCCGGGCATCATCAGCATATCTAGATTCAACAATAGGCGGTGAAATACGTAATTATACAAATTCATGGATTGCACCATTATTGGGTGAAACATTAACCGGACATATGGATATAATGTCTGGTTTGATTGCCATTGGATTCGCTGTGTTTTTAACATCTGGAATGAAAGTAACAACATATATTAATAATACATTTTCGATAATCAATATGATTGTCATCATCATTATTATTGTGGTTGGTGGTTATTATTCTGATTTTTCAAATTGGCAAAACGATCATGGTGGTTTTATGCCTTTTGGTTGGAAAGGTGTATTCGCTGGTAGTGCATCTTGTTTCTATGCATTCATTGGATTCGATTCAATTGCAACAAGCGGTGAAGAAGCACGTGATCCACAACGTTCAATTCCTATTGCTACATTTGTTGCCATGACTGTTGCATCTATTTCATATGTTGGTGTATCATCAGTGTTAACATTGATGTTTCCATATGATCAAATATCAGAAGAATCTGGTTTACCTGATGCCCTTGGTAAATTCTCTTCTTCAGCTAAATTGGCCGTCATTATTGGAGCCTGTTGTGGTATGGCCACTGTATTGATTGGTACAATCTATTCATTGACAAGAATTGTTTATGCTATGGCCGATGATGGATTATTATTTCCATGGATGAGTTATGTGAATTCAAAATCACAGATACCATTAATGGCCATGTTTTTCTTTACTGGTTTTGGTGTTATAATGGCCATATTTATGGATATAACAACATTGGTTGAAATGATGTCAATTGGTACATTGATTGCTTATCTTGTTGTAAGTGCATCGGTTATTGTTGTTCGTTATCGACGGCCACCAAATATTGTACAATTGAATATTGATATTGAAGATGATTCTGCTGCTGCTGCTGCTGCTGCCGCTTTAGCTGAACAGCAGCAACAACAACAACAACAACAGCAACAAAAAAAATCGGAAACGAAAAAAATTACCGAACATGAACGTTTACTTGATAATGATGACGACGAAGATGATGATGATGATGATGATGATGATGGTAGTGGTGGTGGTGGTGGCAATAATGTACGAAACCATAATCCATTACGGGATACATTCAAAGGTTTATTCAACAAACAATTAGTATTGACCAGTTTGAATAATTATTTTCATGATTCACTGATCTCGATCTGTGTTCTATCCATTGTCATATTGTCAACATTATTCTGTTTGACATGCAAATTATTCCAAAAGGTATGTGTGTGTGTGTGTGTGTCTGTGTTCATACTTTATAACTTTTTCACTAAAATTTTCACCATATATTGATTGATAAATTAATCCCTGTGGTATTAATATTTTTCTTTCTTTTCATTCAACCAGGATATTGATGAAAAATTTCTTTCATTCATATTAAGCTTGATTACAACATTATTAATTGTATTAATATCAATTATTAATATGCATAAACAAAATATGGAAAATCTACGTTATAAAGTACCATTTGTACCATTCATACCGATTTTGTCAATTTTTTTCAATGTTTCATTAATCGTTAATCTTAATTGGCTAACATGGATGCGTTTCATTATTTGGATGGCCATTGGTAATTATTATTTTATTTTATATTCATTGAAACAATCTAATTAATTAACACAATTTCCATATGTATATGTTTTTCTTCACACTTTAGGCCTTTCCGTTTATTTCTTTTATGGTATCAAATCCAGTAAAGCTGAATATAATGCCGAATTACGGGAAAAAATTAATGTTGACAATATTAAAAAATGGAATTCATTTGATTCTACTAGTCAAAATGAAGATATTCTTATGGCCAGAGATTAATAATAATATTATTTTTTTTTTTCGGTCAAAAATTAAAATATTTTTCCATTCCCATCATCATCATTATCATTATCATTTCATGAATTTCGACCTATAATTTCAAATGGTCCCCAAGAGTCGCGTCAAAAACTGAAACCAAATGAAAATTTTTTTTTGTCCACAATCAATTTCAAATGGCACAAATTATTATTTTATTTCATTTTTATTTGATTGTTTGAAAAAGAATGAATTAAACAAAAGAAGAAAATTTTTCAGAATTTAAAAACAAAAGAATCAACAACAAAAGAATTTTAAAAAAGCGCGAATTTATATGTCACGGAATTTATGAACGGTCATTATGTTTTTTTTTTTGGTTTATAAACAAAACAAAATTCCACTCGCGGATAAAAAAAACTGTAGCAAATTCTGTGTGGCCACGATCATTATCATCCAAACGAGAAAAGATTTCGCGTTTACCCAAAACGAAGACGATTGATTTTAAATTGATTACATTTTTGGGTGAAAAAAATGGCTGGATCGTATTTGGAACAATTTGTTGAAAGTATTTTTTTGTTTTGTTTTTGTCAAGGTTTTTTATGTTTATGTTAATTGATTTGTTCATTATTTTGTTTTTCTTTTTATTCTTCAAAGGTATACAATCATTACCATGTGATTTGGCTAGAAATCTGAGATTAATCAATTTTCTCGATACTCGTGTTCATGGTATTGAATTTTCATTTTTGTTATTGATAACCAAATTGTAATTCTTGATTCTCCTATTAGAATTTGTCAATTCTGCTGAAGATTTATCAAATAAATATGTTAAAGATGCAAATCTATTATCATCGAATGAACGTAATGAATATTTTAATCAAATAATGGAATATATGGATAAAGCACAGCATTTAACTGATGAGAAAAAAGAATTAGCACATCAAGTTTATAATATGGTTGATAAACATATACGACGATTGGATACAGAATTGGCCAAATTCGATATTGAATTAGATAGCCAAGGTGATGATGTAAAAGATAATGTACCATCAAATAGTACGACAATAACAAATAATCAAACAATGAATACAACACAGAATAAAAAGAAACGTACAAAATCATCGAATCCATCATCATCATCTGCAGTGGCTACAACAACAACAACAACAACATTGCCATCATCATCATCGTCATCATTATCATCTACATCCAATACAAAAGAATTGAAATCATCATCACAAAAACATTCTATTGATCATCATTTGGATTCAGGTGACAATAATATGGTACAAAAAAAACGACAAGCTATCGATATACAAACATCATTATCATCATCATCAACATTATCATCATCTGCAGTTATGAATGGTGGATTAACAACAAAAGGCAAAATGATTACATCCACTGAATTGATGGATATGGAAGTTGATCCAAGTAAAAATCTCCTTATAATAATTTGAATTGAACATTACTAATTTTAATCATTTTAAAATATTTATAGATGAACCATTATATTGTATTTGTCATCAGGTTTCATTTGGCGAAATGGTTGGATGTGATGATCCAGATTGTGTATGGTTTTTGTTTGTTTGTTTATATTGATTTTTTTGTACTAAAAAAAATTTTGTTTTTTATTTTTTTTTACACAGCAAATCGAATGGTTTCATTTTGCATGCGTTGGTCTTACATCGAAACCAAAAGGCAAATGGTATTGTCCACAATGTACAATAAAACGAAAAAAATGATTTTAATGCTAAAAATTGAAAATGAAAAAAGAATTTATTCCAATATATAGTGATCAATCAAAATTCATCATCTTATCACTTGGAACGCGAAATCAAACGGAACATTTTTTTAAAGAAAATATCAAAATTATAGAATTATTGCTTGAATAATTTTTTTTTTTTTTTTTGAAACAACAAAGTAAAACCAGAAAAAAGAATTATTAATTAAACAAAAAAAAAAAGTTTATTGTTTGTACAAAAGTTTTTTTAAAATTTAAAAACAAAAAAAAATGTGTGAAAATTTCCACACCATAACAACATTTCCTGTTGTACAATATCAACGATTTTTTTTCTTTGAGAAAAAAAACATGACAAACATGGATTGTGAAAGTCAGTCAGTTAAAGAATTTGTGAAAATGCGACAGAGAGAGAGAGAGAGAGAGTTGTATTTGACCTCAATAAATTGGGTTACAATTTTTTTTCGTTTATTGGCCGTCATTATTATTATCGATGGACTGTGGGGATCTGTGATATGATCCGATCCAATCTGACTATTATCAAATTCGAATGTTTCGTTTCGTTCGTGTGTGTGTGTTTGCGTTTATCATCATCTTGATGGATCGGCGGGATGTGTCATAAGGGATTTGGATGGATTTTTGTTGTTGTTGTTGTTGTTGTTGTTTCTCCTTCCTTTTCTCTTCCGTTCTTTCATTATTTTGCCTAAAGCTAAAAAAAAAAATTTAATTGTATTCGATTTGGCTCGAGGACCGATCCATTTTCTCTGCGTGTGTGTGTGTTGTTCCGTTTTCATTCATTCAACATCATTATATCATCATCATCATCATCACGAAAAAACGAAAATCAAAAAAAAATGTTTTTCGAATCAAAGAAGAAAAAAAACAAGAGCAAATATATGGATTTCGTTCGTTCGGGGGAATTAGCAAAAGGGGAAGCAAACAAACAAACAAAAAAATTCGAGGAAGTGACTCTCGAACATAAAGTGAATGAAAAAAAAATCGTTTTTTTTTCTTTGTTTTGTAAAGTTCGTTTGATCATCTCTCTCAATCAATCGATGTGTGTCTGAGTGAAAAAAAAAGAGAAACTTAACCTTTTTTTTTTTTTTACATTTTGATTATTTTATCGATGTAATAGGATCATTATCATCATTATCGATCAACAACAACAACAACAACAACAACAACAATACATCATCAATGAAACATGGAAATTATTATCATTCGAATAACCGACAAAAGAAAAAGAGAAAATCATAGAGAAAAAGAGCCACAATGATGATGATGATGATGATGACTTCCGAAACTTAATGACGCGCCAAAAAAAAAAAAAAAAAAAAAAAAAAAAAAAATTTTCTCTTGATCACACACCAGAGGCTCAAGAGATCCAAAAAATGAAAATCTTTTTTTTTCTACTTCATTCGTATTGGATTGTCAATTTTTTTTGTAAATACGAAAAACTAAAGAGCAAAAGTATAATCGCCCAGAAGACAGATTTTGGTATGTAAATTTTTTTTTTTACAATTTTCAATCGTTTGTTTGTTTGGATAAAGTTGTTGTTAAAATAAAAAAAAAAAAAAATCACGCGCGCGCGTGTTTATTCATTCATGTTTTAAAGATCTGTCTGATATTCATTTTCACTGTTCTCTTCATTATCTTCATTTCATTCAGATCAAATCATCATCATCATCATTTTTGTTTTATCCAGATATTCGTTTGTTGTCTGAATCCACCATACACACACACACACATATACTGAATCATCATTTGAGTCTGTGTTCGGACACCACATACACATATACTATTTTCTTTCTTTCTTTCTTCTGCTGCTGCTGCATGAAAAACTATTGTCTGTGTTTGGTGTGTCTGTGTCTGTGTCTGTGTTTGTGTACATGAATTGTCCGAGAAAACAAAAAACACACGAAGAATTTTTTTTTTCTTTTTGTCTAAATTCTATTGTTGTTGTTGTCTCTTTTTTTTTGTATTGTACACACACATACATACACACACATTTTTTGATATAATGCGGCATTGTTTGTGTTGATTACAATATATATTCTCTATACACATAGACCCATAGAATAATAATAAAAAAGAGGTAAAAAGAAACGCCCAAAAGAATCAAGAAGAACTGAATTTGCTCCTGGATTTTTTTTTTTGTTTGTTTGTATATTTTATTCCGGTTTTTTTTATGTCAATGTGTCTCTGTGTGTGTGTGATATAAGCAAAATAATAATAATAAAAAAAACACGTACAAACCATCATCATCATCATCATCATCATTTGATCAGATTTATCATCAAAATATCCACCTGTAAAACTTATTGATTCAAACAAACAAAACAAAACAAAAAAAAAAAGTAAATAGACCGAAACATTGCAAATTATCGATTGTTTTCGTCGTCGTCGTCGTCATCGTCGAATGAGAAGAAAATTTTATGATTCAAACACCTGAAAGAGATAATTAGATAGGATTTTTTTGTTGTTGTTGTTGTTGTTGTTGATAATCACTGCCTTGTAGTGCACATATCACCGTCATCATCATCGAATCGAATTTTTTTCAATAACGAAGAAAAAAAAGAAGAAGAAGAAGAAGAAGTGAACAGATAAAAAAAATGACAAGAATTTCTGGTCATAAATCATTGGTATATAAAGAATGTCAGCCACAATTTTCAATATTTGATTGGGAATTGAATTCCAGTCTAAAATGGATGGAAGAAAATTGGCATTATTCTGTTTATGTATCGATCGCTTATATGTTGGTTGTTTATTCTATACAACAATTTATGCGTCAACGTGAACCATTCAAATTACGTAATTGTTTGGCATTTTGGAATCTATTGTTAACAATATTCAGTATGGCCGGTAGTTATTATATGTTACCAGAAATGTATGATACATTCTACATGAAAGGTATTAATCATTCTGTTTGTATATCATCAACAAATTCTATTGCCCAATATTGGATGTGGCTATTTGCATTATCGAAAATATTTGAACTTGGTGATACTGTTTTTATTGTGTTACGTAAACAAAAATTAATTCTTTTACATTGGTTTCATCATGTATTGGCATTGATTTTTACATGGTATAGTTTTGGCCAAAATATATCATTAGGACGTTGGTTTGTCACCATGAATATGGTTGTACATTCATTAATGTATGCATATTATGCATTTCGTTCGATGCAAATTTATATACCAAGACAGATAGCAATGACCGTAACATCATTACAGATTATACAGATGATATTCGGTTTCTATGTTAGTGGTTATGCATTTTTTTCAAAATTATCTGGAAATTATTGTGAAATACCGGCAAAAACGGCTACATTTGGTTTCATCGTTTATTCAACATTTTTCTTTATGTTTGCCAAACTTTTTATTAATAATTATTTGAATAAAATTTCAACAAATCATCATCATCATCATCATGATAAATCGCAAACAAAATGGACTTCCAATTCAAATATTCATCATCACGATGATCATGATGATCATCAACATTCGAATGGTAAAACAACAACAAAAACAGCCACTACTACTAATACCATCACCACCACCACCCACCAATACCACCACTACCAACGAACCAAAGAAAGAAATTTAAAAAATCGAATGAATCAAATTAAAAAATGGAGAAAAAAAATTTTTTAAAAAAATCAAATTTTTGTTTGTAAATAATAAAAAAAAAAAAAATTTCAAATGAAAAGCAAAAAAAAAATTGATAATAAACCAATTTATTATTATATCAGTCATCATCAGCGCGTTGTTATATATCAAAATAGCGCGTTTAACACAACAACAACAACAACAACAAAAAAATACTCAAACATTCCACACCAAAAAAAATTACAAAATTTTTAAAAATAAAAAACAAAATTTTCGCTCTATTTTTAATGTTCTCTCTTTTTTTCTTCATTCAATAAATATTCTGTATACTCAACTCTAAAGCAGAACAAGGCATTGCTAATTCAAAATTACCAACCACTTCTGGATGTACGACACCTATGATGCCAATTATTTGTTCATTGATCAATACTTCTGCACATCGATTATTCAAAAATCGTGGATCATTTTTTGCACGTAAATAATAATAATATCCAACAGTAGTATTGGTGGATTCATTGGTTTTCATTGGTATCTCTAATACCTGCATTATACGATCCAATAATCCGTGAATAATTTCGAAACCAGAATTTTTATGATAATAAATAGCCGAAAGATAACGTTCATTACGTGCTCGAACATCTGCATCAACAATGGATGGGGAAGGGATGAAAAAAAAGAATTAGAATTTCTGATAAAAACGATGATGATAGATTTGAAAATTCAATACCATAATTATCATCTTTGACAACAACATCAGATATTTCAAACAATTTCAATGGTAAAGGCATATTTTTATTCGATGCTATTGTTTTCAATATACCAGGTAATAAAGATGTACGAGCAACTTGAAAATCCAATGTTTTTGGATTCGATATTTTTACCGCTTTTGTCAATGAATCTTTATCACGCATTCGATCAGCTATATCATCACGTGAGCACTAAGTGAAAAAAAAAATTTTTTTTAAGACAAAAACCATTTCCAAAACAAAAAAAAAAAACATACCAGACTAAAAGTAAAAATTTCTGTAAAACCACAACGAGCAATTTCATTACGAAGTTGATCGGTTATTTTATTCAATAAAAATTGTTGTCCAATTGTGAATGAATCAGGTAACGATAATTGCATACGATTATAGCCATAACCAATACCAATGTCTTCAAATATATCACATGGATGTAAAATATCTTGCCGTACAGGTGGTATACAAACATCAATTTCATTATTATCATCTATTTGGCTAGATTCTAGATACATTCGTTTTAAAATTCGATTTATATTATTCCTATCGATACTATATGTCGAGAAATATGCAAAAAAAATAACAGAATTAGTAGTGTTGTTGTTGTTGTATTTAAAATCAACAAAAACATACCCAATTCCAAGATTATTCTCAATATATTTCATTGAAATTTTTTCATTTCGATATTTAAGTAATGGATAAATTTGTTTACTACCATCAAATTGTGTTACTTGTACTGGATCAATGGTAAACGGTGTTGAACAATATTCAGAAAACATACAAACCATTGTATCAAGTACAATAGTAGCACGATGAATATCGGTAGCCGTACATTCGATGAAAATATTTGTCGTATTCATTGTAATCTTACTATGTTCACCATTTATGATAGGAGGCAGTGAAAGAACAACATTATTTGAATCATATATGACCGGATAAACAGGACTATCTTTAATAATTGGAACATATGGTTTGATATGTTCATCATTTGTAAGATAATATTCCAATAATTCTTTTGAATTAAATTTTTGTGTTTGTTTTAACGGTATGAATTCAATCGATTCTGGTTCACGTGCATCATAATAAAATGGCCACTGAATCGTGTCCAAATCATGTGTACCAATAGCAACTAATGTTCGTTTTCGGCATATATTCTGATGAAGTTTATCTTGTAAATCAATAAAACTGTTGTATGAAAGTTTAGTGAAATTTACACCACGTAATACAGCGCCGACAACAAATGGTCGAATTTTTTGTGTCTGAAAAAATGCAGAAATAGATAGATTAAAATATTAAAACAGAATAAAAAAAACATTAATTTCTTACATTGGGCAAAACAATCAATTCATTCTGATGATTTGATGATGGTTCAGAAAGTTTATATTTGGGTATCGTAGATCTAGATTCCAAAAATGGATAAAACATCATCATTATCATCAAGTATAATAATGAATTTATTATTCATCATACCGTTCAAGGAAAATATTCAAAGCACGAGCCAATCCTTCTAAACAAAGTAAATCATAACGATTTGCTGGTATTTCAATACGATAAATAATTTCCTCTTCTTGATCCATAATAGTAGTTTGATTGATACCCAATTCTTTTGCTTTAAATTGTTTTTCCGTTGTTACTTCATCCAATTCGATACCGAATTCAAAACAAAGATCATTGAATTCTTCTTCAGCTAAATAATAAAACAGATTCAATTCGATCATCAACAATTATCATCATCAATATATACTCACTGTATGTACGACCTAAACGTTTGAATAATTCATCACGATTAACAGCGATTGTTGGCATTTTGAATTATTTTTTTTTAATTTTAATTCTCTGAATTTATAACTGGAAAAAATAAAAAGAATACCCGAAACAATGCCACGAGCTGATGATATCATACACGTGTAATCATTGAGTCCCATTCACAAACAATATGCACGATTCTTTTTTTTTCTCGTCAATGTCCTTTGGGTATATACCGAAAATATATAAAGTCAGCTGAACTGAATTCGAACTTTTTCAAAATCACATTGTTTGTTTGTTTGTTCATAAAAAATTAAATCGAAAATTTTTTTTTTTTTGATTTAAATTCAGAAGAAAAATCATTTGAATTTATTCGTTTACAAATATTTATATTCTATCTTATTGTTCATAAAATAGATCTTTATCGAAACGAAGTGAAAAAAAATGAGTGTAACCAATCAAAACGTTAAATCGGATATGGCCATTTGTCAGAAATATGATCGTTTCATTGCAAATGCTATCATGAATACCGGTATGTATGAATCAATTTATTAATCAAAATTTTAAATTAATCCAACACCATCAACAGGTATTGGTATTGCAGCCGGTTCATTAGCATCGTTAATTCTATTCAAACGACGTGTATGGCCAATCCATTATGGTATCGGTATTGCATTCGGTTATTCATTGAAAGATTTTGAAATTTGTCTCAATCAAAGAAAATGAAAAATCGGCCATCCAACAACATAACCACACACACACACACAAAACAAAACCAGAAAAAAATGTTGAAAATTTTTATTGCAAAAAAAAAATATTTCACAAAATACAAAAAAAAGAGAGAATCGTACAGGTGAGAGAATTATTAGCGTATATAAAAAAAAAGATGAAGAAGAAAATTGAATTATTTGTTAAATAATAATAATAAAAAAGCACAAAAAGTGTGAAAAAAATGATTAAAAAAATCTACACAAACAAAAAAAAATGTCTTATTCATTGTATTGTAATTAATTAATTAATTAATCAATCAATCGAAAAAAAATTTAGTAAAAAAAAAGAGTTCAAATCATATATTTCCACATCGTTTGGTTTCGTTTGATTGTCGAGACCAATTTTTTTTTTTGAGTTGCCACGTGTTTTTATTTTCAGTTGTTTTTTTTTTGCAAAAAAGCGTAGGATTCGTAATGCGTTTGTTTTTCAAATTGTTTATATAATAATAAATACTGACAAATTTTTTTTCCTTGAGTTGATATCATTCAAATGCACGATGAAAGCTTTGAATTCTTTGGTTTTAGTCAAAGTTTATATTCCCAAATACAACAATGTGCATGTTGACTTGAATAGGTTGTTTCATTCAATGATACACGTTTATATCCATTTCCTCCGGTCATTAATAATGCTGTTTTATTATTCGATGATGATGATGATGATGATCCGGTTGTAGTTTCATAATGTCTTGCTGATTGTTGATTATTAGCAGCTGATACTAATGGATGATTATTATATTTATTACCACCACCGCCACCACCACCACTTGATGATGATGATCCCGGTTGTTGATCTATTGTTGTTGATGTTGTTTGTAATTTCTGTCCTTTAAATGGTGCTATATCATAAAGGCTACTACTTGCACCAATACCCGATGATGAGGAAACATTTTCTTTTTCAATTAAACTTTTATCATTACCACCAATGGATGAATCATAAATACTATTTTGACTTTTAGCTGGACTTAATTGATTATTCGTTGCTGATGATATTGGATAATTGCCAGCACTGCTTATCTCTCGTTGACTACCAGCTGATGTCATACCACCGCCAACACCACCACCACTACTATTGCCCAAATGTTCATTACCTAATGTTCGACGTTTATTTAGATTCATTAAATTAGCTGTTGATGTTGGTTTCTTTCGTAATATCAATCCATCTTGATAGATAGCACTTTCCGATGTAGAATCATCTGAAAGATTGATATTGGCTAGATCCCAGGTCATTTTCGATACGGCCATATGATGGCCACTATTTGTTACATTTCCTAAATCATGATGATGATGTCTATGATGATGTGGATCATGACCAACACGAACATAATTTTCAACATTCATTAGATCTGAATAAAGACCATAAATTGATTCAACATCTTCATTTTTCATCATCATCATCATTTCTTCTTTTTCAATTTCTTCCATTGATTTTGTTTTATCCATTGTTGAATTATTTGGATGTACAGGAATTTCACTTTGAGTATTTGTTAGATTGAGCAATATTGTAACTGGTCCAGTATGACGATGTAAAGCGACATTCAAACAGCCAGATATCAAAGGTACACCTTGTAGACGAGGTAAATTCAATGTTACAATCACACCAACATTTGTTCCGATCCACAATAGACCACGTGTGGCCAACATGGCTGTGACAAAAATTCCATTTGGATCAACCATTTCATTTAGTATTCGTTTAACATTCGATGCAACATTAACATCTTGTAGATGTTTAAATGTTTCCGTATGATATAATTTGATGATCGATGAATTCACCAGACTAACCCAAAGACCAATACCACAATGTGCAAGAAGATTAGGTTTCAGATCTTCATCGGGAAAATGTTGAACTTTGGCTGTAGAAGGATCACCTGGTGATAATTGATCACTACCTGGACTATTTTTATTATTATGCAAATAATAACTACGATCCAATTGGGCATTATTGATGATCCAGATTTTTTCACCACAACATGCAAACATTTCTTTATTGACCGGTAGTAAACATGTGACTGGGTGAGCAGTTGATAATGATATGATTATTGGTTCTTCATAATGAGTAGCATTGAACAAGGCAACAACACCAGTGATTAGCCCAACATAAACAAAATTAATAAAATATCTGATACAGGTTACTTCAGCCGATACATCTAATGCAGCAAATTGTTGCCATTCTCCAGGTGAACTGGCATCAATCACAATGATACGTCCTTGTCTTAAACCAATCCAAACAGCATATGAACCAACCGATTCAATACAGGTAACATGTGAATCACATAATTCATATGAATGTATTAAACTAATATCGGTACCATTCGTTGCTAATGCACCTAATTGTGAACCATTTTCATTAACATTACATATCCATAGAACACCAGAATTATTTTCCAATACAAGATCATCACGACGATGGATACGATAATGTAATGCACATGTAAGCATACTATGTTCAGTTGTTGCAAATATTGGTAATGATTTGACGAACAATGGTACACGATGCATAATGATTGAATTCGATAGATTTGTTCTGGTTGTTGATATTGTTTCATTAACAATATCCCATGCTGGATTATTAGATCGATCTAATGCTAATTTTGCAAGCCGTACATCGGTAAGCCAATCTTTTTTCGTTTCTGGATCATTCATCTGTATACAGATAATATCTTTATAATTTTTCGAACGTATTCGTATCTGTAAACATGATCGATCAATCAATGTAATTTGTGCATCTTTTTTACGTATTTCTTCACGAATTTCCGTACCAATCTGTTCGACTAGTTCCACGGATATACCTTGATATTGATAACGAAGTGATGTTAATAGATTCGATACACGACTAATGACTTCAAGATCATGTATTAAACTATTTAAATCACAATACATTCTTTCAACCGTACAATGTTTTGGTGATGAATTTGCCGTTGCTGGATCTGTTACAGAATAAACAAAATTAGAAAAAAATGGACCAGAAGATAAAAGGAGAAAAAAAATTCAAACCTTTACTTTTGAGCATTGAATTTGCAATCAAATTGTTTGTTGCCGGTGTAACATCATCCATAACATCAACATCTTGTAATGAAACAGCATATTTAAGACGATTTGCTGGAACACTTACACAAACAAGCATATCATTCAATAGATATAATTTACGACATTTAGTTTTCATCACCAAACCAGAACTTGTATCCAATTCTAATTGATAAATATCATCTTGACGTAATAGAAAACGATTTGATGAATTTGTTGTTGAACTACTTAGATAATCTTTTAATAATTGTTTAACAGCAAAATGTCGTTCAGCATCACGTTTACGTTCATTGAGGCGATCAGCCAATGATTCTAATTGTGTTAATGCCAATTGTAATGACATACGATCATGATGATCAGATGGTGTATGTTTAAGTAGATCACTTAATAATAATATAAATTGTGGAAATCTTTGTACTGGTTTTACCATTAAACCAAAAAAACTAAGACGATCAGGACTAGAAAGTGATTTTTCTTGTAAAAATTGTGCAAATGATGATTTTGATTTAGCCGCTTTACGTGCTGTTTCCATTGCATTGGTAAAATTATTAATAAAATCTGAATAAATATCTAATACCATTGATTTAGAGAATGATGCAATAAATACATCACCAATCTGTTCTTTTTCATCCCATTCACGAACACATTGACTTAAGGCTATACCAAATATTGTATGACATTGTAGAATCTGTTCCAAACGATGAAATATTATGTTTATCTTATTCTGACTCAATATCGATGGGCTAGATTCTTCTAATGGTTTTTTATATAGATTTATAATACGTTGTAATGAATTTATGTAGGAATTTTCAGAATCCACTATTGATCCAATTATATAACGACGTTTTAGCTGTTCTTTACTCAATTCACCAGGTATTTCTGGCAATTGTATTGGTGGTCGTTGTTTTTTCGATAATTTAATATCAATATATGGATTCTCATCTTCAGACATTGATGGTGAATTTTTTTTCCTGGTCGAAAACCAACGTGTAAAACTTGATGATGCTAATGAACGTTTACTACCACCTTTTTTCTTATAACTTTGTAAACTTAATGTATCAGCATATTGTGCACGTAATGATGATAATGTTAGAAAATCAATTTCTTCATATATATTATCATCATTATGATGTGAATGATGATGATGATTATGATTTTGATGATGTGTATTTGGTATTGAATTTGAATGATGATGATGATGAAGTTGTTGTTGTTGTTGTTGTTGCTGTAATTGTTTGTTATTACGATTATCTTCATAAACCATATAGAATGGTTCTTTATATGAAAGTTGTGGTGGTGGTTGTTGATGAGAATGTAAAGGCGTTTGTTGTTGTTGTTGATGATGATGATAAATTGATGTGTCGATGCACTATGAGGATGATGATGTTGTAATTGATTTGTACCGGCTGCAGAAATCATTGTTTTACCATAATGATCAAAATCATCTTTTAGATTACCACCGAATTGTTGTTGCTGCTGTTGTTGTTGAGCTAATCGACGTAATGATGATGATGTTGATTGATCGATAAATTGATTACAGCCACCACCACCAGTACCGACAACAATGCCTGTATTACTTGATGTTGAACCTGAATATTCACCATTAGTATCATTCATTAACATTTTTTCAAAATCAAGATTAATATTTTTAACAATTTTCTCTTCACGAGCTTGAAATTTTGATAATTCATTTGTAATTGAATCGTAGCTAAACATAATAGGTTCAGATTTACGTCGCAATTGTGATAAACCTAATGTTGATGATGATAATGTATGATGATGTTGATAAAGTTGTTGTTTTTGACGAAAATTTTTATTATCACCAAAACGATAATCTAAATGTTGTGGAATACGTTGATTCTGTTGATTTGATTTTGATTTCTTTTTCCGTAATAATGGACTAACTCCATTTGTAAATATTGATAATGATCGTTGATAAATACTTTGTTTTAATGTTAATGATTTTTTATTATTATTCGATGAATATGGTGGTTGAAATGCACGTGGTAAACTTTCTGTACCATTACGTATATCAACAACATCTAATGATAATAATGGATTAGCAAATGAACTAATTGTATTTGTATATGGATTCTTATGAAAACGTTGTGGCTGTTGTTGATGTAATCCTGTTGTAATACCATATGGTGATGATGATGATGATGATGAATGATTCTGATAATAATTATATAAATGATGATATGGAATATTCTGTTGATGATTAATCAATGATGATGATAATGATTGTATTGGCGGTGATGACGAAGATTCTATCACTGTTGTTGTTGTTGTTGTTGTTATTGATGATGATGATAAAGCCGACGTTGTTATCGATGTTGAAGTTGTTGCCACCACTATTATTCGTTCATCATCATCATCATCATCATCACCACCACCACCAGCATTTGTTGTACTTTGAACATTTGATGGTGGTGGATAGGCCAAAGATGAATGCCGTTGTTGTTGTTGTTGAGTAAAAGTTGAAGTGGTGTTCGTAGTAGTAGGAGTTATACTTGAAACTTGTTGCTGTTGTTCAGCTAATGAAGAAGAAGACGTTGTGGATGATGATGATAGTGGCGGCTGTGTTCGTAGCTGTGATTTGTTTGCTGCCAGATTGTCAACAACATTATTTGAATTTGAATTTGAATTATGATTCGTAAATGGTAAATTGTTACTGTTGTTGATTATGGACACGATATTTGAATTCAAATTATTTGTCGTAGCCGTTGTCGTGGTGGTAGTAGAAAAATTATTATAATTGTCATTACCCGTTGTTGATCGTGCTGCTGTTATAATTGTATTGGTCAAATCATTCGGGCTACCACTATTTGTAATTGTTGTTGTTGTTGTTGTTGTTGTCATAAAATTTTCATGTACAATAATATTTGATGATGATGATGATAATGGTTGACCATAAGAATAATTGTTGTTACGATTATTAATCAATTGTGGATTCCTATTAAATTGTGATTGTTTTGTATTATTATTCGATTCTTTCTTAATCAATTCTCCATAATAATATGGTGCTTTATTATTATTCGACGATATCGTTGTTGTTGTTGTTGTTGTTGTTGTCGTTGTCGTCGCTGTTGTTGTTGTTGTTAATGATGATGATGATGAAAATGTTGTGCTTGATGACATATTCCAAAATATTTTTTTTTTTTTTTGTGGAAAGCTGCTAAATTTTGTTTTGAATTGGTCAAAAGTAAATAATTTGGCTATCTATTTGCCATCCTAATCATCATCATCATCATCATTGTTCATATCTTCTGTCTGCCATGAATGAATGAATGAAAAAAAAAATATTTTCAACTTATTATTTTTGACAGTGGAAAAATTGAAATTGTCGTCATTTATACCATTTGGATTGTCTGAATTTGAAGATATCTTTGTTTATCTTCAAGTGTGTGTGTGTGTGTGTCCAATAAATCATCCGAGCATAAAGATTGTATGTGTGTGTGTGTGTGTGTGTGGACAAATGTTATGAAAAGTAGAAAAAATCAACCAACGAAGACGGATTTATGATGATTAATCTAAATGAAGATGATGATCAACTATGATGATGGTTTATGTCCACAAAAGTTATGAGTGATGAGCAAAAAGAAATAAATAAATGAAACTTTTTGCAAAATGATCGATACAAGCGGATATTTTAATTTTTTTTTTGCTTATCATTCGAAATTCGAATTTGATGAACACACACACACAAATGTTCGTAGGTTGAGATTGTCGAATATTTCAAAAAAAAAAAAAATTATGATGATGAAAATGTCGTGGGCAGATCATTTACATGATTATTAAGATGATAAATATGGTGATGATGATGATTTTTGATGCTTCATCATCATTACATCATATCAAGATGGATTTATAAATAAAATGGATCGATGTTTATCTTCATCTTCATCATCATTATGATGATGATGGATAGTATTTTGTTGTTGTTGTTGTCGTTTGAGCAAATTTTATCACCATCATCATCATTCATTCATTCATTCATCAAGATTGACCAAAATGTCATTGAAACATTGTAAACAAACATCATCATCATCATTGAATGATTAAAAAGTTGAAATCGGATACAGAGAAAAAACAAAAAAAAAGATCACAAAATAGAATGGATTGTCGTTTGTTTGTTTGTTGATAATAAAAATGAATGAATAAAGAAAAAAAATTTTCACTTTCATTCAAGGATTTTTATTTAAAAAAAAAAATTTTATTAGATAAATGAAAAAAATTTCGTGGCCAAAAAAAAAAGAGAATGAACGAGAAGAATTCGATACCATCGATATTTTCATTCATTCATTCATTCGAATCTGTCTATCTAATAATGATAATGTGTATATGATGATGATGATGGACGGCACGGCGATCCATCCAATGGCATCATCCACAAACTATATCGGTATTAACTATACAATGAAATAGATGAAAAGACCACCACCACCACCACCACCACCACAACCATTATCACGACAACCATCACCATCGTTGTGTGCGTTCAATGCATCCAACAACAACAACAACAACAACGAAGAAAAAAAATATCCAGCTTCATTCTGTGTATATATTCATTCATTCATTCATTCATTACAATTCATTCCAATTGAATTCAATTCACATACAATGAGGATGATGATGATGATGATGATGATGTTGATGAAAGCCTCGCCCAATTTATATATATATACAACAAGAAAAAAGCTACATTCAAGATTCAAAAATTGAATGAATGAAATGAAATGAAAATGAATACTATGTATGTATACTGGAAAAGCGCCATTCCAAAATTGTTGTATAACATATGAGGCCCTCTCTCTCTCTCTCCAAAAAAAAAAATAAAAATAAAGGTTGGTCGTTGCCCTAGACATCTTTTTTTTCTCATCGTTTTCATCATTATTATTATTAGATAGATATTGGATTCGATTGGACAAGTTCATAACATTGTGTTATGAGATTTTTTTTTTATTCAAAGAGAGGTATGGTCTGAGCGGGGTATGTGTGTGTGTGTATTTTTAGGTATTTTTGTTTGTTTGTTTGTTTGTTCGTGTTTGTTAATAAAAATATATTTAGACCGGTTTATATGAAATTTTTTTTTTATGTATTTACGGCACATACCAATATTTAGGAATGGAATGTTTGTATCGTTTCAGGCTATCGATATTTGTTATAGATGGATGGACGAATTCACGTATCTGTCTGTTATCATTCAGCCATTCATCATCATGATGATAATGATAGGTAGTAGTAGTAGTAGATGATGATTTTTTTGTTGGTCATGGTAATGTGATTATCGTCAACAATAAAATTGATATTTTGTCATTTTATCCGATCCAGGTTGTCATTTTTGTGTTATTTTTTTTTTTGGTTCAATTCATTCATGAATTGTTTCCATGGATATCTATTCTGTCTGTGTGTATTTTGTCTGTTAATTAATGAATGGCTTTTTGAAGAATCAAAACACACACACACACACACACAGGATGCACAATAACGCGGCAATAAAATTCGAAAAAAAAGAATAAATTACACTTGTTCAGTCGAAATAGGCGATAGGTGTTGTGTATAGAATGTCTTTATTTTAGTGTTTGGCTTATAACAATTTCATTAATAATTAAAATTGATGATGATGATTTCGGATTTCTTTTTTTTTTTTATCATTTCAATACATTATTTTTTTTAGGTTTGTGGATTAGATTTTTCTTAATTTTCTACATATACAAAATTTCGATAATTTAATATGGGAATTTTTACGAAAATTTTTTTCATTTTCTCATCATCATACGTCCTTTATGAACGGAGTTTTGTTTTCCAGATTTTTCTCGAACTACGCGTCAAAGTGTGTGTGTGTGTGTGTATGTGTAATATATTTCATTCGATTGATGTGTGTGTTCTGCTCATGAGCGCTCAATTCTTTTTTTGGAACAATTTTTTTTTTCGTTATTGTTTTTTTTTGTGTATATGTGTAGCTTTTGCCAATAAAAATCATCGTCATTTACAATCATCGACGTTGCTGTGGACGATAGTATAAATCTTTTAATTTACAACGAGCAGAAATTGGTAATTATTTTTTCAAGATCATTAAATCATCATTGAAAAATTTTACCGGAAAGAAACTTTGACGAACAAGCAAAATATAAATTTCCATATCGTTTGTCTTTGTCGTTTCCATTGTTTTCCGGATTAAATTTGATTATTTTTTTGAAATTTATAAATTAAGAAATGGCCCTTTTTCGTTTTGGCAATATGGATGATATGTTTGGGTAAGTTTTTTTTTGATTTTTATTTTCATCTAAATTTTTGATTTTGAATTCATTCTCATGGATATAATAGGAACATTGATAACATGATGAATCAGATGATGGGTGGAATGTTTGATCCATTTGCAATGACACCATTTGGTCGTCCTGGTCAGAATATGATGTCACCATTCAATCATATGAATCAATTCCAGAATATGTTCTCACAGGCATCACAGATGCAAGCTAATCCTGGTACATCATTTGTTTCTTCATCATTCATTTCATATTCAAGTAATGGTAATCAACCACCGCAAGTGTATGAAGAAACAAAAATGAATCATGTTGGTCCTAGTGGTGTTCGCGAAGAACGTCATACAGTACGTGATTCACGTACCGGTTTACAGAAAATGAAAGTAGGTCGACATATCCAAGATCGTGGCCATGTGATGGAACGAAGTCGAAATAATTATACTGGCGATGAAGAAGAGAACAATGAATTCATCAACATCGAGGAAGAGGAAGCACCACAATTTCAACAGGAATGGTCATCACGTATGTCACGAGCCTATCCAAATGGACAACAGCAACAATATTTGCAACAGGCACCACAACGTACACGTTTGGCCATCACTGCTGGACCAAGTAATGATAATCATTATCAATATCAATCAACACAATCACCTGGTCCAATTATAACACATCCACCTAGTACATCACCACCGCCGACAGCCAATCTATCGACCAGTAATAATAGTAATTCGTATCAATATTATCATCATGATTCACCATCATCATCTAGTAAATACTTCAATTAATTTTTTCACTTCAATATCAAAGTATCTTGATTTTTTCATTGAATTCTGGTTTTTCAATAAATAAATTGCCGATTGATTATCACATAAGAAATTAACATTTATATGATAGTTAAGCCAATCAAAGATTTGTTCAATAAATATGACAGATCTGTATGATTCAACAATTGCCGATATCTCTGCTTCACAACTGGAAATCGATATTTTTCTTTGTTTAATGCTTTTCCATTTTAGAATTGCATTACCGGTACTAATAATGAACCCGGTTGTTGAATGTCTTGTTGAACCTTGACCAAATGATGAATCTGTATATACAGTCAAAGTTGTATTTAATTGCCCAATGATTAATTTATAGTCGATAGTTTTGGATAAATAACGTAATACCATTTTACATGCATTGAACAAAGATTCGGTTGGTTTTTTAGCAAATCTTGACAAACCAGCTATTGACACCATTTCGTCTTCAATTCCTTGACAATTTCATTTAACATTTCTTCTGTTGGTCCTACCATCAATATGTCATCAACATATAATAGAAGTATAACTTCATCTTTTTTAAACAAGCATTTATCTGCAATGCATCTTTCAAAACCAATTGACATTAAATAACCAGAAATTGTGTTGTACCAGGCTAGTGGACTTTGTTTTAGGCCATAAAGGGCTTTGTTTAATTTCAATAGTCCGTTATGATAGAAACCTGGTGGAGGTGCAACATATAATGATTCTGACAGTGGTGCATTTAGGAAAGCAGTACGAATGTCAATTTGTCGAGTCTTATATTTAAACGATGTTGCATAACCCAAAATTAAATTTGTCAATGATGGTTCAGGTGTTGGTGAAGCAATTTCGTTGTAATCAATACCAAATTTTTGAGAGAAACCTTTGCAAACCAAAACGGAATTTATAAGTACCGTTACGTTTTTTTGTGAACAACCATTTTGTTTGAATAATTTTCTTTGTATTGTCCATAGGAGTTTTTTTTTGAAAACCATATATTTTGTAATTGGTCAAATCGGATAATTTCATTGCACTCTTTCGTATGTCGATGGAATCCACACATGAATTTACACATCAGAGTAACCATAACGTGTTGGCGGTACACCCGATATTTTCTACGTGTAGAACCAGACAAATCAAGTAAAGTGAAAAAAGCTAAAGAAATGAAAAATAGAAAATATAAAAAGCCGACCAATAATAATGGCAAGAAAAATGAGTGAAAAATCCATTGTGAAGAATTGTGAAATCTTAAATTTCTTTCTTTCAATCTTCTTTTTCTTCTTCAAAACCAACATCACCAAATATCATCATTATCATAATAATTATAATAATAATAATCAATTCCCGATGAGAAAAAAATGATCAATGATTGTTCATATATGAACAATTTTTCATCACTCATACATTTGGCGCTGTAGTAATAATTTGGAATTTATTTTTTAGTTTGATTAATCAAAAACACATTTGGAATCAAATTTCCATAATTGTTTTTCATTATTATCATCATCATATACCTTAATTATTATTAATAAATAAATTATCGATTAATTGATTGAAATGTTTTTTTTATCATTTTAAAATTCTTTATTTTTTTCTCACATCATCATCATCATCATCAGTAGGTAGGTAGGTAGGTGTAAGGAGAAGTTGTCACAATCAAGTATTTGAGAGAAGCAAAAATGATGTTTGGAGGAGTATCATGAATTATGAATACTTTTGTGTGTGTGTGTGTGTGTGTTTTGGGATAGAAGAAAAAGGAATCAGAAAGAAAAAAATTCGTATAATAATACTGAATCATTAACAAAAAAAAAAAAAAAAAAATGCGACCATTCATGTGTGTGTGTGTGTATGATAGATGATAATCGATATGAAAGCCAGCAAAGACAGAAAAAAAAATTAATGTGTGAAAATCAACACAACAAACAAACAAACTAAACAGAAAAAAAGGAGAAAATTGAAAATCATCAACTTGTGTTCATGTTTGGTGTAGAAAAATAGAAGAAAAAAAATTCAAATTCAAATTCTTCAACACAGAGTGGTACACACACACACACACACACACACAGAACAGAACAGTAGTGTCATATTGGATATATCCATTTATCGTTTTTTGTTTTGTTTTGTTTTTTGTTTTCACAATAGCAACAACAACAACAACAACAATGATAATGATAATAAAATAAAATGGAAAAAAATTGGAGAACAAAAATGATGATGATGATGATGATGAGTGGTTTTTTTTTCAATAAAAATTTTGTTTGTTTGATGTTTTTGTTGGTATGATATTTTTTTTCAAAATGATAATAACAGATCAAGGTGTAAGAGAGAGAGAGAAGAAAGATATATGCATTATTCGTATCATCAAGAATTACCAGAATTTGAAGAGAACAAAAAAAAATTCAGAATTTAACCATATATGGAAAAGATATATAGATGATATAGATGTATAATAATTGATATTTTGTTATTGTTTTCGAAGAAATTCTGTGATGGTGTGTGGTCGGTCGGTGGTGGTGGTGGTGATGGTGGTTGGTGGTCTTGATAATGATTGCGCCATACATTGCGCGATTATTTATTTATTTAAAAATTAAGAAAATAAAAAGAAAAACATTTTACTGCCGCATCCATATACAAATAATGATGGAAGTTGATTAATTAAGTAGTAGTAGTAGAGAATTTGTGTGATGAACGAAAAAAAAACGAACAACCAAACAAACAAACAAAAAAAAAATGGATCAAAATTCAATTAACCTATATATATAAAGGAGTTGTTTAGCAGCTCTCTGTGTTTTTGTTGTTTTTGGTATGTAATTGGGTTTTTGGCTGCCTTTTGTGTCGTCATTCATTCATTCATTCATGTTATGTGAAAATGTATCGCATATAAAATTTGACTAGCGCAAAAAAAAAAAAAATTTTCTCGAGTATCTTTACAGAGTTTCTCAGTGTTTGTGTGTGAGTATTTTTTCTATTTTGGAGGAAAAAATAAAAAGAATTTGGGAAAAAAAATGCAAAGAACTATAAAGAAATTATAAACAAAAAACAAAAAATGCCAATGAGATTCAGAATCACATGTGTGTAATGTGTGTGTGTGTGTGGTAGGTGTTTAGTTTTTTGGTTAAGATGTTTTTTTTTCATTGTTTTTCTTTTATCAGTGGTTTAGTTTCATTTCATCGATTCATGTTTCTTTGGTTATTGTTGTTGTTGTTGTTTTGTATTATTTATTTTTTGAGTATTTTCTGGTGATATTTTTTCGTTTTTGTTTTGTTAAAATTTTGGCGAATAAAAAAACACAGAGAGACTGAATATCCGATGATTTGTTGTTTTTCTTTTTTGATAATTCAATATTGATAATTTCAATAGGGCGTAAAACGATTGAACGCTCCTCGATATGTGACCTATTTATATTTATCAAGAATCAGAATTAACACTTTAAGTAAATGAATGAATGAATGATAAAAAAAACTTACGCCATAACCAGATACTGGTCCAATACTATGTCCCAGATATGGTTCAGCAAATTCTCGTCCATAACTATATAATGGAATCATAATAATAATAATAATCGATAAATATTCATGTTGATTAAATAAACAAACACATGACACATACCCAGTAGTAGCGGCCATATAACTTGCTACAGTAGGATTAGCTTGAGCTGCTGCTGCGGCAGCTGCATATGATCTTGCGGCAGCCGCTGTATATGCTGCACTTGCAGCATATGTAGGCTATAATTAAAAAAAATCATTCAATCATCATTATCATTCAAAGAAAAAAAACTTTAAACTTACCGGTAATTGATAACGTTCAGCAGTACCATTGGCTGCGGCTGCAGCCGCAGCATAAGTTAAGAATGGATCCGGATATACGGCAGCGGCATTTCGAGCAGCCAATAACCTATAGATTTTTTTTTTTTTTGTTTTCGGTTGGGTTTCACATTCATTTTGCATAATAGTAAAATATATATAGTTTTGGGTCACGAGCGTATATATTTGATGCAGCCACAAAAGGATTATTTAATTTTTTTTTTTGAAAATCAAAACAATTTTTTTTCGATTTGTTGTTATTCATTAGAACACAACGAATGAAAAAAAAATTCGGAAAAAGAAAGAATTTTCATTTTGAAGGTGAAGAAGAGAGAGAGAGAGAGAGATAACAAACAAACAAACAAACAAATGAAAAAAAAGTTAGATCAATCAATCAATCAATCAATAAAACATTCAAAGTATTATTAAAGTAATGAGAAAAAAAATTGAAAAATTTATCAATTAGAAAAAAAAATATATTCTAAACGCAGCGGCTTATTTAATTTGACTGGGCGCCTAATCATCGTGTGGGATTAATGAATTATTCAGGAAAATGTGATTGGATGAATGAAATGACATGGTGGTGACATAGATGGTAGGAAGTAAGAAAAGAAAAGAGAAAAGGGATGGGAAAAAAAGGTGACAATTCTGGTGGACATTCCAAACAACAAGATTCTAGATAAACTTGCAAATATTAATGACACATGACAATGAGAACAAGAAAAAAAATGTACCCGCGTAACCATTTGAAAATACTAAATTCTTTGCAATTGATCAAAAAAAAAAAATTCAATTTTCTACAATATATCCAGCCTAAAAAAAAGCACATATCATGGACACGCAGACGAACACACACAAAAAAAAAACAATCAAGATCAGAATAAGAGAAATATATAAATGTGTGTGTGTGGTGAATATAAAGAAGATAAGCGAAAATGACAGAAAAAAAATTGATTTTTCTTTTTTATAAAAAAAATAAAGTAAAAAATAAAAAATATAAACTTACTGGGAAGCAGCATAACCATGCAATGTGGCAGCGGTGGTTAATGGTGATGATGTAGTAGAGTGTCTTGTATGAAATGCTGTTGCGGCCAATGTATTTGCTGCCGCTCGTGTTAGCCGTGTACCTCTTTGGATGGCAACACCGCGTAAAGCTGCCACTGGGCATTTCAAATAATTTTTTGTTTTTGTTTTTGTTTTTTGTGGTTTTTTTTTACATATTCAGTTTCATAAAATATATTCATATACATGAGCACATAAATCATACAGAAAAAAAATGAAAAAAATGAAAAAAAAATTCAGATATCAAAATTCAATCCACATATATAATAATAATATTTTCATATATGATTAGTAAACAAGATTCAAAATCAATCAATCAATCAATCAATAATATCAATCACAGAAAAGACAAATGAGAAATGAAAAAAACAAACAAAACAAACAAACAAACAGACAGACATTCAAATCATCAAGTGAATATATATAAATAAATCTATTTTTTTATGACCCAAACAGACCAGATGATGACCAAGCGAGAAAAACTTTTCCAAGGAATTATTGTATTTCCAAGAAAAATTTCTTATCAATCAAATAAATCAAGTAACCATCATTTATATTTACAGGTGTTTTGTGGTTTTTTTTTGTTGTTCATCAATTGTTCATTAGGTAATTATTATAATGATAATGATTTTAATTCGGTTCCTTTAATTCTTATTTTCGTTCAGCTGAATTTTCTTTCTATTGAATATTCAGAAAAAAAATGTTCGAATGGATTGCATAAACACAGAATCATTGAACAGCAAAAACAAAAAGATAATATTCTGGGTTTTTTTTTCTTGAACAATCGATTCTAGCGCCTGTGCATAATCTTTTTTTTTTTTGTTTATATGCTCTATACACATTTTTATCGTCGTAGAATCGTGTAGACTAAGCATCAAACAAACAAAAAGAGAGAAATAAATTCCTGAATTTTCTATAGTTGTTGTCGTTGTTCGGTTGGTTGGTTGGTTGATTGTTCATACACAGACACACACACACACACACACACACAGGATGTTTAAAGGTCTATGGTTATTCTGGCATTTTGGAACCAACACACACACACACTACTGTTTCACTGAATAGCTGCTCAATTCATGGATATTTTATTTTTCCAATTCTATAGTCGGTCAAAACTATCAAGAATATTTACTAAACACACACACCACTTCACTGGTGTGTTGAAATATTATTATTTTGTTGTTAAGGTGAGCATTTTTTTTTTGTTTGCATTTCTACACATACTCCAAACACACATACACGTTCATATTTCACAATTTTCATGGGAATATTAGAATAGGAAAAAAAATAAATAAATATGGTAATGAAACAAACGAATCGTGAAACGAAAAAGAAAAAGAAAACATCAATTCAAAACTAACAGAGAAAAAAAAACGAAAAGAATTTTTTTTTCGGAATATTCCTTTTTGAGCATTCTAGGTTATATTGGGAGAAAAATTTTTGTTTCAAGACATTTTTTTTTCATTATTTAAAAATGAATGATGATGATGATCATCATCATTCCATTATTTCCATATATATTCAAAACAGGGAAATCAATCATCAAACACAAACCGGTGGGTGGGTGAAAAAAAAAAAATACACGGTTACTTACCATTTGAAATAAGTGCTGCAGCCGCAGCATTTGCATTTGCATTAACAGCAGCTGCTGCTGCAGCAGCTACAGCCGCAGCTGATACCGATGATGATGATGGATTAGCGGCAGCAGCAGAAACATGAGCAACCGTTGGTGATGATAATGATGATGCAGCCATAGCAGCAGCAGCAGCGGCTGATTGCATTGCGGCTGTTGATGATAATGATGATGATGATGATGATGATGATGATGTGGATATAGATTTTTTCGATTGTACACGTGCTGTTGCATTATTAACTTCAATTTTTCTTCCTTCAACAATTGTACCATTCAATTGTTCACGAGCACGATCAGCATCAATACTTGATGCAAATGTAACAAAACCAAAACCCTATATTTAGGAGGAAAAAAAATTAAAAGTAAAACAAAAACTCAATAATTTACTATATATACAAGTAGTGCAAATTTCTTGAGAGAAAAAAAAACATAAATTACACACACACACATGTATATAATCCAAAAATAGATATGACAAAGTTTTATATCGCACACACACAGACACCGTTATGGACCATCATCATGGTACCGGTGTGGACAGGAATATAAATTCAATTCTGAATTCTAGATTCTATTCACGCTACACTATCTATATCTCAAATTCAATGTAGCCCACCACCACCACCACTCATGTTTGGTTGGTCGATAGACTGGCTAGCTAGTTGGTTTTTTTTTATTCTTCATTGAAATTAATTACATGGATACCATCATCATCATCATCATTATTATTATCCAATTACTTCAGGGGAAAATGTTTTATTATCTTGAAGCAAACGTGAACAACAAACATTAATGTGCTAAATGTTAATTGTAATTTATAAGTTCGAGTGTGTGCGTGTATACGAGCAAAACATTATTCTCTAGTGCTAGTAACGGATGAAAAAAAAAAATCATTCCAATCCAGAATCAAGAATTGCATAAATGCAATTATCCGATTAATATATGAGTGTAGAAGAAGACGGACGAGAAAAAAAAGTGATGGTAATTATAATGGTAGTGATATGAAAAAAACGAACAAACTTCAATAAACGGGAAATGGATATATTGATATTATAGGTTTCATATAATCATTACACACACACACACACACACAAGAATCATCGAAAAACTGACCGATCCAAATGGACCAAAAAAAAAAAAATATTCCAATTTCAAGTAGCTAGTATTTTACTAATTTTTTCGTTGGAATCATTGCACACAAAGTACCACTACCACTTTCATTATCATCATCATTATAAATGAATTTAAATTTCATTTTTTTACATGATCCTAATTTCATTAGGCAAATACACACACACACATACACCGAGCCACACCCACCAAAAACTTTTTTTTTGTAGTTAATCATTATTCATTATTGATGGTGGTGGTTTGTGTGTATGATTTGTACGAGAGAAAACAAAGAAAAAAACCTACATTTATTATTATCTAGTGTAAATCTTCTTTTTTTGTTGTTGCCATCATTATTGCAATATGTAATGAATAGCTGATTTGTTCCATCCAACACATTGGGCGTCAACCCAATCAGTATTACAATAGAAATGTGTCACGCACAACAACAACAAAAAAAAGGAACAGGATACATACATTTGAAATATATATCTATCTGTTTGTATTGTTTGGTGGTGAAATTTTCGATAAAAAAACCCAAAAAATCCTGAAAATATTCTCAAACAATCAAAACTAAACTAAAACAGCAATTCTATCTATCAAGTTTTTTTTATTATTCTCTATGGACAATACAAATAATCATTTTTTTCTTTTGTATTGGGTGTGTGTGTGTTTAGCTTTTCAATATACATGCAGTGATTCTTATATTGTCAAATGGAAAAAACCATTTATAAATTATAACCATTTAGATATTCTTCTTTCACACACACACACACACACACACAAGTCAATTGGAATTCTTTGTATGTGTATGTGTGTTTTTATATAACACATAATTCAATTGAATAGAATAAATAAATTTTACCTTAGATCCACGTTCATTGAAAATGATTTCCACATCCAAAATTGGTCCAAATTGCTATTAGATTCAAAAAAAAGAAAAGTAAAAGTAAATAAAAGAAAAAAAATGAAAAGAATTATTAAAATGGTTGAATGGAATTTTTTTTTTTTTTTTTTTTGAAAAAATGACAATAGAAAAAAAATCGGGCCATTCTGATTCTCAATGGAATCATACATTTTTCATTCACAAATGGATAATAACAACGACAATAATGATGAAAATGAATTTTCATTCATTCTCATCTACCACATTTTTATGATGATCATCATCATGATCATTATTATTGTAAATGGGAAAAAATTGAAATTCTTAGCAAAAAAAGATCGTTTGTGTATCACCAACCATATACAGAATCATACGGGAATCTTTTTGTTGATGCTGCTGCTGAAATACTGAAATCAATGTTCAATACAGATGTTTGACCTTTTCATACGTGTATGTATTACTCGCTGGCCTTATTATTCTATCATCATCATTTGTATTTCGAATATAAAAAAAATGACAAACGACAAAACAACAACAACAACAACAATGATCATTATTACAAATAAATGATAATGACATTGTGTGTTATACATCAGAATCGATGTTGTCATCTTATCAACATCATCATCATCATTATTATTTTTTTTTTGGAACAATAAGACCAACAGATCAACATACAAATAAGAATTGAACCAAAACAAAACAAAACAAAAAATAATAATTTTCATATGAATAAAACATTTGTATATTGTAATTTGATGGCAAATGATAATTTTTATGTGGCGCTATATTTTTCTCCAATATAAAACATCTGTCATTGATATATGGAAAGATAGGGTTAGGTTCAATGGAAAATGTTGTCACATTCATAAATGTCATAATGAAGATGATGATGATTGATTGTCATCATAATTATGTCATCATCATCATTTGTATAATAAGAAAAAATAAAACGGAAAAAAACCTGTCATACACACATGTAATTATCATATATATCAAAAAATTTATTTATCAATTCAAGTTGAAATGATAATTTTATTCCGAAATGGCAAATATAAGTGCATTACGTAATTACAATAATCGAGAAAGAGAAAAAACGATTCTCTTCAAATGCACCAATTCAGCCAACATTAGTACATGTGTGTGTGTATGATGTGATGTGATTACGTTTGAATTACGACAAACAATGAATGAGAGAGAGAGAAAAAGAAAACTTTTTTTTTGCATTCATTTCGAATCATTTCACATTCGGTATCGAATCGTTTCATCGTCATTCACATATATTCAATTTTCACTATTTTAATTTTTTTTTTGTTTTCACTTTTTGTAATTGTCATTTCAAGCGAGAAATTTAGGAATCTCTCTCTCTTCTCTTCTACACTATCTTGAATTTAGTGAAAATAAAAGTGAAATAAACATACACACACAGGCACACAATAAACTAATGGCTATGTTTATTCCGATGATCATGATCATCACAATGATGATGATGATGATGATGATGCAAATAACGAATTGAATTGAAATGAAATGAAAAACAAATAAAATGAATTGAATCGAAACCGAATATTACTATTATATGTGATGATGATGATTAAAAATAAAAAAAAAAAAAAAAAAACAACAGAATAATGAAAAAAAAATAGGAAGCGACAACAACAACAACAACAAGAATTTTTGGCAATGAACCAAAACAACAACAACAACAACAACAAAAACGAATAACAATAACGGATAAAATTCCATATACAAAAATGCAAACAAACAAAAAGAGAATAGACCAATTGTAATTTTGTTAGACAAAAACAATTTTCTACATTTTGAAATTGTAAACCTATTTACCTAAATGAAATGGGAAACAAAAATTTAATTAAATTGAATGTGCCGTTGTGTGTCGAATAAAATCATCGATATTGATCTGATGATCACATCTATAGATAACTACACATACACTAACTAAACATACAGAATATTCCCGTTAAAAACTATTTGTAACAAAACGATTTGCATACATGCCATTTTCTTACATGTCGGTGGTTGTTGTTGTATGTTGGATATACGATATTAGATTACAAAAAATGCCATACATTTTTAAATAAAAAAAAAAAATGTCAAAACCTCTATTTCTGAATTCAATATAATTGAAATAATTCGGTTGATTGGCGTCATATGAATGTAAAAAAAATTTTTTATAAACAAAATATCTACATTGTTAAGGTTTTTTTCTGTGTTTAAGAATAGAAAGTAATAATAATGACAAAAATCAGGATGTGTGTTTTGGGTGGGGTGTATGGATGCGTTTTTTCTCCGTTTTCGTTCATTGTGTGTGTATAGTTTAAAAAAGAAAATTTCAAATTACATTGTGTCTATGAAAAAATTTTAATTTGCATCCGACACACACACACACATGCATGCATACGGTGACCCAATTTTGTTTAGTTAATTGCAAAATAATTTCTTTTTTATTGTTTTCAATCCAAAATTGAAATGAAAATAGAATCTTTTAGAAATAAATAAATAGATGTTAAAATAAAAAAAAACTTACCCCAAACAATTGACGTAAATCTGGATCACGAAATCGAAATGGAATATTCGATACATGTAAACGTTTTGGCTGTATCGTTGTTTGTGTTGCTGTTATTGTTGGTGTTGAAGATGATGATGGTGATGATGATGATGCTGATGATGCTGGAACAGATGTTGTCGTCGATGTTTGAGATTGAATTGGCTGTATTGAATTTTGGCTACAATTTAATAATTGTTGTTGTTGTTGCTGCTGCTGGTGGTTGTTGTTGTTGTTGTTGACTAATACAATTGCCCGTTGGCTGTGTTTGACTCGTTGTCATTGATGATAATGATGAGCTGCTACATATTTGAGATGCTATATCAATAAAAAAATATAAATATAAATGATTAATAAATATGATGATGATAAAACAAAGAATCGATGATTCCAAATAACATACCAACTGATACTTGATTATGATTAGAATGATGATGATGATTATGATGATTATGTCCAGAAGTAGCACCTGCTGCTGCTGCTGCTGTTATCATTATTCCATTTAAATTATTATTATTATTTGGCATTGATGGGCTATCGGATTGTTGTTGCTGTTGGACATTGTGCGTATGTATTACATCAGAATTTATTTGGGATGATGATGAAATCGTTGATTGTGATGGCATTGATGATGGATCCGTATTATTACAATTTGGAATATTTATCATTTCTTGTTGTTGTTGTAAACAAGATGTATTCAATGGATATGGATCAATCATATCGGTTTGTGTCTGTTGTTCAACTGAAACAGAAACAATACCCGATGCTGCTGTCGATGGTGATGATGATATATTCGTTGACATATTTGTAGTGGATGATGATGATGATGATAATTTTGTTGTTGTTGATGGTACTACATTATTATTGGCATATACAAAACCATTTGTAGTTGCTGTATGATTCACTATGAAAAACAAAATACAAAGGAAACAAAATTCAATTGATTAATCAGGAGAAAATAACAATAACAATACATACCAATATCAATTCCATTACTACTACTGCTGTTGTTGTTATTTCCATTCATCATTTCTAATTGTGCATCATATAATTCATCTTTATTCACCAATTGTGATGATGATGATGATGATGGTGGTGGTGGAGATTGTGTTGTCGTCGTCGTTGTTGCTATTTGTCCATTGGTCAACATATTTGATGCTTGTTGTTTGATATTGATGATTGATTGAATTTAATCCCAAAAAAAATTTAATACATAAACAAAAATATCTTCAATAATTAATAATAACAAGCTACAAGAGCGATATATAGAGTTGTATACAGCTGCAATCGTTATTCGATGATGATGATGATGATAATGATGATAATAACGTCGAGGTAAAGTGATGTTGATGATATCAAATGTTTTTTGATTACAACAGAAAAAAAACCCGATGATTTTTGATGATGATGATGGTGATTGAATTTAATTCTACAACATATATATAATATAAAATAAGAAACGAAACAAGAAATTTTTAAATTGAAAATGAAAAAAAATTTTAAATTTTAAAAGTTACACACACGATGGTGATTAATTTGTGAGATGATGAAACAAAAAAGAAAAATTCGAATTCAAAAAAATCGATTCTATCGATTGTTGGAATCGAATCATGAATCAAAATGATTCGAAAAACAAATTCCTCTCATCAAAATTTCAATGATGATGATCATCAAATATCAATTTAAGGAGGAAAAAAAATAATAAAATTATTAATTTCATCACCATCATCAACAACAACATACAATGTGCAAACACAAACACACGAGGAACATGATCGTCACTTGTTTTTTTTTTTTTATTCATTTATGATTATTATTATTACTTGATATTCAATAGTAAGTAAACAATACATATATATGAAAAAAAAAAAAATCACAAAACAAAATCAACATTAAACAAAAAAAAAAATTTTTTTATGTTTACCATGTTCTTGTTGTTGTTGTTGTTGCCTAGATTCTTGATTGGTGTTGGTATATAATATTCACAAACAATGAACAAACAAAACAGCAAACATGTCCTTCATGTCCTTTTGGTGTTCAATTCAAATGGCTAAAAATGTTTTGACAAATTGACGATGAAAAAAAAAATTGTTTTTATTCACACTAAATCATCAACATGCTAATAATAATAATTCTTAGATTACAATAACAACAACAACAACAACAACAACAACGACGACGACGATGACGACGATGAAAACGACAAAATCATTCAAATTTGATTAAGAAATTATATTATTATAAAAATAGAATCAATTGACAAATCATCAATCTCTATGTGAGTGTGTTTGTGTTATCATTTCAAGAGTGTAAGAAAAAAAAATAAACAAAAACAGCGAAAAGAGAAAAACAAACACAAACAGAAACAGAAACAGAAAGAAAGAAAAAAATTATGAATTTGATTATCAATATTCATAATAATAATAATAATAATTACCACTTGTGAATATAATAATAATGAAACACATATAAAATGACAGAAAACAAACAAACAAACAATTTTTGAATGATTCCGATAATGTCAACGTTGTCGTTGATGTGATGAATTTTTTTTTTTTTTTGGTCATAAATGAGATGATGATGATGTGAGAAAATCCATCTCAAGAAATGTGAATGGATCGTCATCATCAACAACAACGACAACTGCTGGTGATGAAAAAAACATCAGTGTGTGATTGCTAGACATTGAATCTTGTTTCAATGATTCATCATACTTGTGTACGTTACTATTTTTTATTTTTAAATTGAATTTCAATTAGAATGACAAAAAAAAACCAAATGGCAAGCTGATGTGAATTGTGTGTGTGTGTGTGTGTGTGTTTGTGAAATGAAATGATGATTCAAGGTTCTTATAGTCTTTTGCGTGTTTCAATCACACTTGGTGTGTGTATATATATATTGAAAAATAATGTAGTGATGTAGTGATGATGAGTGAAAAGTTTCCAATGAAAAGAAAGAAAAAAAAAATTTAAAAGAATTTTTCTTACAAATGACATACACACACACACACACACACAAAAACACATCAATAATTGATTGAAAAGTTTCTTGATTGAAAAATTGTTTTTCACAAGAATTTTCTCTTTTTTTTTTTTTGGTAAATTTTATCGAAAAAAAAATGTGTCAAATACATTCATCGTCATCGTCGTCGTCACCAGAGTTGATTTTATATTTTAATCAAAAATGAAAAATCGAAATCGAAATTTAAATGATCGTTTTGACATCAAGAATAAGAGTGAAAGAAATCAAAATCAGTAAAAACATTATATCGAGAAAAATATTGTTTGTTTGGTTGATGTTTTCTATTTTTAGAATACATACATTCACACACACAAAACATAATTCTCGTATTCTGTGAGCAGCAGAATTTTTTTTTTTTTTTGCTTTTTCATTATGATCATCATCATGTTGATTATAGAAAAAAAACTACAGGATTCTGTTTTTTTTAAACAAATAAACAAATAAAAATGAAATGAAATGAAATTGAACGAATCGAGAATTCCGGCAGAGGTAAAGGGATGTGTGTGAAAATCAATGGATGGATTCGCCAATGTGATACGAATGGAAGAATTTTTTTTTTGATCAATTCATTCACACACACACACACATTCTCCATGTTGGATTTTTTTTCGAAATTCTTTCATAAATATCGTTAGAATAAAGAAATCAGAAAATTTCACATACCTTTTTTCGATATTCTTAATCGATATACTGATGATGATGATGATGATGATGTTTATTGGTTGATTAGTTGTTGTTTTTTTCGTCGTGTAATTTACGTTTCAAAAAAAAAAAAATTTGTTGATTTTATTATGTCGAAAAATTTCATATTCAAATTCTCTCTCTCTCTATATATATGAGATGTGTGTGTGTGATTCGTCGATCATTGAAATAATCATTACCGATCAACAACAACAACAACAACAACAAATACAAAATACAGAATATTTCAATAACATACACACACAAAAAAAACCCAAACCAGAATCGAATCGAATCTCATACACACACCAAACACACACACACACACACAAAAAAATATTCTTCTCTCGTATAAACAAAACAAAACCGAGTGGTTCACACACACACAAACGACTACGACTATGATAATAACACAACAAAAGACTCGTTTCTTTCTTTCTTTCTTTCTTTTACATTTTCATTTTCATTCTCACATTCGTTCGTTCGTTCGTTTGGTTGGTTTGTACGTAAAAAAATTTCAACTATTTTCTTTGCTGCTTCTTTTTTTTTATTCGTTTTTTTTGTTCCTTGATGATGATGATCACAACACATACACAAAGGAAACAATGTGTATATAGAGTGATGTTGAATTACGAAATACAGAAGCTGAAAAATTTTCAATGGGAAACCAACCAACAAACCAACCAACGAACGATGATGATGATGACAGACACACAAACTTTTGGTATTTTTTTTTTTGCTGGTTTCTGGAGTCGTTCATTGTCAGCCACCATCTGCTCAATTTCTTTTGTGCTTCATCGGTCGTGTGTTTTTTGGTTGGTTGGTTGGTGGGTGGGTGGGATAGTAGTATATAGTATATATGGTCCATATAGTCATTTTTGATCCAAAAAAAAAAAAAAAAACATGGACATGCGTAATGATTTTGGTTGTACTGGTGGTGGTGGTGTTGGTAGCAGCAGCAACAGCAGTTGTGTTCCAGGATCCCAGACATTCCATAAAATTTGTGTCTATAGGGATTTTTTTGTTTTGTTTTGTTTTATTTTGGAATATATCGACTATACAAAATTGTAGATGTAATTGGATTCTTTGATTTTCATCCATTTTTTTTTTTTTTTGGAATAGGAATTTTGATGAAATTGATCAAAGGAAAACAAAACAGACACTCGCGAATACTTTTTTCCATCATCATCATCATCATCGATAATTAAAATTGGAAACTTGATTCTCTTGGGTGGATATAGAATCGAATAATAACAAAAAAAAAAATTCAAATTCGAATCTCAAAACAAGCGAAAACATCCATATAGATAGATTTTGTCATCATATTGACAGCATCAATAATTTTAACCTTGATTTCTAATTAATTCGTTGTTGTTGTTGTTGTTGTTCATTCAATTGTTTTATTTATTCATTTTTTTTTGTCACATTTATAATTTATATAAAATAATTGTGTCAAAAAAAAAAAATTATGAAATGAAAAAAAAACATCAAACAAAAAAAAAATATGAATAGGATAATGAAATAGGCCGAATTTAGGAACAATCATTCATTTATTCGATATTTATATATTGACCATTTGGGAGAATCCGAATAAATGATGAATATTCTTCTTATTCGTAGTAGTTTGGATACATTGGTTAAGAATTATTTTTAGAATGCAAAATAATCTCCAGTAGGATCTTCAAGCCATGGATAATTTTGTGGACATTCAGCACATGTATGTAAACGAATTGTTTCACCAGGTAATTCACGTGTAGATAATGCACATGCATTCGGTAGATTACAAAGTGGTTGTCCACGTACTTCACATTTTTCTTTCCATGGTGAAAATTCACGTATCGAATTCATTGGTGTTGGTTGTTGCATCCATTGTAATACTTGTGTCATTGTAACGAAATAAACATCATTTTTATCCAATACTTCATCAATCCATTGTATGAATGCATCTAAATATTCTGGATTCAATTTTAGCCAACTAGCATGAAAAAATACGCCCAATGGTGCACGATTTGTTTTATAATGGCGATCAAAATTATGATTTAGAAAATTATAAAATTGATCACCAGTTATAATATTGGCACAGCTATCCACCATAGAACAGCCAGATAATTCTTCATCAAAATTTGGATCATCACGACGATCCAATTCATTCATAACCATTTCCCATACAGCATGTGAACGTGTTGGACAATTTTGGCCATTACCATGACATTTATGTGGCATACGAAAATATAATGTATATGGCCATAATGGTGGATTACTTAATGGTGCCGTTATGGTTGAATCATACAAAAATGCTTGTTCTTCCATCATAAAAAATTGATTATTACCACCAACACGTAGATATGGTGCACGAACACCAACAATTGAATTATCCGTAATATTTGCAAAACGTTCAATAATCAATCGTACACCAGCCATTTCTTTAGCCCAAGTTTCTGTGGATGCTTCACTCCAATATTTTTCATTTGAATTATGTCTATTTTTAAAAAAAAAAAATATGGAAAACGGAAATAGTTTAAAAAAAAATAAATAAATGAAATAAATCAACTTACGTTATAGAATGGGCAGCAATTTCATGTCCACGACGATGCATTTCCTGTACAGCTGAATAATTGGTATATTTATGTGAAATGAAAAATGTACCTTTTATTGAACAACCATTTGGATTATTACGTCCTTCTTTAAAGATTTTATCATATATATCGATATTATTATTATTGATAGCATCATCGAATGTGATCATAATCATTTGTGGTACATGTGTTGGTTCCAATTTTCCCGGTATCTGTGTACCATCTGGTGAACAGAAACAATCCGGTAATACACATTGAGTTTGATCACATGCTGGTGCACGATTTGGATCTTTTTCTACGGCTATTGAGTCATTGAGTGGATGAATGAATGAATGAATAATGTAATGTAAATTAGATTAAGTATAGGTATTTGATATTTATGTTTAGGGTTTTTTTTGTTGTTGTTCTCATATCGAATCACATCGAAAAAAAAACTTACTACATGCATTTTCATCTGAACCATCGGCACAATCTGGTTCACCATTACAGAATAATTCTTTATTAATACAATCACCACTACCACAGGCTAATTTTCCAGTTTCACAGATTGGTTCATCGGTTGCCAACAATGGTGCAACTAATCGTGGTTCTTAATAGTGATAATGTGGTGGACAAATTGATAAAGTTATAATTCACAGTAAATCGATAATTTGAAATTTAAAAATACTACTCACTTTCTAATTGTTGACAATTTTTAACATTCGATTTCCAATCACATGTTTGTTTATCAATATCGAATGCTAAACCAGATGGACAACGTAATGCTAATAAACCTTGTACTGAACACCGGACAACATCACGACAATCTTCATCGGCTGTTAAACGAAAATATTCACTTGGTGGCCGTCCTTTACATAATTCAGCATCATTTTCATCTGTTTGTCTTTTAACGATCGATACGTTTTGAACTATTTTGGTTATATGGAGAGAAAAAAAAATAGAAAAGAAAATTAAACGAATATAAAATAAATTTCCATTATCATCAACATTGAGGTCAGTAGCAGCAGCAGCAGCAGCAGTTGGTATATCAAGTTAAAGATAAAAAGTTAGACAACTTTTAAATTCATTTCATCATCATTGAATTGAATAAGACTAATTTATATTCTCAACACACACACACACATACAGAGAAAATCGACAACGACGACGAATAATGGATGGATAATAATAATAATTTTTGATGATGATGATGATGACTGTCATTGATGTACATTGACCATAACGAATAAAATAACGGTGTCATGGCAATATTATTATTAACATTATTACGTGAGATACTTCTTTATGGAAATGTTTTAGACAATTTTCTCTGGCCAATTTAATTCATGTTGAGAATTGAAATTAAAAAAAAATTGTAAACAAATCTTACAAATTCTGTCGATTTCGAATATCATCACATACACACACCAACACACAGACACCAACGCTTGTCGAAATAGACAGATAGCTTGTCGTGACAAAAATGATTCGCCCACCGTTTGTTTTTTTTTTTCGTTGAACACGATGTCATGTTTTTGTTTGAAAAAAAAGAAACTTGAAAAAATAAATTAAATTTTTTTTTCACACCCATTTCATCGTGATAAGACACATATAATATGCATATATATGTGTTTTGCAGAAATGCAAAAAATTTTTTCTTCTGGAACATGATGATGTCAGTCGTGTTCCGGCATATATGAAAAGAAATGAAAAGAAAATGTTCATAAAGTATTTCAAATTGATTTTTTTCTTTCTTCTTCTTTTCTTCGTTCGTTCATCATGTCAAGAAACAATTGGAAAAAGAGTTTTTTTCCGAGAACAAATGAATAAAAAAAAGATTCACATCATGATTATTATTAACACGTCCTATATGACAGGGCATGTTTTTTTTTTTTGTTTTGTTTTTCATTTTCATAAACATTCGATTTTCCTGTCTGTCCATCATCATCATCATCATCATCATCATCATCATCATTACAGAGAAGGAAAAATGAATTAAAACGATTCAAGCATCGAAAATGATGATGATGATTATTTTAAAAATGAAATGCGAAAAAAAATTCCTGATTGATAATCGATAACGCAGCTTTGTATTTGAATTTGAATATGAGAAATATATGTGAAATGTGATCATGAAATAATGTTTGAACGTGGAGTTTCATTCGAAGAAATTTTGATTTTTTTTTAAATTAATAATGATGGCCATGAATCGAGTGAATGAAATAACTTCCATCATTATTAACGTTATCATCATTTCAAGATTATGATGATTTTCATCGTCTCAAGTTTGATTTCATCAAACAGGAAAATGTTTTTGAAATTTTACATAAGCAAAACGAAATTTTTTTTTTTACATACCGAATGTCGCTAAAATCGATATGATGATGGTAAATATAATAATTTGTAATGATGATGATGATGATTTCATTGTTTTTTTTCTGTATTTTCAGTGACAATTTTTTTTTTTTTTTGGCAACAGAATTGATATAAATAGGTCACGTTTTTTGAAGAAGAATTTTCGAAAAAAAGTGAGAAAAATAGAGATCACCCGAATATGGAACAATGAAAAAAATGAAATGAAATTTTTCTTAAAAATCACAAACTAAAATTGTTTGCCACAAAGAAATTTTGATTTCAATTTAAATGTCGAAAGTGGATCGATCCGCTTCATAGGATGCGGACGTGGACACTGACTGATCGATGCTGATCAATGATGATGATGATGATGATAATCAAATCACATACACACAACGGACAACGAACAACGAACAAAACACACCTTTATGATTCAATAACTATGCCACTAAGTTCTTTTTTTTTCTTTCGCTCTCAAAAATATCTCGAAACAAAAATCAAAAATTCAAATAATGGAACCATACACAACAACGAAAAGTGATCACACACACACACAACAAGTCCTTGATCAAAAATAAACAACAACAACAACAGTTTTGTGGAAACCGGCTTGGCTAAAATCGAAAAAAAAACAGCAGCACAGCAGGCAAAAAAAAAATATGGAAACTTGAAACCAAACTGTCCAAATGTATCAAGATAACAGACATACAGACAGACTGATAATAATAATAATAACGAAGAAGAAGAGTCTGATCCATAAACAAGAAATTCAAGATAATAAGAGAGAAAGAAATTTCTGTTTCTATTTTGTAAAGAGAAATATTTCCATTCAATATCCATGTCCATGGGCCATACAGTCTTTGCCGATCTCATTATCATCATCGACAATTTATTCCATTCTGGAACGAAGAGAAAAAAAAACAAGATCGAAATATGTAACCAAAAAAAAGATGGCGAATGATAAGAACAGAAAAAAACATTGAAAATGAAGATTGCTGCTGATGATGCTGTTGTGGTAAGATAACAAAACTTTAGAGAAAATTTTTTCCTTATTTTTCTTTGCCATTTTTTTTTGTTCGTTTATATTTCGATTAGTTCCATAATCGAACATAATTTTTGTGTTCGAATCACATCATCTAAAGAAAAAAGAGAAGACGAAAAAAAAAATCAGCGAATAAATTACCAATGCATTGGGATTGGACAAAACGAAATTTTTTTTCTGTGTCATGTAACCATTTCATCATCATCATCATCATCATAATTTTTCATTTATAATCAACACATTGGTCGTTCGTTATTATTGTGTAGTAAATCCAAAAAATGATGATGATGGCCGAGAAAATGTCGAATATATAATGGGTTAAAATTGTTGTTCATTTTATGTTGTTTTGTAACCCAGTTCTTTCTTTCTTTACATCTTGGATCTCTCTCGTTTTCTCATTTTGTATATCAAAAATTTGGGTAAAAAGAAATACCATGAATATATCAGGTTTTCTCTCTCTAACTTTTAATTTTTATTTTTCGTATTTTTTTTATATATATCTTTGTTATCTTGATAGATTTTCAAACTTGAAAAATTTCTATTCATCACCATCGTGTTTTGTATATATATACAAAATTAGCCATCATGGATCAAAAAATAGGTTTTGATAATGAATGAATAGAGCAAGATGAAAACTGAAAGAAAAACGAAAATCTGGATTTAATTACTACGACCAACCAATCAACAAACCAACCAACCAACTAACCACCTTGAAACACTTTTTATATTGGACTTTATTTTTTCCAAATGAAATAACTTTATGCTGTTGTTTTGTTGAATAATTAATCATTTCAAACAAAAACAACAACAACAACAACAGCGAAAAAAAAGAATAGATTTTCATTTGTCTATTATTGTCTTGTCTTGAGATGATGATAGAAATCTTTTGTTTTGTTTTGTTTTTTGTTGTTCACCATCAATACAATCAAACATTGAATTTGGATCGAATTTTTATCTGGAACAAACAAATTAATTGGACAAACAATTGAATTGACTGATGATGACGATGATGATGATGGTCTAGATTTTGAGATTTTTTGTTTTTCCTTTTTTCATTGTTTTTTTTCGTCATATTCAATTAATTAATTAATTAGTTAATTAATTAATTCAACAACAGAAAAAGTTCATTATGAACAAAACAAGAAAAAAAAAAAAAAAAACTTTTCCGTCTATATCGGATTAGTTTGGAATATATTTAGGATTTGAAACTTGGATAGAAAATAATCTGTTTATGTGCGGACTTTGTTCAAATCATCACCATCACCATTATCATCATCATTATCTAGGTTAATAAACGATGATAAATAACCAATGGGTGAGATGATCAAAAAATGGTGAGAGTTTTGATGGAAAAATCGAATCCTGAGAAAAAAATTCATTAAAAACTTTGTTTTTCAGCCACTGGATGGCGCGTTATGCTTCGATAAATTGTTTTTTTTCCAACCATCGATTATTTTATTTTTTTTTTAATCGTTCATCATTTTTATCCGCGTTTTTTTTGTCTCATTTTGATTCTTTTATTCATTCGAATAATAAAATTTTTTTTTGATTGTTTTGTTTTGTTTTTTTGTTTGATGATAATGATGATTATCGTCATCATAGTCATCACATACACACACACACACATCATGAGCATCAAAATTTGACGAATATGATGATGACGATGACGAGGAAAAACAAAATGTTTGATGATGACCAATGTGATGTGAAAAATTTTACATTTTGTCTCACACACACATTATCAATTCTATATAAATATAAAAACTGAAAGAAAAACCCGTAAGTTTTCTTTTATTATAATCATCATCACATGACACACACTTGCTTGTCAAATGTGTCATGTGTGTGTGTTTGTGTTTGTGTTCATTGAAAATATAACAACAAAGTAAAATTGTTGCTCATTTTATATGTTCCATTTAGGCCAATTTCAATATTATCCAAAAAAAAAAAAAATTATTATCATCATCATCATCAACAATGAACATTGATGATGTTCCGGTGAATAAATGAAAAAAACAACAACAACAACAACAACGTACACAACAAAAAGGTTTGCCAAGGAAAAATCATCATCATCATCATCTTTATTCCGCTTAATAATAATAATAAATTAACGGTAAATTTTTTTCGTTTTGTTTTGTTTTGTTTAGATATCGCAAAAATTCATTTTATTTTCATCATCATCGTCATTATTTTTCATTCAAACAAATTGATTGATACAGTGAATATAAAAAAAAAAAATGCGCATGGATCAAATATACATATGCAATGAAATGGTTATGATGATGATGATTTTTTGTTTGGTCTCCCTCCATCAACGTTGTTGTGTGTTGTTTAATATTGAAAACCACAAAATTATTATTGGACGAATTTTTCGCCGCTCTATCCATCCCTTTTTTTTTTTTTGTTGGCAAAACATTTGGCCATAATCATAACTATGTATTTAATAATAATAATCATCATCATAATGATGATGATAATAAACGGATCATAATTATACAATACACATCATCAACAACAACAAGAACAACATCAACGACAACGATTCAAAAAATATTGGGCCACATTCAAACAATCCATCCATCAATGATGATGATGATCATCATCATTATCCAGCACCATTCCCATAAATTGACATTATATAACTAAATAACAACAACAGCAGCAGCAATAACATCAACAACAATTAATCCCATTGGCCACTTTTTAAAGAAAAGAGAAAATTTATTCAATTCAATTCGATTCGTTTCGATTCGATTTTTTTTCATTTCATATTCAATCATAATTTGATCACACACACACATTTGATATATGGACATAATCATCATCAAGTTACATAAAAATGTAGAACAATTTTTTTTTCATATTCATATTCATATCTCTGTGTGGCCGCCCAAAATCACCCCAAACCATCCATATCGAATTATTATATTTGGACATTTGGAAGTAATTTCAAACTTGGAAATTGGAATCAAAGAAACAAAAAAAAAAATTGAACCATCCAATCCAATTCGAATTTATATATATATGATGATGATGATGATGAATGAATGAATAACTAGAGTAATTTCAATTGTGAATGCAAATTGTTTTTTTTTCGCTGTCTCTTCCTATCTCTCCACATATAACAACAACAACAACAACAACAACCACCACCACCACCAACATCACATCACATTTCTTTATATTGTAAAATAGATGTGGATGAATCGATTTAATATGTAAGTAATATGATTGAATTGAATGAATTGAAATTGGATGGATGACCGAATTATAATGATCACACACACACACTCACACACAAATATCAAATGACCATTACACACACACACACACACACACACAGACATTGGTCGATAATAACGAACAAATCAAATGAAATGAAGAAAGAAAAAAATCACCACCACCACCACCACCGACACACAAACAAACGGACAATTGAAAACAATGTAAGATAGTGAAAAAAGCAACAAGTTTGTTGTAAATTTTTTTCCCCTTGTCAATTATAGAAATTTTTTTTTTTTTTTTTGATTTGATTTGATTCGATTTCAATTGGATTGAAATTTCACACACACACACACATTCATCGATTGGATTGATGAGAACATTTGATCATTGATCAATTGAACAACAACAACAAAAAAAGTTCAAATTTCGATCCAAATACGGTACGTCCATTATGAACACACACACACACACAAACAAACGAAAAAAATTCGAATTGTTCAATTATTTTTGTTTCATTTTCTTTCGAACAGGAAATGAATTCCAGTTTCTTATTGATTTGACGATGTTTTTTTTCATTTTTTTTTGTTTTAGATTTTGTCCATCATCATCATCATCATCAACAAAAATGGTCAATCATAATCATCATTGTGTAATCTTTTGTAATCATCATCATCGTTATTATTATTAAAATAATCATCGTTTGTTGGTTGGTTGGTCAATTTATAATATTCAGATCTTGGTTTGTTCAGCGGTTTTGTATCAACAATTATTTTCATAAATCATCAAACAGAAACCAGAAAAATAGTATATCGTTCTTATTTTGAATAGATGATGATGATGATGATGAATTTAAGCCTATTTAGTATATATAACTTGTAAGATTTTTATCGCTCGACAATCATCATCATCATGATCCATTGAATTTCAGAATAAGGTAATGAAATGATGGATAAGGATGATGATGATGAAAATAGAAAAAAAAACTTGAAGATGGTAATGTCCCGATAAACGAATTATAATTTTTAATTTACCTTCATCATTATTCCGTTTTTTTTTTTTTTCATCTTGCTTTTGACCAGATGTCGATGTTATTATTGATGACGATGATACAACCGTTATAAGCTATAGCCATTGGCAATTGGACAACGATCTTCATCATCATCATCATCATCAGGATGAATTGAATTGCAATATGATGATGTATAAAAAAAATAAAGAAAAAAAAATCATCCGGTTTATCATCATCATCATCATGAGGTGAATGAGCAATCAATGAACAGCGAAATTCGTTTCCATTCCCCGCCATCACCACCACCACCACCATCATCATCATCATCATCATCATCGTTGTAGTCTTAAATATCCATCGAATTCAAACATATAATGGTATTAGTGGTGATGGTTGACTTCCTTGGTTTGATTATCATTTTGTTGGCTAAAAAAAAATTGGTTTCAATAAGACAAAATTGTCTTTCTCTCTCTCTCTCTCTATCTATCTATCCCTTTCGCATACAGATATCATGCACATCGATTTATATGATTGTAAACATCCATTCAATTCAAAAGGCTTGATGAAATCGATGATGATGTTGATGATCATCATCATGCCGCATCCTTTTCTCCATCTCTCATTCACTGTTACCTTAATCATCAAAAACCGGCAAAAAAAAGAAAAATCATCTCCAGGCTCATTTAATATCGGGTTTTTTTTTTCTTCATTGAAATTCGTTCTTTTTGTCTTCTATATGGTCTATACTACAATACACGACATGAAGACAAGTACCGCATGATGATGATGATGATGAGAATTTAGAAAGAAGAAAAAACATGGAAAACAACAAATGAATGCAGCATGCATCAAGCACACATATAGTGAAAACTTGATTTACCTGGTTTTCGATGAATTCAAACAACAACAACAACAACAACAGGAACAAGTTGAATGCAAAAAAAGAAGAAGAAGATCTCAAGATGATGATCATCGGACAAGTCAAGTTTTTTTTTCATTTTACTGTACATTTGATGCTTTTTCTATGTATGTGTGTGTGTGTGTGACTTATGTCAATCCTCTTCTTCTTCTTTTTATATTTGAATTTCAAACACACACACACACACACAGACAACAGCATATAACATATAAAGGTTCGTTCACTTTGTTTGAATTGTTTATTGCCGTTTGATTTGAAAATTTTTTTTTTTTGTAGAGAAAAGTTTTTTTGAAATCCCACCTGAACATCATCATCATCATTCAAGTGGTAAAATGAAATAAAATGAAAATTAATGTTGAATCGATCACGATCATTGATCGATTCTTTCATTTATTCATTCATTCAATTTTGAATTCGATACGAATAGATATAGATATAGCTACACACACACACACAAGCAAGCAACAACATGTAACATAAGGAAGAAGAACTTGAAGATGAAGACAAAAGACATGTAATAAGAAAAAAAATGTGCATGTTTAAAATCGATTGATTCAGTCATATACCAATACTTAATGAAGCAACAACAACAACAACAACAAGTGTTTATATTTATATTGAGGATGCGAAAATCGTAAAGTACCAAGTAAGATCCATCGATCATTCTATCGTGTATCCATCCATCCATCCATCAATCAATCAATCAATCAATCATTGCATCAGTTGGAAAGATCTTTTTTTTCCTCTCTAAATGTTAAAACGAATTTGATTACTATACATATACAACTCAATCTGAAATATGAACTTCTTTGTATTGTATTGAATCTCAAGAAGGTGACCAGAAAAGAAAAAAAAAACTTGAAAGAACACGACAGCTGGTCTCGGTGATACTTTGGACTTTTTCTATTTTTATTCATTTTTTTTTATTAATGTTTGGCCCATCTACCAGCCGTTAACCACCCTCAAAATATAGTATAGAGACATGAAAAAGCAGATCCAAGAAAATCAAAAATACTGCAAATGCAATCTGCCTTTATATTGAGACCAATAGGTTTTTTTTTGATAACATAAATCTATTCGAAGGTCGACATCATCTGGTGTTAAAGATTGCAGCCGATGGCATGGTTTCATTTTTTTTTCTTTACTTGACCTTCGACAAATTGCCGTGAGATACGTATGGTTGTTGTTGTTGTTTGGGAATGGGGAGGGATAGCTTTCGATTTAATGGCTGAGATAACATGGCCATAATAACAACAAGTGGTTGTTGTTGTTGTTATTTGGTTACCCTTAGACCGTTGATGAATGAATGAATGAATGAATAAAGGGGGTAAGTAGATGAATGACTCAAAACTGAAACTAAAACCCGATATTTTTATTTTTTTTTTTTTTTTTTTGAACAGAATAGAAACTTTTTAAAGCCTATCGTCTCTTGGCTGCTGCAATGCTGCAGCACTCGTGTTTGATGTTCATTCATTCATTCATTCATTCATTCATCAATTCAAAAGAAAAGAAAAAAAAAAAATGAATAAAAAAAACGGGACCCTTTTTCATTTTTTTTTAAACTTGCTGTTAGGTTATTTGGGAAAGCCGAAGAAACTCACCACCATTATCAACTAGAAAAGTTTTCAACATTTCGCGTGATCAAAAACCTTGTAGCTATAGGTAAGCTTTGAAACTTTGAATTGAAATTTTTTTATTTTCATTTGAATTCACATTATACATGCATATATGTGCACACACACACACACGCACGAACAAAGCTCATTTTTTCTGGTTACCTGCATGAAACTTTCTTTCAAAAAGAATTATTACCCATGTTCAACCACCACCACCACCACCCACCATCATCATCATGATTATTTTTACTGTCGAAATCCAATTCATATGAAAATATTGAATTGTATAAGCTGCCATAATTCTTATGGATAATCATCAACAGAAAGAAAACCTGGCTTGAAATAAAACAAAAACAAAAACATCATTTTGCAACGAATTAATATTGCATTGGATCGTTTTCAGTTGGGACCATAGTTGTGGTAATAGTGGTGGTGGTGGTGGTAAAACTTGAAGAAACAGGATGAATAGAAAAACCGGTAAGAGAACACTACAACAACAACAACAAGAGAATAGGGAGAAAAAGAAGTGGTGAGCTTTGTTGCCTTCATCATCATCATCATCAAATCAAAGCAACAAGCTAAGTTTCTCTGTGTTTGTGTGTGTGTGTGTATGTATGACGAACAAGAAATTCATAGTCAGTCAGTCAGTCCATGATTGTGGATCGTATCGTTCATTACAAACATACACTACACAAAGATTTATGAAAAAAAAGTATTTAGCAAATTGCTTTTACCTGCTGTATGAAAGTATGCATGTGTATGCTTGTATGCAGCATGTGTGTGTGTGTGTGTGTATGTGCGTGAGAATTGAATCTACCTGTTGATTGATACACCAACCTGTTGATTCACGGCCGTTTTTATTTTGCATCGCTTCAAAAGTGTTTGTTATTATCACCATTTTTCAAAAAATTCTTTTAATTTTTCAATTCTAGATTCTTTCTTCATTTTTTTTTTTATTTCACGAATCAATTCAATTAATTTGTGTTTTTGTTGTTGTTGTTGTTGTCCACGTGTTCATCAAATCATAGTTTTTTTTTTATTTTGTTTGTTTTGCTGTCATTCCATCCGATGAATATGTCATGATATTGTGTATGTGTATATGTGTGTGTATGCCATTCGTTATTGCCCTTATAATAATAATAATAATGATCATTTGCCATCAAAATATCGGCATTTTTTCATCCAATTAATATAATTATCATCATAATCATCATCATCATAACACCACACAACAGATATTTAATAGCTTCAAATGTCATTGACAACAACAAAAACGACATAAAACAAAAATTCCAATCTATACAACAGAGATCATTCTATAAATAACATCCTGATTTGTTTGTTTGTTTGTTTTTTTTTATTCAACAACCAACAAAATAATCAAAAAAATAGTAATAGTCAAACAAATCAAATTCAATCAATTTTTGGGCCTCGATTTTTTTTTGAATGGCCTTTATTGATTAATTTGGTGTGTGATTTGCTCCAAATTGTTTTTTTTGGTTTTGTTTTTTGAAAAATTCAATTTTATCAACATGTTTTTAATGAATAATTCAACGATAACGACTACGACGATGAAGACAACAAATTCATGGTCGTTTGATCATCATCATCATTTTTACAAAACTAAAATCATCATCGTTTTCATTAACAAGAACAACGAGGTTATCGTCGTCATCATCATCATCATCATATAATTCAACAATGAAAATAATATCATCATCATTATCATCATCTTTATTATTACTACTACTGTTGTTGATTTTAGGTTAGTTTTATTATTCAAATTCAATTTTTTTTTCATTTGTTCCAAATTTTTATATCACACATCATGGTTTTTTTGAATCCTTCCATGATGATGATCATCATCACGTTAACGTGATATTTGTTTTTTCGTTTTTTGCTTTTCATTTTTATTGTACTACAAATCTTGTGTTTTTGCTGTTTTTGTTTAGAATTGTTTAATTTATGAGAATTTTTGGAGAAAACGATGAAATTAATTTTTGTCTACAAAACTTTTACCATTTTGTTTTCTTATTCGTTGTTGAATGAATTGAATTTGATACTTTAAAAATGTCGATGTGGATCAATCTATCCATTCAGACCATTGACCATTTTTTTTAGCGATAACCAATCAAGCACATCTGTCTTTGATAAATAAGATTTTTGTTGTTGTTGTTGTTGTTGTTGCTGGTTTGGTGTCTCTTTGGATTTTCGGTTGGTTGACTTGCTGGAGAATGTGTGTGTGTGTGTGTATGTGGCCAATTTTAAAAAAATTTTTTACCAAACCAACAACAACAACAACAACAGGCAATTTTCAAGCAATAATACGGTGACGACTAAAACCAAAAGATAATGTTATGGCCGAATAAGAGTAAATCATTCGAATGACTTGTGGAAAGACATGATCATTTTTTTTTCTTCACCTTCTTCTTTTTCTTTGGCTACAACGATGATGATGATGATGATGATGATGATGATCGGCCGTCGTGGTCATGGATTCAAAAAGATTTTTACAATAAAATAAAAAACAAAAAAAAACTTCCATTTGGAAATGTAATCCTCTTGTGATCATCATCATCATCATCATCATCAATGGCGGTTTTTGGTCGATCATAATTGCAGGTTTCTTTTTATGAATCTTTTTTTTTTTTTTTTTGCTGATCGTCCGACCATAAACGAATAATCGATGATTATTTTGTAAAAAAAAAGTTTTTTTGGGTCAAAAATTGATTTTTTTCTCTCTCTCTTTTTCACTCACTATTAGACATGAGAATGTTTGTTTGCTGGCAAAAAAACAAAAATCAAATTCTTATGTAGCAATCGATCAATCAATCAATCAACCAACCAACCAACCAATCAATCATTCATTCATTCATTCATGTGACAATCAGATTTGTCACCAAAGAAACGATTTTGTAAATAAATTTTTTTTTCTTTCT